TTGTATTAAAATCATTTTTATATTTTCAGGGTAGTGTTGCGATAATGACTGAGCGCGATTGTTTATACTTATTATTTGAATGAAAGTCTTGTTGGATTAAAGATCACAATTTTAATTGATTCATATAGTCCTTGTCTTTTGTTGAATTAGTGTTGCGAGATGAATCGATCGGGTTTGTATTAGTGTTGCTATCAATGAAACGCCCAAAACTATGCTGCAACCATTATCAGAACCACAAAGCAGCAGCTTATATTGCTTCAAAGAGTGGTTCACACGCAGCCCAAAATGGTTGCCCTGTTTATTTCAACCTAAAGTTAGTGTTGCGTATTATGAGATGAAGGTGCACGGGAGTTTTTTCATTTTTATATTTATTAAATTAGCGTGGCGAGCAAAGAAAGCACCACTCGCGTTTTTTGAGAATTTTCTGAACATTAATTGATATTGAATAATTAGTGTTGCGAGTGATAAGCGCCCTACGTGGTTGCTCTCGGGAGTTTTTCATATTATATTAAATTATTTAGTGTTGCGTAAAGAAATATAATGGTCCACTCACGGGTTCTTCTTTTAATGAAATGAAATGTAAAGAGTGGACAGATTCAGTGCCCTATTGTGGCTGCTATTTTTCTGTTTTTGTATTATTTACCAAGTGTTTGCGTTGGAAATACTGCTGAAAAAATATTTATTTTGCAAAAAGAAGGGTTCAATTTTTTTTATTAATATCTGCCACATACACATTGAAGATTATATATTTGGATTGAAGATTTGATTAGTTACTGACGTTTGACACAAGAATAATGAAAATTAAAGTCAATTTCAGATTAAAGTTTAATTAGAGTCTTTTGAAGTAGGCATGACTATTTGTTGTTAGAGTTGTTAGTAGATTAATTGTTCAATCGTAATACGTTGCTTGCATACAATATGGATATCAAAATAGTGTACATTTTTGTAAATTTTTGGAATCTCTCTGCAAAAATCAAAATTTCTTCGCGATTGTTGCTAAACTTGACCATTAATGAAAAGCTTGCAGTTGAAAAAATATGCAAATGCAAATGCGATACTTCATATTGATAGCAACTTCTGAAGTAGAGTCACCGTTAATTCGTTATTGCTATCTCTATACCAGTATAATTTCAATTTCGATAGAGTAAAATGCGATTATTTCGATTTAAATGCTTTTATTATGTTAAATATTAATTATTGCATATGACAAATGAACTAATAGAGTCGCGATAAAATCTATTCTTGTTTCATCTTTGCACAGAGACATAATTCATTGTTTGCTTAAATTCATTTGCTTAAATTCATTTGCTTAAATTCATTTGCTTAAATTCATTTGCTTAATGGTTCAGTCTACCGTTTTAGTAAATTCATTTTCGTGAATAAAAAAGACAGATATTCTTAATATTTTGTGTGCACTAACCCGTTTCCTTTTCAGCTTCTTACCCAATGAATTAGTTTGTTGCAGATTATCTACATAATTCCTACAATGAACACAAGATTGCCAACATTAGAAGATAATACCATGTTTCAAATTCCTTGAATTTTTTGTTTCAGATTAGATATCGTCGTGGGATCAAATTACAACTCCACCGAAATAAAATGTCTATAAAACCATATTATTATGTTATGTATTCTTATTATGTCATGTATGCTTATTATGTCATGTTGTTATTGAAATTCTTATTGAAATTTATGCAAAATGAAATGTCCATAACTATGTTTTATTGTGATATATACTTTGAATATCTATTATCGAATTAAATTAAGTATAAAAATATATCGATATACTTTTATGCTTATTACATGGTGTTATTTAAATTGTTATTGCAATTATTATTCAAATTTATGCATATTGAAATGTCCATTAACATGTATTATTGTGCTCTTTTGAACTTCTGTTTCAGGGATCATCGTGGATACAAACTTCAAGCTGAAATATCCATACCTAATAATAATGTTGTCTCGTTCTAATCTTTCAGGATCTGTTTCAGAAATCATCATATGAAGACATCTCATATGAAGACCAATAATAATATCTCTTTCTAATTTTTATAGGTTCTGTTTCAGAAATCATCAGATGAAGACATCTCTTCATTCTAATGATCACATATGTTGAGTTCACGCTTCGCATGAACTTCATACGAAGATTTCTTTTATCTAATGTGAAGTTCACGTGACGGGTTCTCTTCATATAAAGATCTTGGGGGCTGTTTCGATTAAATCAACAACTAAATTCGTTGGGGAATTTGTTGCAAAAAGCACAAAGGGTGGGGCGGTGTAGGCGCGATGGGGGGTGGGTCTCCATTCGCAGCAACCTCCACGTGGTGAGACCTGGGCAATCATTATTATTTGCTATATAATTGACAGTCATAATCATGGTCGTAGCCAAGGTGGGCAGAAGACGGAAAAAAGTGGCTTTTGCCCCACCATATAAGAAAAAAAAATTGGATTTTGCCCCCCCCCCCTCTCGCCTCCTAGAGTTATAAAATTTTTGCGTAACATTCAATATTGCAGTATAATTTGAAACACGACCAACAGCCTCTACTAACAAAACACATACATTTTCAACGATTTATGTCTTTAACCCTCTTCCGTCCCTCATTTTCCCAACTTAATTTGTCCTTCATCGTCAATTTGACCCAGTGGTAAAAATGAATACAATGAAGCGATAAATAGTTAAATTTGCAAATTCATTAAAGTAAAAAAACACGAAGCCTCAGCTAAATTTACCTACACATGACAGAATAACGTCATTTCTTAGGAGAAAACTGTGTCAAATTGAGTCTGACTACGTACAGCCTTTTGCACTGTGGCAGTTGATGTGTTAATATTTTTGCCCCCCCCCCCCTGACTGAATTATATAGCAAATAATATGAGCTAATTGGCTGCGAGGTTGTTTATTTTGATCCATTGATTCTTGTTGTTAGCTTCTTTGTCTTAGCAGGACAATTGTAGATGTATATACATATTTATGTAATATGATTTGGCAAGAAAAAGAAATTGTTAATAACTCATTGAATAAAAACGTTAAAAACCTAACTAAAAGTCCTAAGACCCCCATTACCATTTTAATGCCAATACCCGACGTTACCGATAAAGCAAAATTCTACGATCCAACAATTACTATGTATATACGTAAGAAGTTGGTGATGCCATCAATGGTCCAAAAATGGTACTACTTGGCTAGTAGCTTGAGAATTGTACCGTAGATAGCGCATCTATCGTCACTTTGTTCGAAATGCGAGCACCGAATATGTAGATATTTTATAGTTCAACAAAGGTGCAAAATTGAGAAGTAAATTCTTCGTAAATCGTCGTAATTGCCGAAGCGAATAATCAGTGTTTCGTGTTTATGTGTTTCTTTTTCATGTTAGTGATAATAGTTTCGTGTTTATGTGTTTGTTTTTCATGTTAGTGGTTGTGATTCGCAAGAACGGGTCGTAAAGAAATCGGTGTCGTCAGAGTCGCTCTAAGGTCTTTCGGCGTCAAGCACTTAAACAAAAGGTTAAATAAGGTAGATCAAGCTGTTGTAATTGCCAATGAAAAAGAATAACGAAAATTTCGCGAAACTCGCGATCGTTATCGATAGGGCCAGAGGGTTGCATCGTTCTCGAAAACTCGAATGAACAATATAAATAATGGCAGCGAAGAGCAAACAGAAATTCTCTATAAATTGTTAATTGAACTCACAAGAGATAAGAAATGTTATCGCGCTTTATATTTAGGATGATTCGAATAAAGAAGCCCTGACTATCTTCCTGAAAGTAATAACAACGATTAAAACACGGTTAGGTTCGACAGTTTGACATATTAGCGGGAAGACTGGGCCGGTAGTTTTTAAGGCTGCGTTGTTACTAGTTGTCTGTGCAACCAAATGTTTCGCCAGACGTTCCAAAACACGAGTACACTTTGTAACTATTTCAAAATGCGGCCATTATCAGCGATAAACTCGTAAATTACAGCTGCGACTTGGCTACGATGTTCATTCCAGTTTTGGCAATAGATCGATAAACTTGGACGCGATACGTAAACGGTAAAGGATCGTAATTCTAGGATGTTTGAAAGTCGAACTGCAGCACCGTGGTCTCGGCAGTTTCGTTTCGATGGAGATGGAATAGTTGTTTCAGTTGCTCCCTGGACGAGGAAGGCGAGCAAAGCGTTTCACAGTGTTTCACAGCAAAAAGTTGAAACTGTGAAACCAGCGGATGGCGAGGTTAAGGGAGTTTGTCGACAAATTGCTGCGGAAGGGGGCGGAACTAACTTCGAGGTAAAGGGAAGAAGAAAAATTTCAAGAAAAAGAAGGTTACAGTGGGGAACAGATGGACACGCAGAGGCACGAACTGCGTTGGAATAATAGCGGGAGCTGTTTAAAGGAGGAGCGGGTGGCGACGAGGACGCGCAACGAAGTTTTCGATAGCTATTATCAATCGATGCGATAGAAAATCAGCGATAACGGCTCACGAGCCAACGAGAGAAGACTACTTACGGTGTTAGCGAGTGGTTAATGCAGCTTAAGATCACCGGACGAAGCGTCAGTAGTGTTGTCGATCTCGTTGTCAGTGGCGCGTGATCGTTCGTTTCATTTGGGTGTTCGGCGATCAGTTCTAGTTTCTCTGGACGTGACGATCATCTGGATAAAACGGGCAGTTCTAGGGTGACCGATCGTTCCGATCACGCGATCATCACCTGGCCGGCTCGGCGTCCTCGTCCACGCGCATCAGTTCGACCCCGAATCGTCTAAGAATAGTTATCCTCGGGGAACGATCTGCCCTGGGTTCGTTTCGACTGGTATCGCGAAGAGAGCGTTTAGGACAGCAATCCAGCGACGATTTCCAGGGGGCACTCGCGTAAATTTTGCTCGAGGATCGAAAGAGAAAATGGACGCGATCGGTGGCCAAGATCGCGTTAGAAGGGAGGAACGCGTCGTTGAAGAATCCTCGACGGTGTCCCGTCGATTTCGTTAAAATTCAAAAGAAGACGGCGAGCGATCGCTCGTATACATGGGTACCGTTTGGATCGTTCTGTTGACGACGTTCGCCGCGTGGTTCGCGTGTCAAGCGAATGGAGAAGTGACCTGTCGCGAGGTACAGTTGGCGCGTGGCTGCGAAGCTCTATGCAAGAGGAATCGCCACGGCACGGTGTCCTGCGAGCTCAGGATAGCGGTCTTACTTCCGGCGGATCCGAGATTCGACATTTCGTTGCCGAAGGTTCTACCGGTTCTGGGTAAGTCGAGGGATCAGGTATTCACGGTAGATTTCTGAGCTGATTCGATATCATTTGTGATGGCTTTCTATTCAGATTTGGCAGTCCACGAGGTGAGATCGCGAGGCTTGCTACCCCCGTGGCTGAAGCTCAAATTTCTCTCCCAGGACGATCATTGCGACGCGACTTATGCACAGATCGGTGCGATCGACAGTTTCTCGAACTGCGTTCATTTGTTTCTGGGACCTGCCTGCGATTATTGCGTGGGTAAGATGGAGGGGATCGATCGGTCTATCGTTTGGAATTTGGTAGCTCGATCGCTGTCAGAACTCGGGCACGTCAGTGACTACAGAAATAATAGGACTACGGGTGCCATTGTTGTCGAGGGATCATGGATTTTGGGTGTCTGAGGAACCCAAAATGAAGTTAGGTCTCTTTCACCACCGCTGAGATTTTCGTCTATGCTATCGCACACCCATACCTAGATAGCACATGACGCCTTATAACGCCTTCAAGAAGGCTTAAAGGCGCCTTAGACCTAAAATAGCCGTAAAATGGACGTCTTTAAGGCGTCATGTGTTATCTGGGTACGTATCCTAATGGTATGCTGCAGTGTAAATTTCTTCATACTCTTATTGTAACATAAAGCAAATGGCGCTTGTTGTTCTCGCACAATGTTCGAGCACATTGTTCTCGAGGCACAGATTCTTGACCCCTCGACAACAATGGCATCCGTAATCTTATTACATTTGTAGTCAATTGTCACGTTTAACGATTTCCAGCGGCCGTTGGCAGAGTGGTAAAATTTTTCGGCGCCCCGTTGATCACCACCGGTGGATTCACCTTCGACTTCACGGAGAAGAAAACCGAATGCAAGGACGAGTACTTCATGACCACCAGAATTGGTAATTTGGCGTTCAGGGATCTCGCGAACTTTTTCGTCGGTCTAATGAATCGGTGCGTGTGATTATCGTCGTGGATCGTTGCGATTTCTTGTACACGCGGTTTCACATTCTCTTGTCGTTTTCGGACCAGCTACGAATGGCGGAAGGTGCATCTAGTTTACGCGACGAATGGACAGAGCCAGGTGGCGGGACGGCACACTTGTCAACTGATGATGAAGTCTATGGTGGAATTTATCAAGAAACAGCCGAACTTCGCGTTCGGCACGTTTGATGTCGAGACCACGGAGCCTGGAGATTATCCAGAGGCGTTGCGGGATCACGTGGGCAACTGGTACGGCGGTGAGTTACCATTTTTCTATCCCCGTTCCGTCTATTTTCGACTCTGACACGGACGAATTTCCACGTGACTGATCGAAACCGCAGCCGTGAATGGAATACGAACGAGAGTAAGGGCATTATTGCATTCTTTTGTTCAGTCGCAACCGTCGGTCTTTGAAAGTTTCGAGTTTTCTTTGCTCGTGAGGGACCACGGTACTCGCGCGATCGCACGTCCGATCGGCCGTATCAATTAGATGAAGCGAACAGCTTATCGCGTTGTTTCGTGCCCGTTATCAGGACGTGTTATCGTGCAGCCAAAGCGTTTCTATTATTGTTCTTTTTTTTTGCACGCGTGATACACCTCTCGACGCGTTGCAAATTCATTGCGTTGTTCAAAGAGCTTGCGAACACTACACGTGCTCAATGCGTTAAGTACGAGGCTGTCGTTTTCGCCGTTCCGTTCAAACGAAACGCGTTCTTACGATAAAGATTGCGCGCGAATATCTTTGGTCGGTACTCGAACTCTGGCACGTTTCTACCGGTAAGTTCGAAACCGCGAGAACCGTTCAGGGAACCACAGGGAGTAGACATTTCATCCAATGTATTTTTGCGGCCCACTTTTATGGGGTTTCGTTACCCCATTTATATTTTAGTGTTACTACTCACTGTAACTTTACATAGACGAGGTATAAGAATAGACCTTTCATCTTATGGTAGTTGGTGGCACACCTAAACTGTAATACCGACACCTTAAAAAGCCTATGATTTTAGTGACCTCTACGTTTTCAGAACGGTGAATCTGCGGTGGGTAGTGGCACTAAAATGGAAATGGAGTAATGTAACCCCAGGAAAGTGGACCACAAAAATACATTGCATGAAAGGTCTATTGTTGGGTCTCAGTTCAAGGTATACAGGGTGGCCCAAAATAATTCCTCAAATAACCTTTTATATCTTGTTGACAAAGCCTGGGAGAACATAATTACTAAGGAAAAAATGGTTGCAAACCGCGCTTTTAAAGAACTTACACCTATTTTGGGACACCCTGTATAGAGAAATCATCGTAAGTACCCTCACGAGCCAAACTCTGCTTCCGCTAGGGGAAAAAGTGGCGTTGATGGAAGGACCGCATACAACTTGAGAAATTTAATTCAAATACTGAAATAAATTTGAAACTAAATGTTAATTTGCCATAAATTTCAGTAACTTCCACAACTAAGTGGTGGGAGGCCCTTCCCCTACGCCAATTTTTCCCCTAATGGGAGCTGAGTTTGCAGGTCAGTGTACGTTTCGGCTGGCGGGGTGGAAGTTGGTGGAAGTTGGTGGTAGTTGGTGGAAGGCGATGAAGTACGACAATAGTTGTCGGAAGATCGGACGCATGCGTTCCCTTCGGTCTTCCCAGTAATGTTTCCGATCGGGGCCGCAACGCGCAGGCACGAACGCGTGGTCGGGTCCAGAGAAAGAGAGGTGGATCGAGGACAGGTGCAGGAAAAGGACGATCCGCGATGTCGGAGGCGATTCGGAGTAGACAGTTTCCTCTGAAACGCTCCAGTCGTTTCAGTTTCGATCGCGCAGCCCGTGCACGCTTGCTCGCGCTCGCTCACTCGCCCTCGTCGCGGAAAGTCGGTCTCGTTTCTTTCGTTGGCGGGAAGAAATTTTGAACGTGGACCGCTCGAAAAACAGTCGTGTTCGAAAGATTTTTACTGTTTCGTCCAGTGGTATATTTATCCTATCCGAAGAAAAGGAGGCGAAATCCTTCGTAGATGTTTCGTGGACACGCGTCTATAAAACGGGTGACGAGGAAAGAGCGATCCTCGAGATCGATCTAGATTTTCAGTTTTTATTATTCACTTGATCGATCTTTGGATGCGTGTTACGAACAGATTGCTTTCGATCGAGACGAAGGAGTAAAAGGAAGGTGAAGATACGTGGTTCGCGCTCGTAAAATTCGAAATTGTCCTTGAAAGGTGAAAAGGTTTCTGCTATTCGATCGACGATTGGAACGAACTGACGGAAAGGAAAGGAAATGAAATGAAAAAGGATGGAAAACATGACGAATCTCGAACGGGAGTATTGTTCGCGTAACCCGAAAAAACATCCAACAAACCCATAAATAACGATCGATTTCCAAAATTAGTGGACAGGTGTTCCGGTCAAAGGTAAACTATACCTACGAAAAGAGCGATTGCGAGTTAACCGAAACTTGACGAGATCGACGATGTCGTCGTCATCGTCGAGGCGAGATACACGGTACAAACGTGTAAAAGACGCGCCCGTTCGACTGACGTTGCTCTTGACTACGATGTGTGCGAGCGCGAGCGCAACGATGCAACCACCCAAGGAGTGCATCGAGCCGCGAGGTACGCCGATGAAACGGGAGCCAGTGAAACTGGCGGTGATAGCGCCGGCGGATCCCCGACACGAGCAAAGCTTGCTAAGGATATTGCCGGCTGTTCATCTGGCGGTGAAAGCCGTCAGCTCCGCGAAAGGTCCTCTGCCAGGATGGACGATACTGGTCGAGCATCGGGACTCACGATGCTCCAGTACTTACGGCCCTTTGGCCGCATTCGACTTCTACATCAACCAAACGGCAGGTCGTCTTTCCACGCTTCAACACGTCTGTTCACATTCCCCCTGCCTTACCCGTTCCGTTTACGACCCACTATACGAATCGGACGAACAAGCGTAGCGTTGGTGACTGTATTAAGCCATATTCACACTAGCGGTCACGGTACGGTCAGATCACGTTAAATCAGGCAGCGGTATTTATCAATCACACGTAATCTGATGAGAACGATATAATCTAAATTCAGATTGATCGTGATCGGACCGTACCTTTGACCGCTAGTGTGAATCTGGCTTTATCCGCCGACGACGGGGGAACCCTTCCTTCTCCCCGATGTACTCGATTCTTATCGGATATCTATAATTAGGATTGTTTACGGCGCGAACGTCATCGTTTCCTACAGTTCGGTCATCGATCGTTTTATCGACGACGACGTTATCGAATCGTTGGGCTGATCGATCGTCGAGTCCGATGACCGAGAGACACGCGTCGCGACAGGTAGACACGGACTGGTTTGTTACCGGAAACACGGTCACAAAAGCGACAAGATTCAGTGATTCCTGGATGAATGCGACACGAGCGACGGTGTTATTCCCACCAGTGGGCGGGGCATCACCTGAAATCAATCTAAATAGATAGTTAAGCAGAAGCTCGGCTTCGGATAAAAAACGAATTTACTCGTTTGTACACGTTATTCGGCCGCACCCTATATATAATAGAAGATAATCAACGAACACTAGTCCTAATAAAGTTAATAACATACTAAAAACTTTAATCGGCAAGAATTGACAGATGAAATTTGCGGGTTTGGCCAGATTTCCGGTTGAAATACCCCACTGTGTGATGCTCGGTGACAACGGCAAAGTCGATGTAGCAATCGCTCCGTTTTACGCTCTATCTCTTCTACTTACCTGGCCAGAACAGCTTCTGCATAAACAATGCGATAAAAGCTTGTCTTGCCTCACCAAGCCTGTACACATACATACAGGGTGTCCCAAAATAGCCTCGACTCCCTGAAATGAGGGGTTCCTGGGATGATTTGCAACAACTTTTTCCTTAGCAAAAATGTTATCCGAGGCTTCGTTAACGAGATATTAACGAAAAACCCAGACCAATCGGAGCGCGCGTCTGTCGGTCGTGTTACCGCGGTATCGTTGGCTACCAATCGCAGCGCGTCAGTCAACGCTACCGCGGGAACACGGCCGACAGACGTGCGCTCCCATTAGTCGGGGTTTTTCGTTAACATCTCGTTAACCAAGCCTCGGATAACATTTTTGCTAAGGAAAAAGTTATTTCAAATCATCCCAGGAATCCCTCGTTTCTGGGAGTCGATGCAATTTTGGGACACCCTGTATACCTTTAGCTTTTTCCGCAAGCACCCCCTATTGAAGTCCTCAATCATCCTCGCCACTTTCATCCACTCAAGTCTACTATCTACTCATTCATCCTGCTCTCTTACCTTTTTTTCAAATCGCCTACATACGCGAGATCTTGTCCGTACGACGATCGTCGTAGCCGCGACCATTTGTGTTTACGCGAGTAACGATGGCAAAGCAATAACGATGGGAACACGCGGGAGTCATCAGTTCGGTACGCGATTCGTTTCACCGTGAATATCGTACGTTACGTTCAATGTAGCATCCTATGCCGCGAGCCAACCAGCGAAACTTAATCGTATTTCTAATATGCGAACTAGAAGCAACGAGTTTTCGAGTTACTCGACAGTTTGAAAAGTACAGTGGGTAACAAAATTATTCCCACACTTATCATTATATTTTATATTTATATTTACATTAACATTTATTATATTTTCATTATAGCCTCAGATTAAAAAGTCGTAAAAAGTAATCTAACGGCGCCAAAATATGATTTGCATATTACTGACAATATATTTTGCGTCTGGAAGTTGCTTGTTAATGGACTGCATACGAGGGTTGCGGATCGAATTCGTTGGCAACTCCTTTGAGAATCGCCCTCTTTCTCCGCCGTTGCCTCCTCTCGCGAGCGTATTTTCCGTTGCTTTGTCCGTGAACACGCTGTTCCGGGAGAAATTTATAGTTACGAGTGTTGTTCTCCGGCGTCCCGTATTTTCTGCGTCTCCCTACGCGCGTGTAATTCCCCGCGTTTTCGACCATCTATCACGGGACGATAGTGCTCGAAGCCGTCGCGTACGTACTTGATCGGTGGAAAGTAATAGTTGGATAGTCCGATTTTTTGCCACTGTGACGAGATAAACGTTATCGTTTCGTGAAAATATTACTTTGAGATCGGCGGCGATAAGTTTGGAATTCTCGATCGAGTTCGAATGATTCTGTCGCGAGAGGAAAAATTAGGCGAACGCGCGTCTGCACACGAAATAGGTGATTCCTGGGGTGACTTGAAACAACTAATATTCGCACATACAAATTTACGTTCGTTAACTTTTTTTCGCCGTTTCCGAGCATGATTTTCGCGTACGCAGATGCGTTCCTGGGCCCAGTATGCGACTATGTGATCGCTCCAGTCGCGCGATACGCCGGCGTTTGGCGTATTCCCGTGTTGACGGCGGGTGGACAAGCGGAAGCGTTCCGACACAAGGGCGAGCACTATCCCACCCTGACGAGGATGATGGGATCGCATCGGCTGGTGGGCGAGGCGCTCAGGCACATTTTAAAGCGATTCGGATGGAAACTCGCCGGCCTTTTGTACCACAATCACGCGATGGCGAGTAGCCGCGGCAATTCCGAGTGTCACTTCACTTTGGGGGCGGTTTTCACGGCTCTGAACCAGACGCCGGTTCACAGAAGCTTCAACCAAGAAGCGACAAACGGCGAGGATTACAGAAATTTACTGGAGTTTGTCTCGAAATCCGCCAGGAGTAAGTTCCACCGCAGTTCGCCGACTTTCTTCTTCCGGGACCCATTCGAATCTCTCTCTCTCTGTCTCTGGTCTGTTGGTCGAGTCGATAGATGTCAAATTGAATTTAATTGAATTTAATTTAATTTAATTTAATTTAAGTGAATTTAAGGTCGTGGCGTACTTAAGCGACGTAGAATTAAAGAAAAATATAAAATTAGTAAGGTTTGATGATTTTTTAATTCTCGTCCGAATCTAGTGATGAATCCAAGTGATTTACTGTATTTGGCAACAGCGTGATTATAATTGTCTTTAAAGGAAACAGTACTGTTGTAATGCATGACAAGATCACGCACTGTATCCGAGGAGGATAACTCAGAATTTCCAATAGGATGAGGAAAAAGTAATAATTCTCGCTGGTTTCAGTTGTAGTGATGTGTGCCAACTCGACTACCATCAGGGAAATTTTGTTGGCAGCCGAACAGCTTGGAATGGTGGACTCCGGGGAATACGTCTTTTTCTCCATCGAACTCGCGTCAAGGTAAGCGAAGAAACAACTATTGGGTTGTTCGAAAAGCAATTTCGTTTTTTTATGAAAATGAAAGACGATTTTTTTGATAGAAAGAAACAGTTTTATTAGTTGTATACATGGGTGTAGGTTATTTATTATTACAGTTTTATTTATTATATACGTAGTACTTGCTCCCCCTCCCCCTGGACGGAAAAAATGGCTTTTGCCCCATCCTACAAGAAAAAAATTGTATTTTGCACCACCTCCCCTCCCTTCCCAGCGTTACAAAATTTAAAAGAATTTTGCAACGACCGAAACTGGTGCATTTTCGATGCAACAACAAACAAAAACGACTTGACAGATTCAGGAACATTTTTTTAAACTGGAGCTTGAAATGTCAGTTATCACAAATATATGATAATTTTATAAGTTAGAATAAAGTTGTCTTCTTAACCCTTTGCACTTGGAATTTCTAATTTTCCATACATTTTGTCCCTTCAGAGGGGACAGATAGCCGAGCGCAAAGGGTTAATAATACGATTAACGAGATTTAACTGGAAAAAAAACGAAATTACTTTCCGAACAAATCCAATAGTCCTCGATTAGGAACGGAGGTAAGGAAGGGTGGAGCGTGGAATCGCGAGTCCACCCGATATGTGTCCGTCTCGCCAAGAATCGAATCGGTTTCGGTCGGACGCATCGGAGCCCGCAAACCGCAATTCTCCGGTCCAGAATTCACGCGCAATGCAACGCCTGTATCGTGTCGGTGTGTGCTACATATGTATATCGCGGAGAAGGGGGGGAAGCATGATGGAGAAGCTGAGGAAAAATGCAAATGAAATGATAATTGTAACTCTTATTTAAGTCTTTATGAATCACAATATAATTATAAGTTAACAATCTAGTATTTAGCACATGCTTGGGACTATATAAAGTCAGAATTTTAAGTTATTAAGCTTAAAAAAAACCCAGAGAAAACCATCTTGCTTCTACCACGGGGTAAAACCGATAATAGAAAACGATGGTTTATCTTGTCTATTCTCTAAATTGGATATCGCCACGAACATTTTTACAAAATCGCCACAACTGTTTTTCAGCGACAACGACTCAAAGGAACCGTGGAGGATGGAGACTGACAGCGAGGAGAGAAACGAGAGAGCCCGGAAGGCCTACCAGACGCTGTTAACGGTTACCCCACGGACCCCCGACAATGCCGAGTATTTCAACTTTTCGCGAGAGGTTAAGTCTCTTGCCCAGAGTAAATATAATTTCACATTTGGAAACAGTTCAGTCTCGACGTTTGTGACCGCGTTTTACGACGCCGTCCTTCTCTACGCGCTCGCTCTCGAGGACAGCCTGCCGGACCAACCCGGCAAAGTAAACTTGGACGGTGGTAAACTGACCCGGCGAATGTGGGGAAGGAGCTTCAAAGGTAAGCTTCCAAGCTATCGAATGTTATATTGTTAGTCCAAATTGGTCTAAGGGCACTTTTCACACCCTTATCATGCTGTATCTTTTGTGATTTCTGGTTTTCACTGTTGTTCGGTTCTCGTTCATCCACGTTTTCTGGAACTGAACATTCCAGGCATCACGGGGGACGTGAACATCGACGAGAACGGGGATCGCATAGCGGACTATTCCCTTCTAGACATGAATCCGGAAACGTCCAAATTCGAGGTAAAAGTGGAGTCACGCGTATTTAGGGTAGATGTCTCAATTACTGTCACCTTAAGATTGTAGCGTAACTGTAGCGTATTACCATGTACATCTCAGTACACGTATTTCATTGTTTTTATGTACATCAGAGTCCCAAATTAATAGTAAAATTTCTTTTTGCACAATTCTTTATACGTTACGTTGTTGTTATGTAAAATAAATAAAGTGACGATATTAGGGACATTGGCGGTAATTGGGACATTTACCTTACATTATTCGTGATTCGTAACCACGCCTAACCGAGCGTATTTCGAAACGTTTTGCCGTAGATCGTCGCCAATTACTACGGTGCCAATAAAACGTTGGAGTACCTGCCCGGCAAGATGATCCACTGGTCTGGTGGGCGGACCGATCCGCCGCCGGACACGCCCACTTGCGGATTCGACGGCTCCTTGTGTCCTGACAATTGTAAGCTGTACAGATGTTAACTAATAACGCGTTTTCATTCCACGAATCATCGCGTCGCGACGCCACACAATGGTCTGAAAACGCGTTTCTACTGGCCAAAAGTCAATTTTTGAAGTCCAGGAGGGGAAGCAAGCGCCCCCCTGTCCCCTGGCTATGCCCATACCTTGATTACCAACTTTTATAGAGATTACACCTTCTTCTATATCGGTTCTCTTCGACAGCTCTTCCCGGACACGCGATTCTCTCGATGGTTTTAAGCTCTATCGTCGTCGTTCTTGTCGTCGGCTCGGTCTTCACTTACAGGTAAGTGGATACGCGAATCCAGGCCCGAATTAAGATTTCCTTTCACAATTTTTTCTGTTCTTGTCTAAAACATCACTTGGTAAGTTATAGGAAAGAAAAACTAAGAGTTCCGGAAAAGTATGAAAGTAAAATTATCTATGTTTATCTAATCTGCCAGAATGAGGGTATTCCAATTGCTCCAATAACCGTGAATATTTTGGTTGCCTACACAAGGGTTAATCCGTATCGCAACCGTGGAATTTCAAACCGCACGATTTTCATCCGCGACGTTACTTCCTTTGCAAGCAGTCAGAGGGGAAGCAGCGGTATCGTTCGCGGATGCGAACGATAATAATCTTTTTCGATCGCGTTGCAGGTACTTCAAGCTCGAGGCGGAAATCGCTTCCATGACGTGGAAGGTGCACTGGAACGACATCATTATGCTGGTTCCAAACACGAGATCGCGAGGTTCCATGTACTCTTTGATCGCGAACAAGATGCGTTGCAGCCAACTGGTGAATACGAGATAAGCTCCCGTAACACTTATTTCATCGAGAAAGAACGACTGCGATGTACGTAGTGTATACAGGGTGCGACCGAGTAACATGTACAAGTGGGTACAAGGTGATTTCTTATGAAAAAATAAGAACAAAATATGCAATAAAATTTGTTTATTTGAGGCTTAGTTTTCGAGAAAATCGACTTCAAAAATTAATCTGAAACACGTGTGTTCACTATAGTAGTAAGTAGAAATGGACTGCAATGAACAGACGCGCTAGCCCAGTCCTATTCAATTCCCCTCGTATTTAGCCGATTTTCAAAGACGATTTTCTCAAAAACTAAGCCTTAAATGAAAAAATTTTATTCCATATTTCGTTCTTATTTTTTTCATAAGGAATCACCTCGTACCCGCTTGTACATGTTATTCGGTCGTACCCAGTATGCATAGCATATCTATCCCATTCGTTCTTATCGAATGTAGACGAATACGTTTTTATGCTTTCCGACGGACGACAGGGCGAGCCGGAGATCGGGAAAAGTGGGCGCCCGAGTTGCCGTCGAGCGTTTATTTTATTTTTACCCCGGCGGATCCTATAAATGAGATTTCTCCCGGAAAAAAAGGAGAAATCGTTGCAATATTTATGCAGCTTCATCCTTGTTTTAGCCTTCTCGACGTGAAACGGTACTGTCACCCCCCTGTAATCGTGGTAGTCGGCGCTTTCATTCGAATCGATTATCGTGCCAGCGAAGGGAATTAATCTGAAATGAAATTCGCGTTTTTTTTTTTTGTTCACAGACAATATACTCGGTGGAGAATGCCAGTTTACCGGACGAAATGGACAGAAGCTCGTACGTTCCAACGGGTATTTACAAGGTTCGAATTCGAAACCCTGTCCACTGCTTCATACCCACGGTACCTCCTTCCCGTTTTCTTTTCTTTGTTTTTTATAACGTAAAGGCATAATTCGTTGCAGAACTCGAAAGTCGCTATAAAATTTGTGCCCAGGACCAAGATGGAAATCTCGCGGCCGTTGTTGCTCGAATTGAAGAGGGTGAGTCTCTTCGACCTTTCAACCTGGAATCGCTCTTATCGTTTTTGTTTCGTTTTTCTCCCTTTTGTCACGCAGATGAAGGATCTGCAGCACGATCATTTGGTACGATTTTACGGTGCCTGCGTCGAGCCACCGCACTGTTGTCTCCTGACCGAATATTGCCCCAGGGGATCTCTTCAGGTTGGTCGATCTTTTCGCTGGCAGCGCACAATGGAGGGCAGGGGGCGAATACGTAGGATCGGTCGTATACAGGCATATTTTTCTATTAATTTTGTTTTTTCAAATCTTTAAACACATTGTACTAAAACTAGGTAACAAACGTTTTACGTGAAAACTGTAGTTTATACCTGAAAACAATTTTTAAAGACTTATTTACCCGGTCGTCATAATTTCCCCTTAAGCACCTCGCGATGGGTTACCTGTATCAGTTGTTCAGCTCGACAAAATCGATCTAATTCCCACTCGAATTGTGCTGTGTGCTGACAGGATGTATTGGAGGACGAACGAATCAAGTTGGATCGGGTGTTCGAAGTGTCTTTGATACACGACATCGTTCGAGGTATGGCGTACCTTCACGCGTCCGAGGTGAAGAGTCACGGTAACTTGAAGTCCTCGAATTGTGTGGTCGATTCGCGATTCGTTCTGAAGATCGCCGACTTTGGATTGCACGAACTGCGAAAATTGAATCCGACCGATGCGGACGCCGACAGGAACACATACGCCTACTGGAGAAGTGAGCGCACGAAAATTTCATAAGACGCGGTAGAGTATCGATTTGGCGACCGAAGCGATCGATTATCACTGGTCAACATGATTTTTGTCTCAAAGAACAATTATACTGATTCTTATAGATTCTTTTGTGCTGAATACGAATCCGTAAACAGTTTTTTGTCATTACCCTCAGTTTCCGAGGAATTTGATTTAAAAAAAAAATGCAAATTTTCAACTTTTTGTATACCATTTTATTCGGGAGAGTTTACAGAGTAATTTGACGCAACAATCAACTGAATGACTATTAATGTTTGAACACAATAAATGTTCAAAGTTGAAAATTTGCATTTTTTTTTTTTAAATTAAATTTTCTCAGAAACTGAGGGTGATGGCAAAGAACTGTTTACGGATTCGTATTCAGCACAGAAGAATCTATAAGAATCAGCAACTGGATGTTCGAAGATAAACAAAAAGTTAAATTTTGTTGACCGGTGTTATTTCGACGACGGAATGTCGGCTGGTGAAACTTTACATTTCGATTCGTGAACGTTCAACATTCATACCTACGGTGTATCTGTGTGTGATCAGTGTAGACGCGTTCAATGTTCTCTCGTGCACGCAGGACAGTTGTGGACAGCCCCGGAACTGTTGCGAACGGATAGACGACCGCCGGAAGGTACTCAAAAGGGGGACGTGTACAGCTTCGCAGTGATCGTCCACGAAATCGTGGTCCGCCAGGGACCGTTCTACTTGGCTGACAACACTAATCTCCCACCAAAAGGTTTGTGACCATTGAACAATATATGTATACCTGGAACGATAACAGAGTACGGAGAACACTAGATGGGTAGGAGCCAAGGCAGATAGTTGTTTCGAAGGTATCTCTCACAAGGGAAGGCATGGAAGTGTCCCCCTCAGATTTTGATGAAACTTCGTATGTCTGTTAAGCGGTCAAAAATAAGGAATACGTATCTTTTTGTATCGGCTGAGACGCGACTTTAAGGGTTGAAAACACCCCTCGAAGAGAATGGATGAGTGTCCGGATTAAAAAAATCGATTTGGTTCCTACAATTGTTCGCTTGCGTACAGATTCTATTAATTGGGTCACTATCGTTCAGTTTAGTTATTAATATCTACAAAAACAGGAAAGAAGTTTCTTTCAACATATTTCAACATATTTCAAGGTCATCGAAATCGACGAGGATTGCCCTATTCCGAATAATCATCGGAACATCCGAACCCGTCGAGTTATTCGAACGTGTGTGTCACCGAGGATCGAGCGTGGAACGGTTCGTGCCCTGTGGTTGCGGTTTCAACCGGTAAAAGGAGCGTTGGTATCGCGCGATGGTGGAGTTTTCGTATCGACCGACCGCGGCGTCAGGCTCGACGCGCGACCACTCGCATTTCGACACGTTTCCACTCGTTTCTACTCGATGCTCGTCGTGAATAGCGACGAACGGTAGCTCCGTATATCCGCGTGAAGGACTTCGCGGGTGGTATGTACGGTCTACGGAGCCGGCGGATCGATCGGTAACGAAGTTTACGAGCTTTGGCAAGCTCGGCTCTCGGCGAGAGCGGCAGGATCGATGACAGGATGAAACGGGCCATGAGTGTAGGCTAGGAGCGTTTCGAGTCGGGGGTTGAAAGCTCAGTCGAAGCTTTCTCGCGTCCTGGTACGCACACGGATTTCGCGCACGTTGTTTCCTCGTCGCTTCTCTTCCACCCTCTATCGCTAACTCGCTCGTTCGTTCACTATCCCTTACATTTATCTCTCTCTCTATCTCTCTCTCTTTCTCTCACACATACACACACATATATACTCTGTTTCTTTTTTTCTCACCCCAAATCTTTCTCTATCGCAAGCATTCACTTGGTCCCCCTTTTCTTTCCCCCGGTGTTCCTGTTATCCGTTGTTCTCGTTCCCCGCGAGGAGTTGGTCCGTAATCTTGTATCGGCACGTGAAGTCAGTGATTACGCGGTTATGACAGCGTGGACGTTTCATTAGACGGAAGTAGAGTAGTACGCGGTATGTCTTGGTCATTACCGCCGTGTGTTCTTTTCTATTCGTGTGGCATGTTTGCGTGTTTGTGTGCGTGATCGTGCGGGCTACGTGACTACGTGCCACTCCATCTCGGTTAGTGCTTGTGTTTACGAACCCTACGAACGTCCCATTTACTCTGTCCGATTTTCGTTTTTACTCGATATTCAACCCCTTTTCCATCCCTTTCGCCCTTTCCCTTGCCCCTTTTCTCGTTGCCTCCCTCTCACCCGCTTTTCAATCCCCCTCCCTCTTGCCTCCACGTCTCTTTCCGTTCTCTCTCCACGAGTGTTTCGAAGCCAATTACCCTGATTCCATATCCGAGATCCGGCAGTTAATTGATTACTTCGGGCGGCTCGAGACTGACGACGACAGCGATGACGATGACTGCAACAACGACGAAAACGCGTTTCAGGTTCGCAGAACTGACAAGGGTGGATTGTAAATGGACGAAGTGCGATCGAGCCACGAAACATTCCAACACCCTCGAACGTGTATCTTGTGCGTGGAGGGCTCGAAAGTTCATCGAAGCCGGTAGTTCGATAAAAGTGTTCCCCGCGAATGCCAACGCCGGTTTTAATTCCTTGGCTTCTAACATCGAGTTGGACTCGTGGTGACGACATTCGATACGGGTTTCATAAACAATATTATTATTTATTATCTTCGAGTCGATGTGAAATATTGTCCTGCTGTTATTAACCCCTTTGCACTCGGAATTTCTAATTTTCCATACATTTTGTCGCTTCAGAGGCGACAGTCGAATGCAAAGGGTTAACATTTAAGAGTAAAAACACATGAAAGTAAAAAAAAAACATTTCGGAGTAAATGTACACTTGCAATTAGTACAAAATTCCTTCTGCTTCTGGGAAGCTAGTAAAATATTTCATTGTAGACGTGAAAAAGAATCGCAAGGCAAGGGGTTAATTTAATGTTATTTAAATGGGTTAATAATGGGGAAGGATTTCGATCGCGACGTCGATAGGGAAAGCTCGTCGGACTTTCACGCGTTCGACGAACCTTTCGGTCCAACGTGGTATCGCGCAGGGAATTAGGGACGGAACTCATGCGTCCGAAGGAAAACAACGGTCGGAACGAACGTTCCATTCATTGTTTGGCGTGAACTGGGAGATCGTGTACGCGATCGAGGAAGAATCGAGTTCGTTGAACCTTGCCGCGACGAAAGATGCAGCGTTTCGAAAACAAGGTGGACAAGAGGGTTTCTCGTTGCGGGGTGTAAACCATCATCGATTTCAACCACCGGCTTCGACACCGGCCGGAACAACGTCTCGTCTGAACATCGACGAAACGGAAGGAGAAAGACCAGTGGATTAATTGAACTAGTCGGAAATCATATTCGAGTGTGAACTTTTAACGAATTTTGTTTACAACCGCCAGGATTTCTGCGTTAACACTGGAACTACTAAACCCGTTAATATAACGGATTGCAGGTTTTTTATTTTACAATTTCTGAAGTTTGATTTAATTTAATTTACCTTGCAAAAGTTTAACGAAAACATCGCATGACACTACTTCTACTAGTTTTAAGTATACATGTTACTATCGTAGTATCTGGTAGATGGAAGTTTCGATTAGTGTTGTTAAAATGAGCCTCGAGTCTTGAGCTTTAACAGCTCGAGTCGCGGTTCAAACCCTAAAGGCTCGAACCCTCAAGGTTCGAAGCTTGAGTCGTGAAAGCTCGAGTCTTTAACGCTCGAGCCTTTAAGCTTGAAGGCTCGAGTCGTATAAATTGTATGTAGTGAAGTAATGTACAGACCTTGAGTTTTCGAAGCCTTAAAACTTAACCTAAAAGTTTTCAGTTTTTAACTCTAATATTACACGAATCTCAAGCTTTTAAAGATTCAAGGGCGAATAATCCAAAAACGTCCAGAAAAGCGTGGTTTTTATAAATTAGTTCTGCAACACCCAAACCTCATTAAACTATTATTAATAGGGTGATCAAATATATATTTTGGACAATACGTTAAATTTTCTTTTATTACAAAATACCTATGTATACTTGAGCAAGATATACGAGTCATAGGATGTTACGCGTCGAACAAAATAATTTCTCAATTTGTTCACGGTTCATTGATCAAAGTTGGGACATTTTTTTCGTTATTCACGTGATATTCGACTTAATATTCTGGTAGAATATTTTCGAAAAATTATACTTTGAAAGTATATATATAAAAAACTTAATTTTTGCCAATCGTCACTGTGTTATTCCACATTAAGTCTGAAGCTTTAAGGTTCAACCCTCTAGAACCCTTAAGTGTTAAATAATGGAATTTACACTAAATCTATAATATTATACTTTATACAGTTTTTAAAAAATACAGCGATGACTGCAAACACATGAGAGATTGATACCAAGAAAGGGAAATGAAGAATGAAACAAAATAACTATTGAATAGTAGACGAAATGAAACATTGCTAAAAATTTGTCTGTAATGTTCAAAATATAGTATTATCTGATCGACTGGAAACATACCCTTACGCCGTGGGAGTCATAGATGACCGGCAGCAAGATTAATGTATTACGCATGATAAGTTTGCACAATACATATAATCATATTGTGTAATATATTATTATATGATTCTAATGGGCAATCACTCTTTGGCGCTGAAGACAAAACCAGCAGAAACACGCTAAGAAGTGAACGTGTTAAACATAAAAGCCTCGAGCTTCGAGGCTCGAGCCTCGACTACTCAAAGCCTTGAAACTCGAGCCTCGAGCCTCGACGACTCGAGCCTTGGAGCTCGAGCCTTGAGCCTCGAGCTTCATATGATTGTAGCCTTAAAGACTCAGTCTTTAAGGCTAAGCTTTGTAGCTTCAAAGACTCGAGCTTTATACAACACTAGTTTCGATCTTATAAATTGATTCTGAGAAAAATTCCATTTGGTTTTGTTACGTTTCTTGGCTACATTGCGTATTGTGGATATTGTATCGGTGTTATTGTACCTGGATGTGTAGGAAGTAGGGTAGAATAGATTGTAATGCCTGGCTGCACGAGAGGGTACGTGGAAATTTATTTGAGAGGGTAGGACAATCTACTAAGCTGATCATTTTATATAAAAATAATACTTTTTGTGGAATTGATCGTTTGACTTCTGATTTACTATACATTTCATATGATACTGTATTACGCCAGATTATATTATGTTATTATTTATTTATTTATTTATAAACGGGTTGGCCCCATTGTTTCTATAAGTAATAATTAATCTTACAAGTTGCATAAAATGTGTATTATGTTTTTATGTTTATTATGTTTATTACTAAATTTTACAAGTTAATTTAGTATACATTTACTACTGGTAGTTCCAGTGTTAATCATCCCTTGCTTGTGCGACCGTTTTTGGGATACATTTTTCGAATCCTCGCGATAACGATTTCGAACGGAATTCGATTCGGGCAAGTAATTGCGCGAGCCTCGCGTTCGAGATCGAAGGGAAAGCTCTCCTCGCGTGTGCCGAGCATCGATTAAACGATAATGGTAGGGGCGATAACGTTGAGCCATTATTTAGGACGAGGCGCGAAAGATTTCGGTTCCTATCCTCCTTACGATGTCCTCGACGCTTCTCCAACCGGTTCATCCCCCATTGCGAGCTACATAACTAGTAAGGAAAGATCCTTCTACAATTTGCTTTCGGAAGTTTCTCAAATTTATGCCAAATTAACATGCACTTTAATATTTATTTCAAGTACCAAAATAAATATTAAATCGAATGTTAATTTGGCATTTTCGATAATTCCCGATACCAAGTGATAGAAGGCACTTCTACTACACTGCTTTTTCTCCTAGTAGGAGCTGAGTTTGCCTGTGAGGGTACACTGACGAGCAAACTCAGTTTCCTCTAGGGGAAAAAAGGGGGAGAGAGAGAGAGAGAGATAGAGAGAGTCAGATGCATAGTAAAATGGGAAAAGAATTGAAAATGTAATGGGTAAATTCGCAAGTGTGTCGGTTAAAAAAGTCTAGTAATCGCGACAGATAGGAGACGGAAGAGAAATGGCGGAAAGGAGCAAATCGTCGAGCACGAGTAGTCTGACGTTACCGGCGATACCGGGCGCCAGTCCCGATGGCGGGGCCAGTCCTCGAAGGGCCGTCAGTCCGCTGCTTGAAGTTCGTAGGCCGCACTGCACCCTCAACTGCGAAACTTGCAACGCCGTCTTGGAGGATTTGTACAAAAACAACAGTAGGTTACAATCGTTACTTATCTTTCGTTCGACGTCGTGACCGTTCGTTGAAATTCGAATTTCACCCGAAAACCACGAAAATATTGAAATGAAGATTGATCGAAGCACATGTTGATTCGTATACGCATCGTTAAAAACCAGGGCTTGAAACTGTAACGATCGCGTATAAACCCAATCGTCGTGTTCCTGGAGCAAATAGGTGTCAAAATGGCTGACGGACTTTCGAAAGTTTTTCGCGTCGCACGGACCGCACAGAGGCAATTTCGCGGCTGAGCAATGTTCCGTTCCGCTCGAATTGCTGGGCACACGAGATTAAAAAAGTTGCGAGGAAACAGACGCAGTTCGCTTGACCCGTTCACGACCTCGGCGGGATGAACCAATGAGCTTTTTCCTGTGTTTCAGAAATCGTCGAAGGAGTGAAGAGAGGCGGAGGCTCGCCTCTGAGACCAACGATCGACGAGACCTCGGTCGAGGAGGTGGTAAGCGTGTTATTTTTTTTTTTTTTTTTTAATTTTCCAGTTAAAATCGAATTGTTCGATCGTACGATAAAACTGTTGTGGTTTCGAGCAGGTGGCCACGTTGATGAAACGATGCTGGGCGGAGGATGCTGCCGATAGGCCGGATTTTTCCGCGCTCAAGCAAACGATACGGAAGATTAACAAGTGAGTTACGGACACCGTGTTTGTACAGGGTTTTTCGGCTAACTTGATCATCTCGAATATTGACTCAACGGTACAATTTATGTAAATTTCCAGGCGTGGAACTTAAATGGCATCAAGGGACTCGTCTTATAAGGTACGTGATTTTTTTGTGGGTGGAGACATTTCAGAGACTTCGAGGTCACCTTGAGTTTTTTCAACGGAGTGACCTATTTTTTGTACAAATTATCGATGTTTGCTTTTTATGCTGCTCATTCCGTTAAAAAAAATCAAGGTAACCTTGAAATCTCTGAAATGCTGCCACCCACAAAATAGAACGTACCTTATAAGACGAGTCCCTTGGTGTCATTTATGTTCCACGCCTCAATATTTCCATAAGGTGTACCGTTACGGCATTATTCGAGGTAATCAAGTGAGCTGAGAGAGTTAAAATTTAAATAATGTCAATTACACTAAGACAGTATGGTTGAGATAGACTGGGTGGTCCATCTCTACCAAGTATAAGTGGTCTATCTATCCCGAATCGTATGGGGTAGATGGACCATGTATTTCCGCCATTATGGTTATTTTAAACATCATTGTTTGAGGTTTAAATTAGACCTACACGTCATTGAAACTTAGTCTATGAAGATGGCGCGATCATCTGCTCAAACAACAGAGTGATTCTACTTTTTATAACTAGGTAAGAAAATTCTTGCCCTCACCACAAATGAAAATGCTGATTTTCTTACCATATTTACTAAAACTTCGATACCAGGTTTACAGACGCGCTGAATAACTTCTCAGACTTACCCTACAGAATGGTAGCGAGGAGGAAATCTTGAAATCAGGTTCCTTTTTTTTTTCACGAAACAAAATTTCATTTTGGCGTAAACGAATCCGCGTCGACCGTCTCTCGACTATCACAGATAAGTATTCTCGGAAGATTCTCGGTTCTCCCTTTCCCGCTGATTGGTCCCCCCGGTGTCTCGCGATGCGTCGTCATATTTGCGGTCGATCCCCTCGTGTTGTCGAGGGTAGGTGTAGACGCATGTCGGCAATATTGTTTTTACATGGCAACAACAGGCCGGATCTCAGTTCACGTCGATCGATCAACAATCTAAGAATCGGGAAAATGCTGGATCCGAAAATATTCCTCCCCCCACCCCCCGTAGTGTTTTCAAACTCGTTTGCGCATCCTTCGTATCGGTGGTAGATTGTAGAATTTATTTATTTATTTATAATTAATAATAATATAAGATCACCTTAATTTCGAACTGTATGAGACCAGTCAAGGAGAGGTGTCGTCGATCGATCCGTGTGTCCTGTTTGCTTATAAATAATATAATCAAACAGGACATATATATTTGTTATAAGCAAACAAATAATTAAAAAAAAATTAACGTCGATCGATCCGTGTGTCCTGTTTGCCGCGGGTGCTAGGATACTGCGCAGATGTTTCGGTGTTTCTTCGTCTCGCGCGCCATACGACTCTTGTTCTGGCGCGACAAATCCCACTCTCCTCGTAGCCGACGATATCGGCTAGCTAGTACAATGATCGGTTCGCCGATTCGTTTCAGGGACCACGAAAGCAACAACATCATGGACAATTTACTCTCCCGTATGACGCAATACGCTACAAATTTGGAGGCCCTCGTGGCGGAGCGTACCGCGGATTACCTCGAGGAGAAACGGAAATGCGAGGAACTGCTCTATCAGTTGCTGCCAAGGTAACCAGCGAGTACTGCCATGTTGAAAAGGTTCCAGGAGTTTATTTATAAAATTAAAAATCATCACAAATCTCATTGTCGACTTCAAAGTAGTCCCCATTGGCCCCAAGGCACCTACGCCAGCGTTTGATCCAGCTTTCAAAGCACTTCTGGAATTCGATTTTTGGTGTAGACATCAGCTCAGCCTACGATTTTTGTTTTATGGTTTCAGTACTATCAGAAACGCGTTCCCCGAAGTGGTTTTTTGACACAAAACTTTGACGTAAACAGAACGCTGTGATTACGACAAATGATAAGCTGTCAAGCTGAATATTGGAGGGAATGTAAATAACAGTTGTACCAAAAAAAAAAGGTTCACAATATCATATATACGCGACATTTAAATGAAAAATTCCTGAAACTTTTTGAACATGGTAGTATAATTCTCTCCCGTTCCCCAATTGCAATCCCGATTCTCCGTTGAATTCTCGCGAAATGATTCCCACGGGACTTGGAACGAGATCGATGTAGCTAAGTGGACCATCTACTCGCAACTTCCAGGTCCGTCGCGTCTCAATTGATACTCGGCCAGAGCGTGATAGCCGAAACATACGATCAAGTGACAATCTACTTTAGCGATATCGTTGGATTCACGAAACTGTCGGCCGAGAGCACGCCCCTCCAAGTGGTGGATCTGCTGAACGATCTTTACACGTGCTTCGACTCGATCATAGAAAATTTTGACGTATACAAGGTGAGCGATTGATACCGACGGAGTTTTCTGTTATGCCGTTTGCTGTCCCATTGTTTTACCACGTGGAACGGGAATGATTCCTGTTCGTTTTATTTTCCAGGTGGAGACGATAGGGGATGCTTACATGGTAGTATCGGGACTACCTGTGAGAAATGGGACGAATCACGCCAGGGAGATCGCACGAATGAGCTTAGCGTTAAGGGACACCGTGATGACGTTTAGCATTCGACACAGACCGAACGAGCAATTGAAGCTTCGAATTGGAATGCATTCCGGTAAAGTCGAACCTTCGAAACGGGAACGTTTTACCCCTATTCCCGTTTATCCTTGTCTGGGAACTTCTCGAAATCGCTCGTCATATTCTCGCCTGTTCAGGTCCATGCGTGGCTGGTGTGATCGGTTTAAAGATGCCCAGGTATTGTCTGTTCGGTGACACTGTGAACACTGCTTCTAGGATGGAAAGTAACGGAGAAGGTATGCGCAGGGGTCGTGGTCCGTCACGGTAATCGGTTCCACGTATCAGAATCCTTTAGGTCACGAACGTATTCTCTGACTTCTTCTTCTTCTTCGTAGCTTTGATGATCCATGTCAGTCCAAAGACGAAAGAAATTTTGGATACGTTCGGTACGTTCGAACTCGTTTGCAGGGGGGAGGTCGCTATAAAGGTGAGTTTCTTTTATCTTCCTAGACCTGGGTAAGCTGGAACGAGAAAATGGGAATTGTACGCTGCGATTGGGCTTTTGCAGGGCAAGGGTGCTATGACCACATACTGGTTAATAGGCGAGAAACCGATTAGCGAGAACGTCCGCGAAGCCGGGGTCGCGTCAACGACGACAACGAACGCAACGATGCCAGCGACAACGATCACTCGAGTCTCGATCACGCAGGATTACGGACAGGATGAGAAACGGAGCGCGCCGTTGGACCGAACGACACACACGGAGCAGCAACGATTGTGTCTGACGGCGCAGACGAACAACCAAGACCAAACCGTGAATTGTCGACCGCCTCGAACGCTTCAGGAACAGCAACGACCCCGTTCGAATCAGCAAAACAGTCAGCAGCAGCAACAGTTCGGCCGGCAAAGCCCTCGTCGAAGTTACGAGCCAAGTCGTGGTGAAGACGGAAGCAACGGTGGATACGGAAGTTGTCGCGACGAGGGAGGTGGCAATGCCGGCGACGGCAACGACGATGACCACGGGGGTGGCGGCAATTCCGTGAACGCGTCACCGTCTCGAGCACGCGTTTCCAGCGGGTCGACGGCTGGAAACGCGATTCCTCAAGTCAGACGGTCTTATCAAGCCGGCGAAAATCTGCCTAATCACAGGGAAAGCGGTCCGAACGCTCCTCTGCTTGTATCAGCGAGCTCTCTTCCTCGAATTTAAATACGCCCCGTTCCCCTATTACTAGGGGTGTGCGGGTACTCGAGATTTCGGGCTTGGTCAGGCGTTCGTAACATACGTTTACAAGCCTGACATTTCGGAGAGCTATAGTGATTTTAAGTGTGACCCTCCCAGTGGGTGTGCTATGTGATACCCTTGAGAATACAAACCGCCAAAAGTGTCATTTCCTACTTCTTCAAAAATGTTGGCCGTCCCTGGACGCTGAAGTTGCCACCGAAATCCTTAAAGGCGTGAAAAATCCAAACCCCTGTAGTTTTTACGAAGTCACTATAGTTCGAAGAGGCACTATACCTTCCCGGACAGCCCTACCTATTACCGATATCACTCGATTCCACACGTCGTTCAACGTTCCGCGGCGTTTCTTGTCGTCGTCGGCAAATCGATTTCATTCCTACATAGGTGTATCGTTGTTTACGTATAGAATAGGAGGGAGCTCCGATCGGCGTGAGCCCGATCGAAATTTGGGTCCACTCGTTCGAAGGATATGCCTTTCGAAATAACATTTAGATATTACAGGAACACGAACACGCGCATCCGATCGCGTCCAGGGACGAAGAGGTACACGCTCGTTAGACGATCCCGTTCTCCAGTTTTCCAACGAATGGCCAGCGTGTCCCTCTACGTCACGTACGGTCGCGTCTCGAGCCCGAGAGGCTCGCGTTACACGAGGCGTTGACTCGTGTTCCGAACACTGTCGATACTTTCCGAGGACCACACGCTTTCCGTAGGAGATCCACCAAAGTCCAAAGGACGAGTAACGCCGCGATACGACTCGCACATACAGTGGACTCTAACTATATTGCCATTAAACATATTGCACACAAGTTGCGTACGCCGGCGCACCAGCACGATCAAACTTATGCGCAGGCGCTGAGGCTACGACGACAGAATTTAGCACAGAGGGGGCTCTCAACTCATTGCCATTTTACTCACCTACAGCCCCGACCATGGCAATGTAGTTAGAGGTTACTGTACATACAATTTGCGCGTCCGCGACGGCTAGTCAAATACACACGCACACACATACACAAAGAGACATACACACACGTAGCAAAAGAAGACGGACAAGAAAGAACGATCGCGATTTTCAGGCCGTTTCGCCGAAACGTCGAACGCAAGCGTCGCCGCGTAGCGAGTCACTCGCAGCGCCTCGTATTTCTATGTTGAACAAGAATAGAATATACACATATATTTATGAAACGTTAAACAAGTTAAATGTCGGTGTAGAAAAGCGTTGTAGCGAATAGAGGCTGGGCCTCGTACCGAACCACCCGTCGAATCGATCGAGCTTCAGACGAGGAGCTTCTGCACGAGTACGATTTGCCGAGCGAGAAACTCGAGCGAAACACTCACAAAAGAAAGTACATACATATATCGACCACCTCGCGATCAAATTCTCTCTCTATTCGTGTCAATCTCTTTTAAGAAATGTAACGGTCGACCTATTGCGGAAATAAAGTTTCGTCGTTTTTGAGAAACCAGTCGATCACGTTGGCTGGTGATCGTCCTCAGAAAACTGCGTTCTCGAGTATCCAGTCGAGATATGAACTGACTCTCGTGTAGATTCCAGGACGTCCCGGGTCCCCGCATCGAATCCCCCAGGATACGATTCCCACGGTGACCCATCTACCGTTGCCAAGGCGATGCAGAAGCGGCCCGCCAGAGTCGCCCTACAAGCGAATGATATTTCTGGTTAGCGGATCATCGAAGAGGATCGAGGTTCGAACGTTGAAGCTGACCCAAGGTCCATTGTTAAACCGTAGTCAGGTACACCCACGAGCAAAGTTGGTTTCCACATACATTTACATTACGAATGTCCAATATACATTTTTTGGTAACCAACGTTACCGCGAGAACTCAGCCGGCAGACTCGCGCTCCGATTAGTCGGGGGTTTATCGTTAATAACTCGTTAACAAAGCCTCGGATAACAGTTTTCCTAAGGAAAAATTTGTTTCAAATCATTCCAGGGACCCCTCATTTCCGGTAGTCGAAGCTATTTTGGGACACCCTGTATACCTAACAATAATACCTGGCAAGCGTCGCGACCACCCTCGTACGCGCCTGCACACACCACCGTCTCTGGGATTCGTTGATCGAAACTTTGAACGCACTTCTCTCGCGGCCATATCGGAAGACCAACTTTCATCAGTACTGTGCTAACAGGTCCTCCATAATAACGGGTACCCCAGCCTGAAATCAAGGAATTGATTCAGTATCCGGTTGTTTCCTGTGCCCTCTGTAAACGGTGTCCAAAAAAAAGTCTAGAAAAACTTCACGAACCTGTAACGATCGCGTTCTTGTTCTCGAACGTCTGATCGATCGGTGGCAAGCAAACCGGCCAAATGTACTCGTTGAACACCGTCGGTCGGTGCATCCTCAGTATCGCTACGTCGTTCTCGTACGTCGTCTGATCGAAGTCTCGATGAACGCGTATATCGGTCACCGCGAAGTCCAACGCTCTGTTTGCTTCCGGTGCGGCAAAATCGTACGCGCCCAGTCTGACTTTGATATCTCGGTGGCCGAATCTGGGAGGAGTTAACGAAAACGTTCTTGCAATACGATACTAAAATACTGATAAAACTATGTACATATTTTATTTTATACATGTATAGGTATAACATATTTATAGTCTTTGGAATAGTCTTTAGAACACAGTATTTAACCATTGTGTGGGCAACCAGAATACATGTAAATCCTTGATGAAATGTGTACCCAGTTGCCTACGCAAGGGTAAATCAATGGCGGTTTTTGAACAACTGCCTTAGTCGATACATTTGAGTTCTTACAACAAAACGGAATCGACTTAACCGATCCCCCCCACATTTTGTAGTTGCTCTATGGAAATACGTGTGAAATACCTGTACACGCAGTGGGCGGCAGTCAATACGTGTCTGTCGGTGACGAGAACACCGCCGCAATACTGGACCTCGTTTTTTCTCAGAAGAGCTGCCATCCACGGCCATTCGGTGGGATCGGCCGGTTCACCGCCCACCAGCCTACTTAGAGTTTTCGTGTTCGTCCCGCATCCTCGAGACCTAGCCGTTGAATTCCATGCGTTCTCGTCGCCCAATCGAATGATCCTACTTCCTACTTCACCATCGTTCTCCGTCTCGATGGGTTCTTGGTCGTCGACTAAAATGAAAAGCCAACGATCGAACGATGCTCCGATTTGCTGAGCTCGTTATACAGGAAGTTTCGAAACATGTGGGTATAACTTCAGGGAATGGATTTAGGGCACTAAAATAAGAAAAAAAATGTTTATATAAACGTATACCCGATATGACCTTGTTTCCGCATTACGACACACGAGTAAACAATTTCAAGAATTGTTCAATTAAAACAAACAATTCGGTAAATATTCATGAGAATTGTTGTGAATTCATACAGCACTTGATATTTTTGATCACTTGACACTTGGAAGCCTGCATTCTAGCCGAGGGTGAAAATTAGTTAATAACGGGTATCATATAAAAAGGCCAATAATTCGAGAAGTTCATATAGTAAATCTTTGATGAGTGTTCGAAGGCTTCTCGGCACTGAACGTTAAATATTTCATAAACTAATGGCCGTATGCGGGTGAAATAAATATCATTGGCTTCAAAATTCCAAGGTTTATCATTCTGGCAAATCTCATTGAAAACTCTTCGTTATACCTGGGGACCTTTCTTTGTCAGTTTACTTCTTTTCTTATTTTAGCGTACTGAATTCATCCCTGAAGTTATGCCCATATGTTTTGAATCACCTTTATATATGTACATTGTAACCGCATACGCACCGGCAATGATGGGAAATACTTCTGCAGAATCTTCCGACTGATTCGAACAACAAACACCGACGTATCTGTTCGAAACCATGATGATTTGAAACGGATAGAGACGTGGGCTAGGGTCAGACCACTCGAAAACCGAGACAATAAATTCGAAGCAAACTTACGTTCGATCGATAGTACACGAGTGATTCGTTGCAAAAACAAAATCGGATCGGTACTCTGTGGCGAAACACGTCCGGAAAAACTCGCAGTGTCCTACCTCCTCGTTCAATCCGACGCATCTTGGGGATGATACCGATTCCTAGACAACAACTTGTCAATTTCTCGTTTCTTTGGAACTATTCTGTTGTTTTTTTTTTCGACAAATTTAGACCTACTCTCTGAATCAAGACGGACCGCGATCGATCGATCGAACCAACGGAGATCGGCTTCTGATTCCAGGGGTTGCGTTCCGTTCGAGCTGAATCAGACGACAGTTATCGAGCAACCGAGTGAACCTTTTTGTCCCGTGAATTTCGTTGCCTTCTTAAAATTTTCTTCAAAACGGAACACTGACGTTACCACGAAACAGAAACACACGTACTTACCCGTGAGTTGGATGTTGTTGTCGGGAAACGACCAACCGATTGAGAGAAGAGCATACAAATAATATACCCGAAGAATTCCATGGATCATTCTTGCTTGGACCATTACAACGTTCGCCGGCTCTATTTTCGATTCGTCGACCAACCGAGTAGATACATTAGTGTAGTAACTGGCAACAGCCGCTTATATACGGAAACTACCATACCCGTAGCGTATGCAACTCGCCTTGCATGTCGAAACGTTGTACACGGCTCCCGAGGCGTGGCGCGCGATTCAGTTTCATTCCAGCAGCTAAACTTCCGAAAACCCCCATGCTCCGAATTGGATGAAATTTTCAAAATAGGTTGTTTTTTTTTGACAAAAATGATGATTGCGAGAAGGATTTTAGACGACTCGAAAGTTTTTTACCATTTGAGTATCATTCCCTACCTTAAAGACATAATTTATTATAGTGAGTGAACCTTTTAAAATACATAATCACCGTGCTTAGGCATACTTCGGACAGCGTACAAGGTATGTTGTTTTGGGGGAAAAAAAACCCCTCCCCATCACGGTCGTGATTTAACTTCATTCACGACCGTGATTGCGATTTTTTTATCTTGAGTGAATTTGCTCACTGTGATCGCAAGTCCTCGATCTTTAAACAGAAAAACGTATTCAATATGATTTTACGATGAATTAATAGACTTAAATTGTGACCATCCATTGTGCATACCAAGTTATTATTAATTCATTTTGCTCGTTGATTCTCTACACAGACTTGGGGTACGGACAGTGGGTCTGTACACTGAAACTGTTTGCCGATCCCTCAGGTTTCTATTGAGAAGCCAGATATCGGAAGTGTTTAGTCTTTGCCTGGTAAGTAGGATTTGGAGTAAAGACTCGTGCGTGCCAGGGTACGGAGTAGTCGGGAGGCTGCTCCGTAAACGGACTCTGTTTAACAGAGAATCTCGCTTGCACTACCACGCTTGTGTACTCTTTTGGTTCGGGTCTGGTACGCAGGTGACAAGCCCAAAGCTCCATGACAGTAAAAGATGGATCCGGGTTAGCGAGGTGTCGCTCGTCTTTCCTATTTTCTTAAACAAGCCCAAAGTTCCATGACAGTAAAAGATGGATCCGGGTTAGCGAGGTGTCGCTCGTCTTTCCTATTTTCTTAAACCAGGTTCTGGCGACAACACTTTCATCGCGATACTTGTTCATACTGTAGTTTCACGCGTAGTTCATCGTAGAGTTAATAACTGCTTGGTATATAAAATATTAGGTGCGTAAACGAAATGGTCGATGGAACTTTTTTCATTCCGTCTATCTCTTTCGTTTGAGTATTAGCGACTACGTTGCGTTTAGTTTAAGTTATTTTGTATTAATAGCATTAATTAGTATTAATTAGAATATTAAGATAATATTAGTTCTAAGCTGAAGAACGAAGACAACCGACGGGGGAACTTAGTTTTTTTATAGGTTTAGGCTCAAGAAAGAAGTCATCCGCCGAGGGATTTTAGTACCAGTAGTATTATATAGTTAAGATTTAAGTTATTTATAAGGTTGATTGTGAAAGGTGGGAAGATGTAGAACTTGTGATTCCATCTATCTGCCTTGGGCCTCCACTCGCAGCAACCTCCTCGTGGTGAGGCCTGGGCAATCGATATTATCATCGGTAAAGTACTGTAAACTGAAGACAATATCGAGCTAATGGCTGCGAACTTCGAATCTATCACATAAAACTACCTTCTATATTACATCAAACTAGGATTCTTTTAGAAATCGATATGAGATTTTGTAATGATGCTTTATAAATGAATAATTTGGATTTTATCATAAATTATTAAACAACAACCCCGCGTTAGTATTTATGAGAAACATGAAATATTAATTATTTTATTTAAATGATTTTAATTACGTTTTGTGGGTAAGTTCAGGACAGAACTGCCCTAGACGTGTGGCGCGAGAAGATTTTGGAATTTCTATTTTCATAAACGAAGTTAGAAACTAGTACTTGTAAGAACGGGCATCATTTTTCTTCGTCACGCATTAAATACGAAGTTTAAAGGACGTAGAATAATACTCTCTAACGGCTGGGAACCAATAATTACAAGAACATTGTTAAAATCACATTTATTTGCAATGGTTGACACTGTATCTCATCATGCGTCCCCGGTTAGATCACTTTGCACAGCTCTTACACCGTTATACGGACAGCTTTCGTTTAGCTGAAGCACTCAATTTGTAGCTGAAAGTACGTAGATTAATCCACTGTTATTGATAATAACAATAAACGGCCGGAACACTGTTAAAATCGCATTTAATCGCGGAGTACCACTATTTTTTTGAACGGTGGCGCCATCCGTGGCGAATCGGTGAAACTGGTAACCAATTATATGGCTAGCAGTTTGAGCGATTCGCCACGGATGGCGCCACCGGTTGAAAAAATAGTGGTATTCCGCAATTAAATGCGATTTTGACAGTGTTCTGGTCGTTTATTATTATTTCCAATGACAGTGGATTAATCTACGTTCTTTTAGCTTCAAAATGAATGCTAGATCAAGACGTAACGTGTCCATAAAACGTTGGAAGAGCTATTTAAAGTGAACTAAACGGGGTACGCATCGCGAGATACAGTGTCAACCGGTGTAAACAAATGCGATTTTAACAATGTTCTTCTGATTACTGGCTTTCAGCCGTTAGAGAATAGTAATCTACGTTCTTTGAACTTCGAATGTAATCCATGACGAGGAAAACTGATGCTCGTTTAGCAGTGTAAATCCGATCGAAAACTATTGCAATTACATAACCACTAAACAGGCAACACTTTTCTTCGTCATGCATTACATTCGAAGTTTAAAGAATGTAGATTAGTACTCTATAACGGCTGATTCGTCTTGACCAAGCACTCAACTTGTAGCTGAAAGAACGTAGATTAATCTCCTGTGATTGAAAATAACAATAAACAACCAGAACACTGTTAAAATGGCACTTTATTTGCAACGGTTGACACTGTATCCCGTCATGCGTACCCCGGTTAGTTCACTTTGCACAGCTCTTACACCGTTATACCGATAGCTTTCGTTTAGCTGAAGCACTCAATTTGTAGCTGAAAGTACGTAGATTAACCCACTATTATTGATAATACCAATAAACGACCAGAACACTGTTAAAATCGCATTTAATCGCGGAGTACCACTATTTTTTTGAACGGTGGCGCCATCCGTGGCGAATCCCTGAAACTACGAGCCAATTATTTGGCTAGTAGTTTCAGCGTTCCGCCACGGATGGCGCCACCGGTCAAAAAAGTAGTGGTATTCCGCGATTAAATGCGATTTTAACAGTGTTCTGGTCGTTTATTGTTATTTTCAATTACAGGAGAGTAATCTACGTTCTTTTATCTTCAAACTGAATGCTTGATCAAGATGTAAGTTGCCCATAGAACGTTGGAAGAGCTATATAAAAGGAACTAAACGGGGTACGCATGGCGAGATACACTGTCAACCGTTGCAAAGAAATGCGATTTTAACAATGTTCTTGCGATGACTGGTTTCCAGCCGTTAGAGAATAGTAATCTATGTTCTTTAAACGGTTTATTTAATGCAAAACGAAAAAGAACCATGCCTGTTTAGCGGTGTAAACGCGTTCGAAATATTTCGCAATTATAGTTGCCGCCTCATAAGGGGCTACGGTAATACAGACACAACTAATTTTACTAATTCAGGGGTTCTGCACTATTGGATCCATGCATTAAGTCCTGAGGGACAATTTGAGGCTAACGACGTTCATTTTATGTGGTTAATGACTGAGATATTTGCATTTTTCTATCACTAGAAATTTTCACTCACCTGTCGATATAATTTGGCTAGCAGTTTCAGCGAATTGCCACGGGTGGCACCACTGGTCGAAAAAATAGTGGTACTCTACGATTGAATACGATTTTAACAGTATTCTGGTCGTTTATTGTTATTATCAATAACAGCGTATTAATCTACGTATTTGCAGCTACAATTGGAGTGCTTTATCTAAACGGAAGCTATCCGTATAACGGTGAAAGAGCTGTCGAAAGTAAACTAAACGGGGTACACATGACGAGATACAGTGTCAACCGTTGCAAATAAATGCGATTTTAACAGTGTTCTGGTCGTTTATTGTTATTGTCAATGACAGGGAATGAATCGACGTTCTTTAAGCTACACGTCGAATGCTTTGTCAAGACGAATACCGTCTTCAAAACTTCATAAAGATTTCATAAGAGTGTCGCCGAAATTTTGATTTATCGGTGGTATACGATAGACGTGTGTAATAATTTGCAGTAGTCCTCTGCCGGATTCAATCAATTGTTACTACATGTGGATTACGGGACAATGGACGGTAGTGAAATGGCTTGCGTCAGTACACGTTTGAAACGTGATCCTTTACGAACTACAACGATAAAGGAACACGTTTCAAAACTCTGCGCATGCCGGGGGTACTATGACCCCACTTTCTCACACCCACGGGGCCTCCGGCGCCTCCGCCTGGGGTTCTGTGACCCCACGCTCTCATCGCACAGGGTCTCTAGCGCCTCCGCCGGAGACTCTATGACCCCTAGATCTGACACCACGGGGTCCCTGGGTGGAGGCGCCAGAGTGTTTTTGTTTTGATGTCGTTAATATAAAATATAAAATATACAGATTATGTGTCGCGTGTAAAGAACTGTAAGGTTTCTCCACCAATCAGAAACGATCACGAGAAATTACGTATCACTGTGAAAAATCACCGTGATTGGGAACGAACGTAATCGAATCACGAGTGATTCACAAGTAGCAGTTCACGCCATCTCTATAGAATATAAATCATCCCTCAAGCGACAGAAATTACAATGACCAAAGTTACATGCTTGGATTAGGTTTTTAGGAAAGATTTATTAATTTGTAGAAATTAATTCATATGTATTTCTACGATTACGACTATGTCGATAACATACGGAGTGACACTAAAATGTTAAAAAAAAATTTTCGAGTCGCCAAAAATCCTTCTCGCAATCATCATTTTTGTCAAAAAACAATCTATTTTCAAAAATTTCATCCAATTCGGAGCATAGGAGTTTTCGGAAGTACAGCCAACCCTGTTCTCCATAAAACATCTTCGTATTCTTCCCCTGGAGGATCCGATGGAGCGTCCAAATTCGTCGGTTGGTCGACGCCGCGAACGGCACGACAATGTGGCAAATTAACAGCGCGACTTGCTTGGACGGCTGGCGAGAGTAAAAGAAACGCTACGAGCTACGAGTACTTGCAAGAGAATATTGGTACGATGAAGGAAGGGGAGAGAAAAGGAACGCGCGTAAAGAGAACGAGAGAAAGATCGCGATCGAGGACAGGCCAGAGGCATTTCCATTTAAGGCTCCCCGTGTGCAATCTCTCGCTTCTCTCGGCGCCACTTTGACACGCATAGTCGCGAACCGTTTACTTACCACCGAATGGCGGCGTAACACGGTTTTTGCAACGACGATGCGTCGTGGTCCACTCTGTGTGTCACGTCGGCCATTACTTTGTCCATCGGAGCAGGAGCTGGTTTACACGCGTGGCACTATGGGACGGGGGGGGGGAAGAAGCATTCGCAGAACGCAGTTTACGCGTTGACAAGGTTTCGTTTATTGCGCATGGACTGTCGTATGGGGTTTCTCGAGAAGCAGGCGATCGTTTACGCCCTTTACGTCACACACCTTACGCCTTTATGTCGCAGGACTATCGATTAGAACGGGCTTGGCGTTCGGATCCTTCAGATTCAAAGTGTAGCCGTACACTCTCGTAGTGTTCGCCTCAGGATCGTAAATTTTGTCGACGTGACGCAGGGTATCGTCTACGATATCATCCGAGCTCTCACGAACGAACGTTCTTCCGTTTGACGTGCGGCCCGATTGGACGATCCTTGTCCCGTGGCCATCCGACACGACGACGTTGTTGCCTGTCGTTTGCGCCGTGCCTGGAACTGCAACTATTTCGATGGTCACCGCAGCATCCATAAATCGGACCGTAAATATAATCAAACTATAAATACGCGATATTTCATATAACTCGAGCAAACCGCGGCGGCGTGACGTTCGCCTTGAGAAACGTCGAGGGAACGTATCTACCGATCGACGGTGAAAGGAAAACGGTATCCTAGGATTTTCAACGTAGCGACAAAATGTCGAAACGTATAATCGGGACAATTTCCCGCACGTTTCCGGTTCCCGAGGAAAAAAGTCAACAGTGATCGCCCGTACCTAGCTTTTTGTCGAGGTTAGACGTCAGTCGATGAGCATGCTCCACGTTGCTTTGTACCCTTTCCTGAACCTCCCGATTCAGTTGTTGAACGTTCTCCTGGATATTCCTGTTCAATTCGCTGATACTCTTGGTCAGGTCGCCCAACCAATCCGCCCCCTGTATCCCTTGTCCATCCAAGTGACTAGTGGAATCAACAACAAAAACATGAAGAAGAAAAAATATTTCACCTCGAAACTCTAGCAACGCTTTCACTAACCTGCATAATATTGCCGCGACGATTGTTGCGATTCCGATTCCTGGTCCCATGTCTCGTTTTCGCGGTTTTACAATCCTTTCTCGGTTTTTTCTCCGTTTCCCCTATCCGTACTCTTCCGCCGTTCTTTTTCACGGCTTTCACGTGACAATGATTCGTTTGATCGCTAGAGATAATACTTGGCAGCGATGAATACGACACGGTACAATCGAGTTCCTCCTTTGAATCGATCGTGCGAGCGAATGGACGGCACGCGATACGTTGAACGTTGTAAATGCAACACGACGGTCTCTATCGGTGCATACGTAAACGGAACACGTGTAAACCGTGACATCGTCGGTCTAACGTCGTAAATGGTCGGTTCTTTTAAAAAGTGCGGCAAAAGTCGGTATTGCTTGAAATATTACTTTAGTGGCAAAAAATAGAACTAGACGATGATGACTTAACGTTATTATTGAGCATGACAGGTTCCTTTAATGAAAATTCACATAAGGTCAAATACAACGCATATGAAACTGGTACTCCAGGTTTTGTTGATAAGATGGCATTGTGCAGACGTCTGTCTAAGAAACCCCGTCGGTGTCCAAGTGGTAAAAAACCATTCTGGCCATCCCGAGGACTTGCAGGCATTTAAGTTGATTTATGACTTTTACCGCGACGTGTAGCGCGTCCGTTCGATGCACGTGAGAATGCACTCTTGAAAACTTCTCGTACTCCTGGACGAGGTGTCGCAGCGTCGTCCGAAAAGTTGATCGCGCGCGGTCAACGGGGTCGCGATAAGAAGTTGAGAGGTTATCTACGAACATATCGCGCAGAAGGAAAGGCGTACAGGCATTACAAGGCACGGAATTTGTCGGTTTCAATGATGAAATTGTCAACAGACATTTTCAGTGTCTCTCTCCAAAAATCGGTTGCGAATTCCGAGCGCATTGTTCGACGAATATTTACTGAGTATTTACGTTCGTCGAGGGTCTCGGATGCAGGAGGCCCTCGGTATAAGGAAAGGCGTACAGGCATTACAAGGCACGGAATTTGTCGGTTTCAATGATGAAATTGTTAACAGACATTTTCAGTGTCTCTCTCCAAAAATCGGTTGCGAATTCCGTTCGACGAATATTTACTGAGTATTTACGTTCGTCGAGGGTCTCGGATGCAGGAGGCCCTCGGTCGGGGGAGAGCATCGAAAAGGACGTTTTCGTTGACCCACGGGGACCGAAACAGGTTTCGGGTTCGGATTATGCGGTCGAAACTGTACTCTCTTACTACGCGATCGCTCTGGGCTACGACGAAACGCATCGACCCCCCTCCACTCCCCACGCAACCGGTCCTACGGTAAACGCGCTTCTTCCATCGCATCGTTTCCGTCCTTGAACCCGTCGTTTCTTTCCCTTTTCCTCCATTTGTCTCGTCTTCCACCAACGCCCCCACTCTTCGATTCTACCCTTCGTTTTCTTTGCTCGTTTTCCGAGCGTCGATTCTGCTCCCCGTCATCGACTCCGACTACTCTTCCCCGTTCACGTATTCAAGACCCGATACTCGAACGCTTCCCGATCCTCCACCCGTATATATCTTCCACCTCTGACTACGCGCGGAGAGCAGGTAGCAAACGACCCGGATCGTAAACGCGTAATCGTTTCGTCCCTCTTCCCGTCCTTCGTCGAGACTACTCTTGTCCCTTTCACCCTCCTTCTTGCCTGCCTGCCTGCTTGCGGTCTCCCGATATGTGTACGAGAGGCTGCGGGGGCATAACAAAAACACGTTTCGGTCGATGTTCGAACGGGGTGATCGACCTTGGCGGATCTGGCCCTTCTCGGACACGGACTGTTTTCGTCCTTCCTCGAGGACACGAAACGCCAAAGACGGCTCGCTCTTTCGATCGATTTCCATACGTTCTGATCGAATTACGCGATGAACGGGCGTCCAACATACCTACATGTACACTATTGGGCAAAAGTATGGGACCAGGTCTGATGATTAAGAGAAAAATATAATTCTACAATGTTTTGGTAAAAGTATGTGCTAAAACTGATTGGAAATGATCTGTATATGTATACTGATTCCGTAAGTTTTATTATAACGTAACAAGAAGGCGTTGAATAGGGTTATTAACAAACAAATAATGAGTTACTTCTCTGTCAATTATGAGCTCTGGTCCCATATTTTTGAAGGATTCTGTACGTAGAACATATTTACCTGTCCTTCAAAGATGAACAACTCTACTGAAATTACGCGTTCGTAGATGATGTTAATTGATACGAGTCGATGAACCGAGTCGGCTGATCGAGGATGAGATCGGCTTCGAAGAAACTGTCATTGGTTTGATGAAATGTTAGACGGTAGCGGAAACAGAGGTGAAAAAGAATTTAAAGTGACCGCGCGACTCGTGGCCATCTTGGGAGGATCAGGAGAAGCAGAGATCGTAAAAGAAGTTCGGCGCGTGCGTAGTAAAGCGGTCAGGTCGGTAGAGTCGCGCGGGTAGGGAGAAACGAGGAATCGGGTGGTTCTCTTTCCGTTCGTTCAGTGAACTTACTTTAGTGGTCTCGCGGCAGTCGAGCTGCGTGGAGTATGTGTACGTGATTTTGTGTTGTTGTTATTCCGGCTATCAAATACATATACACACCGGATCGCTTAGATTTTTCTTTTGATCCGAATAATCTTTAACGGTGATCGATCGATACGTCAATCGACGGATAAAACTGCGAGGAAACATACGCGAATCGGGCTTATCTCGAAACTGTCGCAACAAGTCAAATGGGAGTTGGAAATCAGTGTTGACACCGTCGGTTCTGGGATTCATCTTACCACGAGCCGTGCAACAAGAACCATGCTTGGAAAAGGGGAGAAAAGGAGCTCGGAGAAATCGACGGACATGTGATCGGTTCTCTTGGAAGCTGTAAGTGTATATATATAGTGTATATATGTATAGTATTGTATAGTGTATTAGATACGTCTCGGAGTTTAACGTTCGTTTTACGGGTGAATCGTGAGATAACCGTTTCGATTAATCGCGCTCGGTATCTATTCGATTAGAACGCTATATGACGCGTTCGATAGATTCCCGGCTTTCCTTGATCAGTCGCGATCAATCGAACTGATTTAATTCGGATCGTACAGATCGATGTTACTCGACGCGAACACAAACAAGAAAGAAAAAACGAATACCGTCCGAACGTCGCCGAGCTAAAGGGCTTGTTTTGCCTGACGCTACCTATCCACGGCATGAATTATTTATCGAATCGTGCTCGATCGTCCCACTAACGAGAAACAGAAGGACGCGTGCTTCACGTTGTGTGTTTGCTAGGCGAGCTGGACGATTATCGCGAACTTTTGCGAAACAGAGAGATCGTTTACGGACGTGATTTCTTCTGCGTGCGTTTTAATCAGGACTGGTGTTGTATGTACACATCCAACCCGGGGGAGAAGTTGTAAAACTTCCATCGGGAGCGAGTTAAGAGGGAAACCTCGAGTCAAGAATAGGTCCGAAATAGCCGTAGACCTGCCAGCGGATCGATTATCGTATTTCCGGCTAACTGGGATGCCGAAACGTTCGACAAGTTTGCTTTTACACTTTGAATAGTAGGCCTTTAGAGGACCACGGGAATATAATTGCGATTTCGTTAGCTGTTTTTTTATCAATATACACATTCCAGTATTAATCACAAACATCAATCAAGTCGACAATTCGGTCATTCACTGGTTGGTTTACCCTATACCCTATATACAAGCGTCGCGTTCCGAACGATGTTTTGTCCTGGCTCCGGGAACGACCATAGCTTGTAGTAGGTAATCCGAGCGGTCAGGCGGTTTAGACGCGTTTCTCTGTTCGCTAAACGACGCGAAACCTATTGCGTGGACCAATTCTCGCCTTACCTTTTCGTTTAATTTTCTTTTTTGTTTTTTTTTTGCTTCGGTCGTCAGTCGACTCGTGGTTCCGAGAACGCGCAACGCTACTGGGGTCACGGAATTTCGCGACAGTTCTATCCAGTTTCGTTTCCGTTTGCCTCTTCGAACGATCGAGGCGAGTTCTTTCTCGTGTTGCTTCGCCGTATATACATATACGAGGGTCGCACGATTCAACGATCCGTATAAGGAGCTGCTGTGCCGTCTTGATGGCTCTCGTTTCTGCCGGTTGGTCCACTCCGAGGAGAACCCTCTTGTTCGATGCTCGTTTCGAAGACCACGACGACCTAGAAAATTCGCATCTCAACGGCGACACTCACGGAACGAGCACTCGCTACGCGTCTTGGTGCACGCGCGCCTGTTCGGCCGTGGTAAAAATCGCACTTTCTCGCCTGCGGCAAGGTAGCCGTGACGTTACCTTGCCGCGTAGCGACGTCGCTACGTTGCACCGTGGTTAACCCCTTGCTCTATGATTTTCTTGATGTCTGCAGCCCTCATAATTACTTTATCATCGATAAAATTCGTAGAAACAAAAGGAATTTGTGTACTTATCGCAAATGTAGATTTAGGCCGTATTCACACTACCGGTCACGGTCCGGTCAGATCACGCCAAATCAGGCAGCGGTATTGAAAAAGACCTTATCTTAGATAAATTGCAGTAATTTTAAATTTTTATTGTGGACAACACACAGAGCAGTGATATTCACATGGAACTTCGAGCAAGAACCAGTGACGTGCGGGGAGAAGTATTGTAGAACGACATTACGATGTAGCACCACTAATAACCACATTACTTTTTTTTATCTTTCATTCGTTATTCGAAGTTTTTTTATCTAGATAACGAATTTGCCAATCTCTGCTCTGGACTACGAGGTTTGACAGTTCTGCGAGTTTCCTCGACAGTGCATCGTTTCGCGAACGTCCGTTGGTCGGAATTTTATCGATCGAAAGGTGACAAACTGTCATCGCTTCGTTTTATCGCCGTGATCGATCATTCGTATCGCGTGGATTCGCGAATCTCGGTTTCCGTTCCGAGCTCGCCTCAGCTCGCGGACGATGTCGACGTCCGGCCGAGATTCGCGGCTTAAACGTCCGTTTAATTTATTAACGGCAGTTATACCCTACTTGTAACGACTCGACTCGTCGTCGTTGTTCGTCGACGAACGCGTAACAGGTTGCCTGGAGAATTTCTCGACCGATCATTTCCCCCTCGACGCCTCCCTGTTTTAGATAGGGGTTTACGCCAGAGTTTATTTATTTATTTATAAACAGTTTGGCCCCATTGTTTCCATAACTTGTTTACATAGGTCACATGTCGCAGGATACATAATTGAATCGCTTATTTCAGAAACCCCTTAAGTGCAGAATTACAAATTTTGAGGTATTTAAGAAAAACACCCTCGCGTGCGCGCAGTTCCGCGGGAGATTAAACCCTCGTTCCCTCTCGCGGTGAAACGACGAATCGGAGGTCGAGCAGCGAGAGATGACCCTGTTATCGGTGACGAGCGTGACGAACGAGCGATCGACGAACCACCTGTTTCGTTTTCATCTCTGCTTATACAGAGTGTCTCAGCTAACTTAATCACCTCGAATAAAGACTTATCGGTTTATGAAAATTTTGAGGCGTGGAACTTAAATGGCATCATGGTGCACATCTTATAAGATACGTTCTTTATTTGTGGGTCGAGACATTTCAGAAATCTCAAGGTCACCTTGATTTTTTTTAACGGAATGACCTATTTTTTGTACCATCGATCGATAGAATATGAAACTCTGAACAACAATCTCACTCTCACAAACAATCTCTACTGATCACGATTCGTGGTTCACCCTGTGTATACGCCTTTCGTACATACCGATAGACATGTGAGGGCGTACATATACGCCTTTCGTAGTAAAAGGGTCAAATATTCATGAGACTTCGAACACTCATCGAGGATTTACTGTACACACATATTAACTCTCTCGTCGAGGTGAACCGAGTCCGCGTGACCATGTTTGGCGACCCGCTCCCATAAAATTTCTCGCCGGGCCGTACACGCGCGCTCGGCCACGCGCGGGTTCTACACTTTATTCGTCGTACTTCCAACCTACTCGCCTGCCGGGCCAAGATAAATCGCCTGGTAGTTGACGCGAACGAACCGCGGCCACGCGAACGAGAGGACGCTCGCTACTTGCTTACTACCCGTGCTACGGCGCTCCTCCATATCCGTGGAACGAGAAAACCAGCCGGTTACGAACAGATACGGAGAGAGAACTAGAGGGAAAGTGATAGAGAGCAAGACTCGACGATTAGTTTTTAAACGAGAATGGAAATTCGCGATCGTCTATATCATAAGTTTTTAAACTGTGGTCCGCGGACCCCTGGGGGTTTTTTTGACCAAAAGAAAAAAACTGTGAAAAGAGGGTGGTGAGCCAAAAGATTGGGAAACTATGCTCTATATCTATGACAATCCAGCTGTACGGATCAAGCTTGTAAACGTTTAGTAGCGCAGGCTCGAAAAATTGAAATTTGATTTAAATTAAATTAATTAAAAATGGAATGTTCAGAACTGAATGTACCTCTCTGGAACGTGTGGCTATAGCCCCCCAGGACCCTCCCTTGATCCAGCGCTGGAGTAGAATCAGCGATTTTGCACCGTGTTTTGGTACGCGAACGGATAAGCAACGAGAAGAAGACGATCTAATCTCGTTGTGCCGTAAACGCGTTTATCGTTCGACTCGTTGGTCCCCTTATCTTTGGTAATCAAAAGCTGACACGTCTTGGGCGATAGGTGAGCGGGTACGTCGAACGAGCTAACTAACGGTACCTCGCTTCGGCGACGCGGCGATCCAGCCGCGAGCCTATGATACGGCGACGCCAACAAAACCGATTTTCCTCTCGGTGTATCGCACGTCGAACGAAGTTTCGTTGCGTGGATAGGAAGTAATAATTATTTATTATTAAACACACTAAATATGACTTCTTTGGGTGATCGTAGAGTTGTCAACGATCCTTCTTTCTCATTCAAGCTTATAAATGGTTAAATCTCACGTCCTCAATTGTTTCAGCTCGTTTATTTTTGTGCTCCTTCGAGGTGTGATAGAAAGAATCATATATTTTATTATGCTATAGTAAAAACTAAATATGGTTCAGGCGATCTAATTTATCGAATCCTGAAATCAGTAAATAAATTCATTTTCCAATTCTGTTTTGAAATTCCGTGTTTTCCGATTCCGATGCCTTTCACCCCACCTTTCCCACTTCGTATACCTGGCTCGCCTACGCCCCGACGCGCGTCCACGATACACATGTATGCATACATCGATTCCAATAGGCTATCTTATTTATACGAGGTGCGATTATCTGTCCCTCGATGGACACACAAACAACGTAGAGATCAAGACGAAGGAATGGACGAACGAACCGATATCGTTCGGTCGAGTACGACGTCGATTTATCGGGTGCGCGCCGATGCGACCGATTGTCACAACATCTAACGGAGAATCGGTTATCGGTTACTCGACGGATCACGTACGGTCTCCATAAACGAATACGGTAGACTGTACTTCATCCACTTGGCCTTATTCGTCCTCGAGTCACCGAGCATCGTTTGGAGTTAATATCGGGTCGATTGATCGAAGAAACGTATCTTCGCGAAGCAACGATTAAAACGATGCAACGAATCGAGACCAACTCGAGGTTGCGATATTTATACGGAGGAAAAGCATGCGTCCAATTAGGGGTCTTACGCAATTTTTTAATAATTGTAAATTCAGTTGAAAATTTAACAGAACATTCTTAAAAACTTCAACTTTCGATTGCTACCGAAAAATCTCTAGATCAACGATAAAATTATGGAAAAAGAAATCTTATAAAAATTTATTTTTAACACGAGCCTTATATTCATCACTTGTTATTTAGTTACAAAAAATGACGTTTTCGTCAAAAATCAGATGGTTATAAATTCTTTACAGAGTTATTTGTACGTATTGTTACTTATTTGTACATTTGTGTTTCATTTCAGTATTTTGAAGTAGTTTAAAATATAAATCATGCAAATTAAATTGGTGAAATTGATAAATAGTATAAAACGTCTTATGGAGCCCCAGCTAGATGCGACACTAAACGCGTGAGTTACCTTAAAAGAGTTTCGGGGGACCACCGTGGCGTTCGTGTATTATCGTGCGGCCGAGGGATTTTTAAAAAGTTTACCCTCTCGAGACCACCGCGACGCGAACAGGAATATTTCACGTGAGAAGCAGGAACGCGAACAGGGATAGCCACGGGGAGAACAGGGAATGTCTGACGGTGAACGGGTGTCGACTCCCGTCGCGAAAAATACCGGAGTTCCGCTGCTTAAGGTGGTTCGTGCCAAATTCGAAAGACTAGATAATTAAATATAAAGTCCAGGATATGTAGGTTATTGGATGGTTATTGGGACTATGTGGAGGACTTGGCAACGTTGCTGAAGTAGGGTCATATCAGCGAAATACAAATACGTTTAAAAAATATTTTACTTATTTTGTGTTTTAGTGAATTCTAATTTTCTAATTGACTCCGCGGGAAAACTGAACACGCACCACGTGTATAGATATGCGTGCAAAAACAACGTTGCCAAACTTACCAGAAACGAGCACCGTGGAGTCATACGATTAACCAAATTATATTTTTTATTTATAATATAATGAAGAATGATCAATGGTAATGTCATCGAATTTCGTAGATATAACTTTTATAGATGATTAAAATGTATTAGCGGGTGTTTAATACCAATTATTAATATGATGCTATATTGACTAGAGAGTCAGGGTCGAACCATCTTAATCTGTTCGCGGGTCCCAAAACGTTCTTCGTCATCGATCACGAAAAGAACCGGCCGGCGATCGTACGGTCGTCGTGTCTCACCCTCTCTCCGTTCGCCGTTTCTCTTTCACGCCGTGTTTCACAGCCTTTGAGCGTGACAGAAATACAACTCGTGTCACTTGCGTATATACCGCAGCCACGTGGGTCCGCTGGTGTTTCCCGACGCGACTCCGACGTTTCGTTTCCTCCTTTGTCCCGCTCCCCTGTCTATTCGTAGACTAGACAGACGGGATAGCAAGCCGTGTCGTCACCGTGACGGCTACGTACGAAAGTACCGCGCCAAAAAAAAAAAAAAAAAAACAAAAAAAAAACTAAGGAACCATCGTTTTGCGTTCCGTAGAGTCGCGAATGGATTCCACAGCTTACAGCATGTCAGATCCTAATAGACGGTCCAGACGAACGCGAGGAATCGATGAAATAAAAATTGTGCCAACACCATTGACCGATTCCCATCTTTTGTTTGATTTATCGTTTCAGACGTAACGGTTCCGTGTCAAGATGGAGCGGCGGTGGTCGGCGCTGGTAGCGACACTGGGGATATTGGTCGCGACCGTATGCGCCGTCGACGACTTTCGACAAATCTCCTACGAAGGTAAGAGACTCGGGAAGGCAGATACGTAAGATACATACGCCTTGCGAGAAACGAAAGAGGCAAAACCGCTGGTTTCGAAGCGGTTGGGGCTCGCCCACGTCGATCGCAACCGGTGGATCGGTACCGAACGGCGCACGGCCACGGTTCGCGTGCTCATCCTCTTCGGGCAACCGAGGTTTCCTTTGTTGCTGCGTGGGCGTCGAGGCGCGGACGCGTGCCGGTTACCGCGATTATTCCTTTCGTACATAAACGTATGTATACCTACGTTTGTGTATATGTGTACGAACGCGTCGCGTCTCTCTTCTCGGAAGAAGCGAACGCGTCGATGGAGAGAAGCTAAGGTACACGTACCGATTCTGAAACGCTTTTTGCTGGGGTTATTCAATCGTCTAATTTAAATTATTTAATGCATTAACTTTGAAAGTTTGCATACCATTCGGTAGACAAATGCTTTTTGAATGCATAATGACTTTAAAGAATTAAAGTGAGGACCTGTACGTATACATCGAGTTCGTACTATGATCCAGTATTTCATATTCAATGTCCTTACCTTGAAATGGTCACTTATCTATCAGAAATGACGTTAGGTATGCATAGGACGTTTGTGAAAAGACCAAATTTTTTTGCAAAATTTCGCAATAATATTTTCTAAAGTGCTTGCATGTACAAAAATAATATCGACTGTGAAACGAAAATAATTTCGTTATTTGTGACGTTGTTTCTAAAAGGGGACATGTTTCAGAAGGCGTTTCATAATCGGTACGTTTACCTTACTCGGGGACCAAGAAAAACGTTCGAGTTTCGAGTTGGTTGGTGTTTCGGGCGTACGCAACGACGCGAGGACGCGAGCAGTCGCGTAGGCGATGAACATGGCACGCGTCGGCACGCGCGGCTATCCTCGCCGCTCGCAACATTCGCGTCGATTTCTCCAACGCCTGCCCCTCCCGCACCCGCCGATTCCGATATAGCCGGCGTCGGCCGTCGCGACGTCTCCCCCTCGCGTCGACGAAAACACTTTCAACGAGCATCCTTTGTTACACGTCGCGTCATCCTACAGCATCCTTTACCCTTTCTCCCGCGATGCTCCACGAGCCTGCTGCGTAAACTCCTTCGGCCTCGAACGGCATCCTACGTTACGTGAAAAACTTTCCAGCTTTAAGACAGCTTGAAGGCGGCTTGAATCGCGTCGATTCGTTCTTCGTGGAAAGCGTTGTTCCAGCGAAACGAGATCCGCGCTTGCTGGCTCGCTCACTTCGCGATGGAATGCCTGGTTCTTGACTCTAGCGACCGGATTTCATTTACCGGGCGTCGTTGAGATCTCGTAACGCATTACAGACTCCTCTCGATTATTGTCCTGAACTCGTAACGCACTACAAACTCCTCTCGATTATTGTCCTGAACTCGTAACGCACTACAAACTCCTCTCGATTATTGTCCCGAACTGGTAACGCATTACAAACTCCTCTCGATTATTGTCCTGAACTCGTAACGCACTACAAACTCCTCTCGATTATTGTCCCGAACTGGTAACGCATTACAAACTCCTCTCGATTATTGTCCCGAACTGGTAATACATTACAAACTCCTCTCGATTATTGTCCCGAACTGGTAACGCATTACAAACTCCTCTCAATTATTGTCCTGAACTCGTAACACACTACAGACTCCTCTCGATTATTGTCCCGAACTCGAGTTCGCGCTTTTTTGTCCTAAGCCCGAGCCTCTGCAGTAAAAATGGAGGGGCAACAAAGTGTACGCTTTACATGTTCCAAGCCTCCCCCCTTTAGTGGTGGGGATAACGTCTGGACAATAATTGTGTAGAACAAGTCAGACGATAATCGAGATGAGTCTGTATTTAGATACGCGGTTCGGAAGCGTGACAAACGCGCGTCGAGACGAAACGATCGGTGTTTCCGCGTTGCTGTCGAGCCGAGATGCTATTTCCTTGTACCTCGGCGCCGAGTGCGACTCTCGAGGAACGTGAGCGATTCGCGTGTTGCGTCGAAATCGAACAACGTGTTAATAATAAAAGTTTACTGAGACGGGCGTACATTCGCCCAATATACATTTAAATAAAGTACTGATTCGTCTCCTTGTTCATCGCGAATCGAAAACTAGGATCGAATTCCAGCACGCTCCTCTCGTACGCGTCTTATTCGATTTCTCGCGAGTCGAATGAGACGGCGTGGCGTATCACCGTTCTCTTTTTCCCTTTAACGTTTTCGCTTCCCGAGAATCGAGAGAGAAAGAGAGAAGAAAACCGCGGATCCATGGACCGCGAAAATATGGGCACGCTCGGAGAGAAGGTACTGAGATGGAGGAGGACGAATGAACGGAGAAAAGGAAAGGATAGAATAGGAGAAAAAGACTGGTTGAGGGAGAGGGTCCCGATACGCCGGGTGGGGGTCCACGAGAAAAAGAAAAGGCGGAGAGTGAAGGGAGGATACCCGAGAGGCCTTCGAGATCAGGTTATGCTAACTGGGGCCCGTTCGTCCCACACGTATCTACTTATAAGCAGGCGTACGTGGTTGCACAGCAGACGCTGGCGTCGCGGCGGTGTAGGTTCTTGTGGCGCGCTCACGTTCTCCCTCGTGTACACGCACCTCGCCGCTGCACCACAGATAAACGAGTACTTGAATGTCTTGAATACGTGGAAATGCGAGAGGTACGACGAACCGAGCGCAGGTATCTTTGCGGATACGTTTCTCCGCGTCGGCAAACCGGCTGAAGAGTAACAAGACCAACGCGACGGAAAGGGGAGACGTTCGAGGAATAACCGAGAGAAGCTAGCTCTGTCCACCGAGGAAATTATTATTATTTATTTAGAATTGACGGGCAAGGTCCAATACAATGAATAGTTAAAATGTTTTGTCCGGGCAAATTTTTTCTTACGTTTGTCCGCTGGTAATTTCGTTATTCAGCGACGCCGGAATAATAGAGGGGGGCTGTGGTCCCGGGCCCAACTTTCTAGGTGGGGCCCGATCTAAGGCTTCCATTTATGTGAAAAAGTAATCGAATGGAATTTTGTAGAAACAAATCGGAGCAAAGTTGTGTAGAATATAACGAAGCATTGTTTGTTATAATCAAGAGTTTGTTATGATTAAATGTTACAGTGGATTTTAAGTATATTGCCGTGGTCGGGACTGTAGGGGAGTAAAACGGCTGGAAAACTAGGAAAAAACCTTCCGATTCGCGGAACACAGTGGCGATCCGTATACGTCGGTTAACCGACGGAAGAACAAGCGCGAAAAGTCGAGGGATCGGTGACCGGTCGGTGCCATTAGAAATCTGGCGAATCGCACCAAACGAATACAGTGATTCCTCGATAAATGTGTCGGGGTTTGATATCTCGTTAACAAAGCCTCGGAGAATGTTTTCGCTAAGGAAAAAGTTGTTTAAAATCATCCCAGGAATCATCCCCTTCAAGGTCTTAAAACTATTTTAGGAGACTTTATGTATTCTAAATAAATAAATAAATACTACCTATCGTACGTAATTCACCGTCGTATGCATCGACGGATCGAATTCTGGGTCGACTAGAAACTCTGTAAAGCCGTAAACGTGTTCCAGATTTGGCGAACACTACCCTGTTCCAACAGGAGGGCGTGACAACGTACTCCCAGTTGCTGTTCGATGTTGCCAGGCAGCAGGTCGTCGTGGGAGCACGGTACGTACGATCAACGTGTAAAAAGCACGCCGTTAACCTTTTCGAATTAGAAAACGAAATACAAGAATCATAAATAGCGAATTTGTTTTGGTCAAGAGCATCGACGATCGTCGCGTACGATCGAAGATCGTCTAACTGAAGTCCTAAAGCGTGGAATAGGAGAATGCACGCCCTCGCGGTCTTTCTATTAATAGAAGTCGCAATATTAGACGCCACCTACGTGCGACAGAGCGACACGTTTGGAAAAGTAGTTGGAAATTCGAAAAATCGGTCCGGTTCTCTATGGCTCGGTCATCTCGTATGTACGGTAAATGACCATTGAATTCTATACCTGGAATGATAACTGTGAGTATTGGAGCTGATTTGGCCTGTTAGACAGACAACCCTGTTAGAACAAATTCGGTTTCCGCTAGGGGAAAACGTGATGTAAGGGAAATAATTCCTACCACTTGGTCTCGGAGTTAATGAAATTTATACTAAATTAACATTCGGAGTAATATTTATTTCACTACTTGAAATAAATTTACCAAGTGATAGGAAATCCTTACCCCTATAATGTTTTTTCCTCTAGGGAAAAAAGTGAGGTAGGAAGGGCCTCCTATCATTTAGTTTTCGGAGTTACTGAAATTTATGCCAAATGGCCCTTCTCCTACGTCACTTTTTCCCCATAACGGAAGCCGAGTTTGCTCGTTGGTGCACAGAGTTCAATGCGAAAAACACGTGTGCGATTCGACTGGTCAGTTCCAACCTCCTCGATACGTTCGAACCGTAATAAAGCTCGTTCGGCTTTCAAGTCGCGTCGAGTGGAGTCTTTCCAGGCGTTTTTCTTCGTGTCCAGAGACGGCCGGTTGTTATTCGGGGTGAAAAACAGAGAAAGGAGAGAGGCGAACGTCCGAGAACGTCGGAGAACGTCCAGACGGCGCCAAAGTGTCCCGTGTCGAGTACGCAATCGTTCTTGTTCTCGGATAATCGCGCGAGCCTCGCGATCGGACAGGTATTAAACGAGTAGGCTGTTGCTGTTGCCGGTGCCGTTCCACCGTCGCCACTATGTCGGTTCAGTTACGAACAGACCGAACCAGGGAAATTGAACGGAACGAGAAAGATAATCATTCTGGCGACCCAAGCGCGTATACGTGACGCGAAACGGCGCCACGATTTGCATTCTTACTTTAATTCATGTGCTCGGCAAACCGTGACGTCACCAAATCGGAGCTTATCGAGAGTGTACAGCGTCGCGACAGGTATCGAGAACGAGCGAAACGTGCTTCGGTTCGTTCGCGTCTCGCTGTTCCTTTCCTGGATTGAGACGGCTGTGGCGGTCGACAGCTTGGTGTTGAAACGAACATGTGCACAGGCTCCTAAACAATTCAATTATACATTGATTTCTAGCTTATTGTATGTGGCTTCATTCATCCTTCGTAATTCCGTCCCCGCGACCGTATACAGTAAATCCTCGATAATTATTCCAAGACTTCTCAACAAGAAGAGATACCCAGGTGTAATGCTGACTTTTCAATGAGGTTTGGCACAGTGATAGAACTTGGAATACTGAAGCAAATTATATTTATTTCAACCGTATATGACCGTTAGTTTATGGAATATTTAATGTTCAGTGACGGGGAGCCTTCGAACACTCATCGAGGATTTACTGTAGCATCAAAATACACATTCGAAAAATTTGAGACTAGGTCGCCGATGAAATCAATAAGAAGAAGCTTGTTGAAAATTCAGTTTTTGATACAGCTCTTATGGCAGTCTTAATCTAGTCACTATAGCTCGGAGAGGCACTATACGAAGCGGTCGAAAGACGCTCCGTAATCGTCGGACAGACCGACGTGACGCGAGGGCGACGAGCTGTCGACGTCGTTCGTTCAGCAAACAGGAAGCAATCTGTTTCAATGAATCCGTTCTAACGTCGTGTTCTCTGTAACGTTCTGGGACTCGAGCCGACGATAGACGGTCGATCGGATTCGCTCGAAAGTAACAACGCGCGCGATCTTTCGTCGGGTAGGAAAAAAAGTTGCGCAGCGAGCGAAAGGACGTCGAAATTGATCGCTCGAGAGTTTCCCCGTTGGCTGTTACATTAGACCACTTAGATTATTTGCACGCGGCGAACCGGCCACGCTTCCACCTTGGCTGAATAATATTCTAATTGCTCTCGATCAAAGTGTTGCGCGTAGTCGCGGCGGGCGCCCACGTAGGCGCCGTTTACGCTTCGCTGCGAGTTATACCTTACCGTCCCCCTTTCGACTCGATCCCCTGCACTGGTTCCCATGCTGGCCCTGTGCAAGATTCTTGGACCCCTAGATTTGTTTCGTTTGAATCGGAAAAAGGTTCGAAACCAGCGATCGATATACAGGGTGTCCTAAAATAATTGTAAGTGCTTGATCAGGGTGATTCCTTGGGTGATTTGAAACAACTTTTTCCTTGGCGAAAAAGTTCTCCGAGGCTTCGTTAACGAGATATTAACGAAAAACACCAACCAATCAGTGCGCGAGTCTGTTCGTCGAGCTCTCGCAGTAGCGTTGGCTACCAATCGCAGTGCGTAGCCAACGCTACTGTAGGAGCACGGTGGGCAGACTTGCGCACTGATTGGTCGGTGTTTTCCGTTAATATCTCGTTAACGAAGCTTCGGAGAACTTTTTCGCCAAGGAAAAAGTTGTTTCAAACCACCCAAGGAATCACCCATTTCAAGGACTTAAAATTATTTTGAGACATCCTGTATAAGTACTATTTCCGCGTTTTCAGGGATAATCTGTACCGATTGACTTTAACGTCGCTGACGGCCCTCGAACACGCCAGCTGGTCCGCGCCAGACGACAAAACCAACACGTGTCAAAACAAGGGCCAGACCGTCGAGGACTGTCGCAACTACGTGAAGGTACTTCTCAGCAATGGCAAAAGTCTGTTCACCTGCGGCACTTACGCATTCAGCCCTTGGTGCACGTGGCGAGAGGTAGGTCGGGGAATGAATCAAGGAGAATGGTTGCCCGCGTAAAACGGGACCAGAGCACGGATAGTTCAGTCGAATTAAACATTTTTTAATTTCAATTTTAATTCTTGTGCAATTTAACATTTGGATCGATTTTAACGTACTATATCTCACTTTGTAGGTATTTCTAATACCTACATTTTCCATTTGACTTCTTTGTTCTCGAAAATCAACACATTTTCTTTTACAAGCGAAAAACATGGTTCTCAACCCTTTTCGAATATTTTTAACAATGTTCCATAACAATTCATGAGTCCCGACGCATATATTCCATTTCTAATGACTTGCCGAACATTTTCATGTAAAAACATAGCTAATTAGAGTTACTTTTTAAAACTGTGGTTTTGAAGTCTAATTTGACTGGACTAAGGAATTCTATGTGTATGTATACTACACTAGGATCGCTAACGTCTATAGCTTATCGCAGGAAGAAGTGATGCGAGTCTTGCGTTTCGCAGATCGAGAACATCACCAGCATCACCAGCGAGATGTCGGGCGTGGCAATGTGCCCGTACTCGCCGCACGCGAACGTCACCGCGCTGCTCGCCAGAGGACCGACAGGAGGGCTTTTCACCGGTGCGCCGACAGACTTTTCCGGTGCCGATCCCGCAATCTGTAGAACTCTCGCCTCGCCGAATCTCCGCACCCACCAATACGACTCCAGGTACATTTTAAGGTCCATTAGTAATTCTCAATACCAAGCGGTAGAAGCATAGTACAGAATCGTCTCGATTATTGTCCAGCTCGTTCTACACGATTATTGTCCAGGCATTATCCTTAGCACGGTGGGGTCCAAAAACTTTCTTCGGAGACGGACGACGCAAATTTATTCTGAATTCCATTTTTTTCTCTCAATTATGCGCAGGTGGTTAAACGATCCACAGTTCGTTGGCAGTTTCGAAACCGAGGATCACGTCTACTTCTTGTTTCGCGAATCCGCCGTCGAGTACATCAATTGCGGCAAGGTAACACAAACCGATCAAGCTCGGCGTTGATTTTCCTTTCGTTCTGCCTTCTACTCGAGCTTGTTTCCCCTTTCAGAAAATCTACTCGAGAATCGCGAGGGTCTGCAAAAACGATCGGGGCGGGCAGATCATGATGAAAGAAGTTTGGACGACTTTCAGCAAGGCCCGGTTAAATTGCTCGCTCCCCGGCGAATTTCCGTTTTACTACGACGAGATACAAGGCGCGGTCTATCATCCGGAAGAGGGGATCGTTTACGCGACTTTTACCACGCCCGTGTAAGTACGACGAGAAAAAAGTCGGGAGAATATAATCGAACATTTCACGATCGTGCGCAATCTTCTATGTCTGTGCACTAATCCGGAAGGGACGACCAGACGGGTAGGTGGTACATTTACATTACTACAATATGTAATCATCGATAAGTTTGCGAAGGCCCATCGGTAATGACAAAGGGAGGTCCTCAGGTGTAACTCTGACTTTTTAATGAGGTTTAACACAGTGATAGAACTTAGAATTCTCAAGCAAATTATATTTGTTACAATCGTATATGACCATTAGTTTACAAAATATTTAATGTTCTGTGCCAAGGAACCTTCGAACACTCATCGAAGATGTACTGTACATCTAATACAACGATTCGATCGAACGAAAAGAGAGGGAGAACGGTAGGGAAATGTCGGATACGATCGGGAATATCTGCTGGACGTACGATACATTGAACTCCGCGTTGTCGCGTATTTTTAGAAACGGTATCGCTGGCTCGGCGATCTGCGCGTTCAACATGTCCGCGATCACCGCCAGCTTCAACGGGCCTTTCAAGCACCAAGAGAACTCGGGCGCGGCCTGGGAGAGGGGCCCGGTACCTCATCGGTCGCGTCAACGGTGCGGAACGTCCGCGGATGTCGCTCCGCATCAGATCATCGACAATCAGCGGTATCAGCTGATGGATGACGGAGTCCAAGGCACGACTCTCGAGCCCCTTCACACCTCGATCCTCGAGAGGTTCACGCATATTGCTCTCGATCTGACCCCGACCAAATTGCATCGCGGTGTCGCGGTGCTCTACGTCGCCACGGATGTCGGGCTGATAAAAAAAATCTCGGTGTTGCCGAGAACCCAGGAGACGTGTATCGTCGAGGTCTGGGGACCTTTGCCGTCCACACCGTTGTCCTTGCAGTTCCTCAAGGACACGCAGAGTCTGTACGTCGGTATGGAGACCGGGCTGTTGAGGTACGTGATATCAAACTCGCAAGACGGTTTGGTTTTGAAAGGGGCACGATGGAAGGGTTGTGGGGGAACCTTTGTACCTTGGGAACATTTTTTTTTATTTTCTGTTTTCGAAAGTCCTAAATGATTTACGCAGTTTATGAGAGAGGTGATTCTTAGGGTGATATGAAACCACATTATTGCCTCATTATACTACTGATATTATGCAAGGTATTAGGGTTATTTAAATCTGTATTCTTCTAATAATTGGAATACCCTCTTAATCAGTCTTTACGCGGTACATCTACTTTTGTAGGCCTTCGTAGGCGTAGCTAAAGCTATCAATAGTATTGCCAATTTTCCAAAACCAAATCCACTAACATTTAAAATTGTATATAGGACCGTAGTACAACCATGTCTGAGGTACAACCGGTTTCCCAACTGCAAAACACGGGTCGATTCCTCTATTTCAGGCTGCCCGCGGTCCAGTGCCATCGGCATCGTAGCCGCCAAGCCTGTCTGAATGCGCAGGAACCGTACTGCGGTTGGAACGAGCATCTGATGATGTGTGCCCCGGCGCCACGACAAAATCACTTGGCCAATCATTGGCACCAGGAGGTGACCAAGTGTCCGGTGCTCACGGACCCCGTGGACGGCGGTTGGAGCGCCTGGAGCTCGTGGTCATCGTGCCAGCACGGAACTCCGGATCATGCTCACCCTCACGGGCACACGCATTCCCACGGTCATGTTCACTTCGAGCACGCGGAGGTTGGTTGGTTCGTAGATCGATAATGGACGACGCGTACAGATCTGTAAATACTGGATACGGTATTGGGTTTTGACATTAAGAGCGCCACTGTAGTTCCGAAGCTCTGTAATCGGGTCAGAGTGTCATACATGTGTACGAGTACATTTAGTACCAGGGACGCTCGTCAGGCATCGCGTGTGGTTCATTCTCAAAGATGGCAGCACCCTTATGATCACATAGCCAACGAGCCTACGCCGTATCCAGTATATACAGATTGTGGCGACGCAGCATCGAACCGTAGCTATGAACTTTGTGGGGTGTTGTTTGTAGACGACGGACAGCTGTCAGTGTCAGACTCGAGAGTGCAATAATCCGCCGCCACAACACGGCGGGTCGACGTGTTCTGGCGCCAGGGTCAGGGTAACCAATTGTACCGTCCACGGCGGTTGGACTGCCTGGTCGGCCTGGTCAGCTTGCTCGCAGACCTGCGGCTTCGCTATGAGAACGCGTCGACGTTCCTGCACGAACCCAGCTCCAGCTTTTGGGGGTAGAGTATGCGTGGGTCACGACCACGACGATATCGTTTGCATAGATCTACCGCCTTGCCCAACCCCGGCAAAGGTCGCGCCACCCCCTCAGATCGGTCAGTGGTCCCCGTGGGGCGCGTGGAACGCTTGTTCACGACCCTGCAACGGTGGTAAGTGATCCCATTAGCTCGCAAATGAACTTATCCCTAGCACATCCCCACCTACGGAAAATCAGACTATACCTTTCATCCCGCAGGTATGCGAATACGAAGGAGAACGTGCGAGAATCCGTCCCCACGAAAGTCCAACACCGTCGTCGAATGCAACGGATGCGACTTTCAGGTAACGAACGAAACGCAAGACGATCGACGCCGTGCCGCGAACCTTCGTTGAACGTTCCGTCTCGGTTGTAGATCGAGGAATGCAACAGCCACCAGTGCGTCGAAACCAAGAGGTATTCCGGTTGGACGCCGTGGCTCGCCGCGAACGCCACCACCCTCCAAAGTGGGAACGTCGGTTACGTAGAGAAACGTTTCCGGTTCAGCTGTAGGGCACAAACGGACGATCCCTCGAGCGTGAGGGTGCAGCTCGCCAAGGAGGACGAACGTTACTGCCGTAACGACGGCTCCTGTTTGCGAGGTAGCACCAGTCCGAACGGATACGCCGATGTCGCGACGGACAGCGGCTGGAGCGAGTGGTCCTCCTGGCGGGCTTGCGATCGTCCTTGCGGAGGAGGCTCGCAACATAGAGTAAGTCCCTGTTCGATTGTCTCGTTTTCTGTCTCACGGCGGACTCTCTGTACTACTGTTACGGTTGATTGACTTTGGACGTCGCGCAGGTCAGACAGTGCGAATCGCCACCTTGCGAGGGCGGTGTCTCGCTTCAAACGAAACTCTGCAATATGCATCCGTGTCGTACGAGCCCGAGCACGAGCACGGAAAATGGGCAATGGTCCTGTTGGACCGACTGGTCCGAGTGCTCGGCCTCGTGCGGCCTCGGTGTACGCACACGGAGCAGAGAGTGTTTGGGCCCGGAGAGCTGCGAGGGACCGCGACTGGTCCGAGAAGCCTGCGAGATGTCGACATGCGAGTCCCTCGTCGGATGGGACTTGTGGTCGCGGTGGACCCCATGCGACAACGATCACCAACAGCACCGAAAACGTCAGTGCCTCGAGGACGGGAACGGTATGTGCCAAGGGCCGAGTAGAGAGATCCGCGACTGCCTGCCCGATTGCTCTGATAACGGTGAGTCGAGTCGATTCTGGGCGATTACTCGTTATCGCTAGTGCTCATTTCATCATCGGTCCCCTCGACGCGATACTTTTGCATCTTTCAGACGTGAACGCCCTACGATCGAGCGTGGAACGGTCCGGTGTTACGATCGGCGCGGTGATCGGCAGCTGCGTGGTCGGATTTCTAGTGGGTTTGGCGCTCACCGCGATACTGAGCTTCTGGTACCTGAAACGGCGACAGCGACGTGTCCCCGGTAGCCCGCACTACGTCACCAAGCAGAATCCTTACGTGACGGTGCCGTTGAAAGAGGTAATCGATCGCTCCGACGATCTGCCCGGTCAGAATCGTTGAAGACGGTGTTTCATAGGGGAATTCTGTTGATTCAGGTGAACGCGAAGCGACAGCCTAGCTTCTCCGGCAGCACGAACGGCAACGGGACGCTCCGCGGCAAAAACAATCCGAACGTAAACGGTCTTGGTAGCCCGAAACTGTACCCGAAGAGCCTCGATTACGAGTCCGCCACGCTGAAGCGCAACAGCCACGGTCAGCAACAGATCCGTGTCGATTTGGATCAAGACAAATACTATTGAACCCGATCCACCAACGCGACGCGTCGGGAAAATTTAAAGCATGAGTCGTTCCTCCGCGTGAATCGGGTCAAGGATCATCACAGTGCCACTAGGACGGACCGACGAGTCCCCCTTCGACGTAGACTGTTCGATGGTAGACGCTACTGTGATCGCGAGATCGCTATGAAGGCGAGATCGTGTCGTGAAGCCGCTGAAATCATCCGGGAAAGGGTAACTCGAGACTACGTAGGAGGATGAAGGGGGTCACGAATGTTGTATATATAGACAAAACAGAACTGTATTATGTACTCCCTTTATTTTAAGGACAGATGACTTGGAGCTTTATGTAGAGCAATTTGGTGCCATTACGTTACATGGATTTTAATCGCGACGTCGAACTAATGTGTACGACTAGAAACTGTACTCGGAATGAGTGAACGCGCGTGTTTGTGTGTGTGCATGCGTGCATGTGCGTTCGAGGCACAACGTTTATTACTTTGTTTTGGCTCACATTGAGTCACGGAAACGTATCGGGAGATGTACGCGCGAAGAATAACCGATAATACCAATAAAACAACGATCGTCCACGCGACTGTGGCGTGCGCAACAGAAAACGAACGATCCAAACGTTTCGTACGAGTAAACGAATCATCTTCCGATAACCTTACCAGCGAGGTGACGCGTCGTGGTGTATCGCGTCTTCCGTTCGCAACTGATGCAATAATAACACGCCCGTACAGAAAAGAACACGTCGAGAATGAGTCAATACACCCGTATATCAGTCCGCTCACAAGTCAACGGCGAACTTCTCGATCTTCTCGATCGCGTAATCCATAGCAGCCTCTGTCGGAGGTGGCTGACAGGTGACGACCATCCGGAAAAAGTTGCCCACATTTTTGTAGGACAGCGGCGTGTAGCCAACCATCAGCGATCCTTCGACCATCATGCGTTCCTTGATCTTCGTGATGATACTGTACAAATTGTCCCACCATTCGGGCGTCTCCTCTTGACCGCGCATGCTCGGTGGCACGTACCTGTAACGGGAGACCAGAGGAGCGATTTTCGACATCGGGACGTTCTATCGAAGACGATCGCGCAAGCGTCACTCTTACCAGAAGCAAACGTTGCAGCACTCGTAGCTGGGAAGAACCAACCGAAAACCGTCGCGGCCCTTGATCCGTTCGTAGAAGTACTCGATCGCGTGCATCGCCAGGTCCACGGATTCGCGAAGACCTCTGGTTCCTCGGGCCTTCCACATCAGCCACATCTTGGGGCCATCCACCTGAGACGGAAAAACGATTACGAAACCGATCGAGAAATACGATTCGTCACCCTATATTACCTTTCGTCCGCATTGCAAGCTCTTGTCGCCCGTGTCCCACGATACGTCGTAATGCTTGTCCTGTTGAAAAAGGTACCTCGCGCCAGCGCAATTCGTCTCGTGCAACATATTCTTACCGTTGACCAAGAACAGCGAGCATTGGAACGGTGCGCCGAGCATCTTGTGCGGATTCCACGCCACAGAATTCGAGCTGAATCGATAAGAATGTATCAATCTGATCGAACGACGAAGAATCACCGTCGAACAAAGGTATTGTCTCGTCGCGCTCGACGAACAGCACAGGATGGAGGAAATTGTCGGGTGTGAAATAGGAGACAGTCAATCGAATTACGTACAGCTCGATTCCAGTTAATCGCGTCCGATACTTTTCCGACAACAGTAGCGTACCGCCGAGGCAAGCCTGGAATAAACAGAGAACGGTTCGAGTTACATCAACAACGCCCGATCCTTTTCTACGGCTGTAATTGTACATGTACGAACGTCAACGTGTAACCATATATTCTCTTCACGGCAGATCGCCGCGATTTCCGGTAGCGGATCGATAGCGCCTAGGACCGTCGTCCCGCAGGTGGCGTTGACGAAGAACGGTAGGTGGCCTTGTTTTCTTGCTTCCGCGATGCCTGCCCGTAAATCGTCCGGTCGCATACGACCCAACTCGTCGGTCTTGACCTGCCAGCCGAACAGATCGTTGCCCAGTTTCGATTCGATTTCTTTGGAATCTCGATTGTAAGAAAAGATGGGTCGTGTACCTTGTAGACATGATCGGTTCCAAGACCCAACCAGTGAGCTCCCTTCGTGATCGAGTAGTGGCCACCCTCGCTGGTGAAACAGACGAGCGGCGGTAGCCCCGCGAGGCCCTTTGTCTTGATCTCCGGGAACATTTTGAATCTCGCGATCACCATACCGTACATGTTGGACATACTGCCGCCTGGGCTCAGCATCCCGTCTCCGTCTGGCATCGGTGGATAGCCGACCAGTTCCAAAGATCTCTCGATCACTTGCCGTTCCATTAACGTGAACACAGGCGCTACCTCGTACGTGTACCTGACGGGGGCATCGATCGACGCAATCGACGGTAAACGAACGGATTCTTATCTACATACAGCGAGTCACGGGAGTATTCGTACCCTTTACAATAACTAAGCTTTCGAATGATATAGCATTAATTGAAAATAATAATCAGACTCCTCTCGATTATCGTCCCGACGTCGGGTCCGCACCAGGACAATAATCTTATAGGGAGAAATGCTTCAGATCCCCGTAAATTCGTTTTTTGAAAAAGTGGAGAGGCAACAAAGTATATGGGACACCTTGTATATTGTTAATCATTTGAATTTAAGAACTGCGAGGGTACGAATACTTCCGTGATTCACTGTATATCGCGGCAACGATCGCACTTACTGGCTCGTGTTGAACACGTCCGTCAACCATGATCCAACCAAACCGTATTCATCGACACCGGCGTACAGTTGATTGTGGAAGTGCGGGCTGAACGTTTTCACCGAGTATCTGATCGTTTGTCGTATCGCCGTCTCGATTTCCGCCAGGCTGGCCGGTTGCTCGGACAGATCGATGTCCAGCCGTTCCTGCAACAGGAGAAAAGAAAGGGAACCGAATGGATGTTCGTGTCCGTTATTCGCGCGCGATCCTTACCCGCAACTGGTCCGGTTGAACGAACCGCACCACGGGTTTGTTGCCCGACCGATCGAACGCATTCTCCTCGTCGAGAATTTCGAGCAGCCGTTTCAGCAGCTCGATCGCTGTCACGTCGACCGTAGAACGTGATTCCTCCATCGTGTTTCGTGCACTGTACCCCGAGAACCGATTCTTCGCGTCGTCAATGCGTAGCACTTTCCCCACCACACGCACTTTTCGATCGCTGCTTTCCTTCGTTCGTTTCTCGGTTCTCGCTCTGTTTACCGCTCGCCTATAGTCGCTCGAGTAACCGGGCAGCTGGATCGCGGACAAGTCGGTGCGGCGTATTTGTGCGTGCACGGAACGAGTAGCATCGTGTGTCCGCCGCGACGCGTCGCTCGCTCCCCGCGTGCCCGTCTGCACGCAATCTTCTACCGACAACGGTCAATCGGGTCGACGAGTCGCGGAAGCGAGATTACCGTTAACGCGGAGGATACACGGAGATAAGAGGAGCCGCGAAGGTCGAACGAAGGAGCAGCGAGCAGAAATGAAGCCGAATAAACGAACCAATCCGTGTACCTATGATACCGAGATATCGTTTAAACTCGCGATAACGACGCGCGTCCACTTGTCGCGAATATTCCACGGTTTAACGACGACCTGAAGGCTGCTTCGAGACGATCGTATTTGAAACGAAACGAAGAAAGCTATGGGATAGTGTCACGTGGGGACAAAGGCACCGAGTCGTTCGACGACGGATCGGCCGGAGGGCCGCTAGTCCCACCGTGATCGACGGGTAGTCGAGGTACCAGACCCCTCATCGAGGCCCATTGACCCTCGCAGAGCTCGTGAAACGTCAAGCGCATCAGCATCTTGCCCCCGAGAGTACCGGGTCCCCTGCACATCGCCCCGGCCCCGAACTCCCACGCAGCCAAACTTTCCGTACCGTTCGAGGTGTCGTTCGCTCGAGCCGCCGCGTAGTATCGTTTCTGCAGCCAAACGGCTAGATAAGAGGCCGCGCAGTCGCAGTGCCACGGATTTCTAGCCAGACGAAGCTGCTCGATGCTCGGTACCGGGTCCAGAAGACGAGGCGGCAACGAGGTCAAATAATTGGACTCCAACTGTCTGATGAATCGAACGTGACACCCGGGTCAGGAAACGAGATAGTACAACAGTTTAGAAATTTCTGCGACAAAATGCTAAAAATAGGTCGGACTCTTCATGAATCGCTTGGTTGAGTAATGTCACAGACGAGATATAGGAATACACCTAACATGTAATGTAATTATCTGTTCCATGCTTTGGGGGCGTCAGAAGCCCCTGTACCATTTCAGTATTCACGACTTTTATGTGGAGTGCGTTCGAAACAACGTGATTTTCGTGGGACACCAAGTCCTATAAGATGTTTGGTCTATTCTTATATCTCGTCTGTGGTGTGTATGAACTTCTGAAGAATCACCGTCGATAAGATGCCGACTTCCCGCCCCCCTTTGTGGGTCGAAGGTTAAAAAAACCGGTTTTCTGTTGATAACTGAACAATTCGGCATCTCATCGACGGCCATTTTTCAGGGGTCCATAGTCATCACTAAAACACCTAACCCAGACCTATGTTCAGTTTCTTCGCAGAGTTCCCACATTTCAATCTAATACTACTTGACCAAGCGTTCACTTACAATTTTCGTAGATTCGGCGTGTCTTGGAACAACTCGGGATGCATCGTTCCGATATGATTCGAGTGAAGGAACAGGGACGTCAGGTTGGACAGGCCGCGGAACGCACCCCGGGGCAAGCTCTCGATCCCATTGGCATACAAGACCAATCGTTCGAGACGGTCGGAAGTCGAAAACAAGCCTGGTGTCAGGCTCCGTATTCGATTGTGGCCCAACTGAAGATCTTTCAGCGCGGTCGAACCTCGAAAAGCGCTCGGATCGATCTACAGTGAACGAACGGAATAAATTGTCGCGGCCACCGTACCCACGAGACGATTACTCGATTTATTTACCCGTGTTATCTTGTTGTTGGATAATTCGAGCGAGCGTAATCGTTCGAGCGGAGCCAACAGGTTTCCGGATATCTCCGTCAGTTGATTGCCCCTAGCGTTCAACTCGCGAAGCGACGCTTGGCCCCGAAACACATCGTTCGGCAGTTCCTTGAGTCGATTCTCTTCGAGGCCGAGGTACTTTAGATTCGCCAAGTCTTGCAACAGATCGTTCGGCAGGGTCGAGAGCCGATTCTTTCCCAGCAGAAGCTCCTCGAGCACGGCCAATCCGCGAAACGTACCCGACGCTAGGTTCGTGATACGATTGCAGGATAGATCGAGCAACACTAACGAGGTGGTGCTCAAGAACAGACTCTCCGGTAGTGTTCGAAGTCTGTTCGAGGAGGCGTCCCTACGTTTGTCATGGAAAACGTAAATGGCACACGAAAAACACGGTAGAACCACAGACGAGGTATAGAAGTAATTTCATCCAATTTATTTTTTCGGTCTACTTTTCTGGGGTTACTCCATTTCCATTTTAGTGTCACTACCCACCGCAGATTTACCATTCTTATAACGTAGAGGTCGCTAAAATCATAGGCTTTTTAAGGTGTTGGTACTACAATTTAGGTGGGCCACCAACTCCCATAAGATGGAGTCTGTTCTTATAACCTCGTCAGTGATAAAACGCGCGAACGAGTTGTAGGGTAAGAGACCTATTTACTGCCAGCTACCGAATTACTGTCATCCTAAACTGGTTTACTTAAAGTAGTAAATAAACGTTGTGAAGTTATGTATACGTAAAGAAACTTCTGCATGCAATTAGAACTGTAATTCATATGATATAAAAAGCAGCATTTAGTTTCGTTTTTCCATTAATTTTTGTGAAATCTTATGTGTTTGGTCAGTTGATACAAAAATTATGCAATAATGTCAGTGTCACTTCTTAAAGTGTCAGTAATTGGGTCTTTTACCCTATCGGTGTTGCCAGTACAACTAAGGCAATTCTACGCTAGTTATTTAGATCAGCCATACTCGACCTGCAGCCCACTGAGCTTTTATATGCGGCCCGAACACATATTCAAGCCCGGGGATTAAGATTTTTTATGACCCAGTGGTATCAGATTTTCGGGTTGAAAAGCGGGAGGGGGTGGGTATTTTTTGTAATAGAGCACAACAAAATACATAAATCTTCAAAAATTGAAATTTATTTTACATAAAGAGGGTAATTTGTTGCAGCCCGCGTAACGTAGCATACATACGTATATGGCCCGTGAAAAATAGAAGGTTGAGTATGGCTGATTTAGATTCTAGGTCGGTTCGGTCTTCACTCACAAGATTCGCAGATTTCGAGTGCTGAAGAATTGAGACCGATGCAGCTCCCTGAGTAAATTTTTGCTCAGTCTGAGATGCGTGACGGCGTGCAGGGAAAAGAACAGGTTCAATGGGAGATGTTCGATCGCGTTGTCGCCGAGATCTCTGTAAATGTTTCGATCCGATCGGGTATTTCTCGCAGGGCGACGGATTCGAGGGGAATTTACTCACAGATGATTCAGTCGCGTCATGTCCAAAAAGGTGTCCCGGTGAAGTGCCGTCAATCGATTTCCAGCCAGATCCCTGAAATCATCGCGCTCAAGGTAACAGCTCACGCGTTTGGTGTCGTATTTAGCTGGGGCTTCATATAGCGCTTTATACGTTTTACCAATTTCACCAATTCAATTTGAATGATTAATATTTTAAACTACCTCGAAATACTTAAATGGAAAAATATTACAAATAAGTGGAGAAAACAAAAATTTTATTTCCTTATTGTAAAAAAATTTATATTCTTTTTAGGGTTTAAGAAAAAATTGGAAAGTATGTCGAACAAATCAAAGGATACGATGTTGACGAACGCATTAAAATCTAAGTTTGCATATTTTGATCTTAACTTTTTGATTAACTGCTTTTTGACTGTGCCTGGGCGTACGTGTGGCCTACCGCTCAGCTGATTAGGGAGTTTCTTTAACTACTAATATCTCGGAAATGGAGCTTCAGATTACAAAACGGTAAAGAACTTTTCGATTTCTATTTACATGAGGAATATGCATGTTATTGATTGTCCCATCTTTTTGGGACACCCTTATATATTATGAACACATGAAACTCAAGCGGCACATCCGCCTGTTTGACTGCGGGGCGGTCCATCCGTGCGGACGAACCGCAAATCTGAACCCGGCCTACAAAATACCGACTGAATCGCCGGTTTTTGCACGATCGAAGCGCCACCTGATGAGATCGCCGCGGCTTACAGTTTGAGCACGTCCCGTGGAACCAGCTGCGCCGCTGGGAGATCCAGTAATTCCTGCCTCCAGCAGGACACCGATTTGGTTTCCGGCTGGCATCGGCACGGTCCTTCCGCGCATACTTCCCAGTCCTCCTCAGCCTCTCCCATCTGCCAAACTGTGAACGATCCGCGAAAGAATTCAATCGTACCCGGACACAAACCATATTCCGTTCTCGTCCGAGTGAACCAAACCCCGTATAAGGTCAGTGTCCCTATTTTTAATCACATCCCAATTTCTGCTCAGTACTTATATATTTTATTTAATGTAAAAAGTTAAATAATAAATTAGTTATACAAAAAATTATTTAAATTAGGTCAGTATTTCCGTATAAAATGCTACAGCTGTTCAATAGATGGCAGCATTTTAATCGAAATAAATTTAATAAGTGTGTCCGTCGTAATGAAATGTGATTTGAGCGGTTGCATTTGTACTAAAAAAAACCTACGGAATCTTTAATATTGTTCTACGGAATATTTAAATTTAATTATAAAGGGAGATTTAAATTTTATATCCAATAAGTTGTTTGTCGATTGCTATATAAATATATAATAGAACTCAATTTCCAGGATAGCAGAACTCTTATATGATTAGAAATAGGAAAATTGACCTTACTTACCAGGCTGCTCGACCGCTCTAAGTCTTCTTTCGAGTCGCGATAATCGATTCTCGAGCTCCTCCAGGATCGCCGAGGGAACAGCACTGTCCGAACCCGATCTTAATCCCACCGAAATCGTCTCCGATCCGGTCGATCGTTCGAGATTCGAATCGGAAAGCGCACAATCGCGAGACGGTACGGTTCCACCTCGTTGGATCGCGATCCCGAGGGATAGCAATAGTAAAACGTTCCTGGTCGCGGGGGTCATGCTCCGGAACGAAATCACGGACGAACGACGAACTTGTTCGGTTAGTCGCGAACTACTCTCGACTACATACTTACTGGTGTATTCCGTGCGCGCAACGAATAAACACCGTGCATCGCTCGAGATTGACGAACAATAGCAGAACTGGGCGAACCTTTGTCCCCCTTTTCGCCACGAAAGGAAAATAAATACAGGAGTGGAGCGAGGCGACCAAGATGCCACCACCTCATACAGACTCCTCCCGATTATCGTCTGGCTCGCTCTACACGATTATTGTCCAGGCGTTAACCCCACCCCTGGGGGAGGGGCATAGAACTTGTCAAGTTCAAACATTGTTGCCCCTCCCCGTTTGTTGTCGAGTCATATGAAATTATATACTGCATAATTTTCAGCAGAAAAGAAAAAAAAAACATTTATTTTCACCGAGGCTGAAGCTGAAAGCAAAGGAAACCACGCTAACTTAAACGTGGCACGATTAAATGAGGACGCGGAAGAAGATGCTCTGCCATGGAAGCAGTACCGAGCTGGCTGACACCATTTCTCAGCAGGTACGAAAGCGAATTCGAGGTTATGTCACGTCGAGATCCTTTCTCCAAGCGTGAACGAGCGGACGGAATAGTAGAGACAGGACCTAGGAAAGCCTGGTGCCGCCCGAGCCAGGACACTCGCCCTTCTGCTTCGTCATGAGCACTGTAGGAATCAAGAGAGAGAAATTTAAAGGTTTGCCAGGGCAGTTCTGTACAAGTTTCGAGCAAATTTGCAGCAAATAATGACAAAAGTTGTCTAAAAAACCATAGCGATGTGTTTCCGCATTTGACTTGGGTTTTGCAGGCAACGCCAGCTGACAAAATGGTAAAGCAAATTGGCAGCAGGTTCGTGCAACATAACATGCGTCAAATTTGGGAGCCAATTTGCTGCCAATGTGCCCGCAAGTTGTTTATAACAAATCTTGCATCGAATTTGTAGCCATAATTTTCTAACAGGCATTGGACAAAATTTGGCTTTGCAGGTTCGGCTGACTGGTCACTTACACGATCCCATTTCGCAGTTGTAAACGTCCAAAGCGCACTGAGAGCCGAATGTTCTAGGCTTGAAATTGACGTTGCGCGGATCGTGGACGCAAATTGGATCGTATTCTGTGCATTCTTTCGCGCAGTCCTTTTTGTTCTTCTTGGCCTCCTTGGCCGCTTTGACGGCGTCCTTCAGGTCCTTCGAGGCGGTCGCGGTTTCCTTGATCTCCTTCGGTTCTTTGATCGGTTTCGGGACGGCGGTGGTCGTGTCGGATGGCAGGGATTCCGCGACGTCCGCGAGTAACACGACCGCGCACCCGACGGTGAACGCTACGGGATAACAATCAGCGGATTTCAGTTCGTGGGATCTTACGATCCAGGAAATTGATTTACGAAAAACGTGTTTTTACTGGCCAAAAGTCATATAATTGGTAACTATAATAATTAATTTCAGTTTGAATTTCAAAATTTTCCGTTCAGAGCGTTACCCCCGATCACACAATTATCTGAAATGAATAATATTTTGGATTTCGTAGGTTTCAAGTATTGTTACTTCATAACCGAAAAAAAAATGTGAAAATGTGGAACATTTAAGTCCCCGGACTATAAACGCGTTTTCAGACCACTATGGAACGGTAAAACGTAACCCCGTTTCGACGTCTCGAGGATGCGTATCTCGCGCCTCTAAGCGGCCTCAATTAGAGTCCCACTATTTAGCGAGTTAACCGTCCCCTCGTTTTATCCCGTGAATAGCGAGACGCACATTTTGCCCCCACCCCCTCCCAAGACACGAGCATTGAAAATTTCAATTAAATCGCAATTGAATTTCAATTGAATTTCAATCTGAAATCGATGAAATATCGATTCAGCTTACCTATAAGCACGACCGATCGCATGATCGACCGTTGTCCTCTCACGTGTATTCTTCTTGTTCCGCTTTGATCCGCTTCGATCTACGCTTGGAATTGAGCTGGTCGATGCAGTAGTAGGTATTACGTCTCTCTGTAACGCGATCAACGACTGATACGCAGTGGTGTCTCGCAATCGCGTTTATAAACGAATGACCCCCACCGTAAACTCCTCACCGGAAAACTCGTAAAGATCGAGAGGAACACGTACCGGCAATTTTCGAAATTGCTCGCGCCTCCGCTCCACGCCGAGAGAATTGCTAACTGCCCGCGCGATTTCGCTGGAAATGGAACGAAGTGGGTTAGGTCGCGAAGAACGGAATATTTTGCGTTTCTCAAAAGTTTCCATTTATTCTGGTTTTTTTTTCTTCTTTCTCAGAGCACGGCACAGATCGAGGCGGACGACGCCGGATTGCGACGTCGTCGAATACACGAATTATACCATTGGCAAGTCCCGCGATCGCGTGCGTCGTTTATGTACAATTGTCATACGTACAGGGTGATTCATAAATACATGTCAATGCTTCAATGAGTAAATCAAGTAACAAAATGTCATACAGACATACATCCTATATACCTTAGTTTTCGAATTATGGATGACTGACCCCTTGCCTTACGATTTTCTTGACGTCTACAGTTTTCAGAAATACTTCACTATTACTGGGTTCCCAGAAACAAAAGGAATTATGTACTAATTACAAGCAGCTTCGAATTAAGGTTTTTTGTGGCTCAGGCCTATTAAATTTTCGGGGGATCCCTTGGTCAAAAAGAGGGTGGGAGGGGGGATTTTTTTATAATATAATACATAAATAACAAATAGATAAATCTTGAGAAATTGAAATTCATTTTCCACAAACAACTTTGCCGAGGCTCGAGGTTCGGGCAAAAAAACGAATTTACGAGGGTCTGAAGCATTTCCCCCTACGAGAGGAGTCTGTATAACATTTTTTACTCCTATTAGTGTGTAGATTTACCCTCTGAAGTATTAAAATGCATTTATGAATCACGCTGTATAATAAATAGCAATAAATAGGGGAGCGATCGAGAATGACGACGCGCAATTAATTGGCTCGAGTAGCGATACACGCCGAGAGTTTTAGCGAACACGTCGGGTTTCTTCCAAGGCGTAACTCCGCAGCAAATAAGCGTAATCATTCCAGGTTTCGTCGCGGCTGAAAGCATCTCGAACTCCTCCACGTTCTGAATCCCGATACACGCCGTTGACGTTCGATCGGTCCTGGTTCAAACTCTCGTACTTATCGACAGCGTTGCTCACGATCGTTGTCAATGTGTTCACACGATCCCAAAATCTCTCATCTCCTGAAACGAGAAAAAGCTCGTGAAAGATTTCGTCGAAAACAATTGGATTTTGCCCCCTCCCCCTGCCTTCCCAGAGTTGAAAATCTTTCGAGAAGATTCGAAGCTTGTACATTACCATTGAACGATCGACGGCCCTCGTCGTCATCGTCGTCCGCGTCCACCTTGTTCCCCTTTTTTTTTATGATCTCGAGCTTCGGGATGAAGAGCAGCAGGCAAATAACTGCTATAAATTTCACTATCAACTTGAAGATGACCAGCTTCAACAGGATCTTTGCCAGCGTGAAAGCGTTCAGCTTGAGCGCAAACGGCCAGGAAAAGTCGATGGTAGGAAGAACGACGTGGGACGATTCGGACATCCCATGGGGAACTCCGTGTCCGTAGCCGGGCGTCGGTGGCCCGTACCCTGGAAATTTCGGCGAGATGGATCAGCAGACGATTTCAACGAACGTGAGTATTAGATATCTCGATTACACGTGTAATTAATATACACCCGTGTTTCAGTCCGTGTGATTTTTATTATTTTTAGGAGGGTCCTCACGATTATCTTCTGGCTTGTTCTACACGATTATTGTCCAGGTGTATGGGTATACACCAAATATACACAACAATACATTAATGTGAACGCGTCCGTAATACGATACCTCGTCCCTCACCTTGCTGGGGCGGCGAGTAGTGATCACCGTAGTAAGATATCTGCCCATTACTGGGTGGCCCATAGGCGAATCGAGGGGGTTGCGGTGGTCCATACGAACTTTGGGGTCCAGCAAAGTCACTGGACGATCGTGTAGGCAGGCTGTACGAGTCGCTCGGTATCATCGAGAAGGAATCTCGATCGGCCGAGCCGTAAACGATTCGTGGAGACGTTGCGCTACCCTCTGGGCCCGTGTAAACCGGGCCCACGTTGTACTCTCGCCTGCGTTGAGGGGTTGCAGACTCCGATGCGCCACTGGAACCGTTTCCATCCACTGAAACGATTCCCTCGCGAGGATCGGCGCTGGTACGGGAATGTTTCAACGCCTCCAGATAGCTGTCCTTCGGCCAACTGCTCGGCCGACCGATCTTTCTTCCGATAATCCCTTTGATCGATTTCGACGTCGTCGACTCTGCTTTCCATCCGAGCTGATTTTCATTGATCGTCATCTTGGTTATGTTTTCGCTAGGCAATTTAAGCGTCGTATTTTCGACGGTGTGCTCGATCGGCAATAGGCTCGGCGAAGAATCACGGCCGGTTGACATACCGATTATTGTCAACAATACACCGCAAACGCATACTATCCGTAAATTATTTCCGTAAGTCACGATCATTTTTACCACCGACCGTTGGCGAACTATGGGAGAACGATTTCCGCGCGTTCTAAGCGATCGAACGATCCTCGAGGTTCTGAGTTTTCGAACGACACCGAATCAACGACCAAGGGAACGCTATGGCGTTGTTCCCGTCCCCGCGGACGCGTCCTCGGCATATTAAGCGAGTAGCGGTCCTCGGCCTACCTAAGCCGATTATCCGTTTCGCCCTCGCCGTCGTTTACGTTTCGATTCGCGATCTTTCGTTCGCCGTCGAAGTCTGTAAACTCGTGGAATCTACTTCTGGTCGAAACTTCGAGTGGTGGTTTCACCCCTTAAAGTCACGTCTCAGCGGATAAAAAAAAATACGTATCCCTTATTTTTGACTGCTTGACAGACATACGAAGTTTTATCGAAATCGGAATGGGACACTTCCGTGCCTTCTCTTGTAAGACGTCTTTAAGCTGTCTTCAAGGCATCGTTGGGCGGCCAAACGGAACGAATTCCATTCCGGCGAATACGCACGATCGCGTAAGGGCGTCGGCCCATTGATATGCGTCGGACGTTGTCAACGATAACGGTCCCCACGATTCATCGATCCTCCTACGATCGTCGTGCGATCCACTGGCCTACTCTGCGAGCCACGCGTTCCAATTCTTTCACGTCTTTCGCAGCCCGTAAATTGGCCACGACGAAAGGGAAACGTTTTCGTGTTATCCACAGAAATGTTTGCATCGATCGGGTAGCTATGTTAGGTTTCCCAGCAACCGGGGAAATCGACAACGACCTTCCAGGCATTAACGGTGGTTCCTGAACAATTCGATACGTTAGTCCAGTCTCTACAGCCGACTATGTATTGTCTTCTTCGTCGAATAACGATTCCTCCACAGATTTCAAGAATCAATATTCTAAACAATTTTTTCCTTTCACGAAAATGTGTAGATATCCGTAGAAAACTGTCAGTACCACTACTTCCCTGTTTTGGGTGCGTTGTTCACACTGGATAGTGACTTGGCTAACACGTTTGTTCATTGCATTCCGTTTCTATTTATTGCCAGCATGAATATACGGACAAATATTTTTTTTTTATTAATAACTTTTTAACAAACAACGACCATCGGGTAAAACCTATTGAAAGGAAAAAGTTCTTCAGAATGTCGATTTCTACAACATATTCAAAAATCATCGAAATCGGTGAGAAAATTGTTCTTCGACAAGTCGACAAAAATGGTAAACTATTACATTAAAGTACAGTGCCCGTTTACAGTAATAAATAAATAATAATAATTAAATAATTCGGTGGGTGTTGGCGGTACGATGCGATTCACGAACGTCGAAACATCGTACGCACGTTACACCTGTATGTTCTGTAAGTCGATGGTTTCCTTGAGTTTCCTTGTTTCCACAGATGGGCAAGCTTTGGAAAATGTCGGGACGTCGCGTTCGTCGGAAGGGACGCGATCGCGACCGTGTCGGGCGTGTACGCACGTTTCTTCGACTGGATCACCGGAGAGACACGTATCGAGAGATTCGAAGGTCGAGAGAGAGGAGACGGCGCTTCCTGCGTCGCTGGACTATCGGTATAAAAGAGCAAACTTTTTTCAATTTCGCTGGAATTTTGACAGACAGACAGGGCCGTTCCTGGCGGAGGTGCAAAAGGTGCCTAAGGGATTGTTATATATTAACTATGTATATATACTTACAGATATAAAAGTAAAGACTGCATGTCAAATTCTTGATTAAATAATATTAAATTAACAAGGGTGGCAATACTGTTTTTGCACCTCGGCAGTCAACAATCCAGGAACGGCCCTGCAGACAGAGAAAATCGAACTGGATATTTCCCCCTGCGACAGATCGCACCGATTTTCTCCCTGGTGGAGAGGAAGTCGAATCCGAGAATCTTGATATTCGTGTACCCATCGATCCGAAGAATCGCAAGATGCGCTCGGAGCGAAGAGGCGAACGGTTACGCGTGTTGCGCGTTCGCTGGCACCGAATACCTGCTCGGCCAAACGATCTTTCCCGATTTTCGTATTGTCGTGTGGCACTGGAAAACTGGCGAATGGATGACGACGATAGATGTGACTATGATGAGCCATGATCACCTGATATTAACGTGAGTAACAATAATAATAATAATAGTTTATTGAGACGGGCGTACGTTTGTCCAATATACATTCTTATAATAGAAAGAACTTATTGTAATAGAATTACACTTAATGATATTTCACGTTAGAAACAAAAGGAAAGAACAAGAGGTACCATTATTACTTTATTTGCATTTTTCCATAGTTTACCCATCATGCCCCCTTCCCCTACGACAGCCACAACAATTCGGTCCACCGAACTTGAACGTTTATTCGTTTTTTTCGCAGATGTTCGCCGGATTCGCCACTTTTAGTAGCACGGCACTCGCCGAATAATAGGCCCACAGTTTCCATTTATCGTCTTTTAATCTGCTCGAAGATCGTCCGACTGTTTCCCGTCGAGACCAATACCATTTCGGATCTCGAGCCAGTCTCCCTCTCCTGGTCCACCGGAGGAACGTTGCTTGTCTGCGATCGACTCGGTAACGTTTCGACCGTGGAGTTGGACTTGGACGAGACTCGAGAACAACGGGTTCGAAGGATCATAGAATCGTTAGTTCGACCACGAAGGAAGCCTGTGCTGGTGGCTCACAGAGGCGGCGCGATGCTTGTCGTCGCTCCGTCCGATGAAACGAACGCGGAAATTCGAGCAACGGTACACCCAATCAGCGTGACCAGATTGAGGGTTTTCAAGGGAAAATGGCGGAGTATACTGTCATGCTAGTGGGGGAAAGTAAAGTAATGACGTCAAAACTGTACCTAGATAGCACATGACGCCTTGAAGACGTCCATTTTACAGCTATTTTACATATAAGACGCCTTTAAGCCGTCATGTGCTATCTGGGTAGGGTTGCATTGGTTATGCCACTTGGGTGGGTTTGGAGTCGGCCTTGTGATAAATACCAAGATAGTACCATCCGCCATTTTGGAAAAATGTGGCGTAGGGGAAGGACGTCCTACCACTTGGTTTCGGGAATTATTGAAATTTCTGGAAAATTAACATTCGGTTTAACATTTGTTCAATTGAAATTGCATTCTAAATATTTACCTAACATTTATTTCAGTACTTGAAATAATTTACCAAGTGGTAGGAGCTTCTTGTTCTACGCCATTTGTTCCCCTAGCGGATGCTGAATTTTCTTTTGGGTGTACATGCCGATTGAATCGCTCGTCATCCAACCGAGTCATTCGTCTCGCGTGTTCCTAGTTTTTCAAGAAACGAACGACCGATCGGGAGGAGAATTGGCGGCCGATTTGGACGATTTCGTTGTCGTCGTATCCGAATCGGATGGTAAGTCATCCGCGAGATGACAAGATCGTCCTTCTCGCGGAAAACGGCGAGATGTACGCGATAATTGGGCCGTCACGGGATTGTGTGCCTCGATTTGAATTGATCACCAGATGGGATAACGACTACGCGATGATAGCTCGTTTACCAGGCTCGTACTTGGGAGCCTTGTCGAGGCCCACGGGTCGATTGGTCATCGTCGACACAGCTACTGGAAACGTTGTCTCTCCGATGAACCGACTCTTGCTGAAGCATCACGGCAAAGGTCGGTCGACTGAAGATAACAGTAGGCTCAGTAGGCATTTAGGCAACTTATAAAATTTATTATTGTTACTATTATTCTTAGTAGTAGTAGTATTACTATTATTATTATTATTTAATATCCTTTTTATTAACACAGACGATAAGGATAAACGGGGGTGTCACTAACGACACTTTATGTTCTAACGAAAGTAAAGAGCGAAATCAGCGGTGAATAGACGCGTTCGTCGCGGTTCTTTCGGTTTCAGTCACGCGTCTGGTCTCGCATCCCTCGTTGCCTATTCTGGCCACATGCAGCGTCGCTGGTAACTGCGTGATCGTCGAAGCATCGACACCGTCATCCCCGAGAATCGTGAACTGCGTTCATTTGCAGAGGGAACCGCTGGACAGACTCAAGTTCTCGGAGGGAGGACGTTTACTCGGGGTCGGGGCTTCCCGACTCGGTAGATTGTTTCTCCTCGGGCCGTTGACCGATAACGGCCCAGACAACGTAAACGTCGCGGCTGCGTTCAACGTCGGACGACAGGTACGAAGGTCTAAAAATTTACGAGGGTCTTAAGTATTTCTCCCTACAAGATTATTGTCCCTGTGCGGACTCAATTTCGGGACAATAATCGAGATGAGTCTGTACAGTCTGTGTCATCGATTATTTTTCTCCGATAGGTGGTCGATTTTCTGATTTACGAAACGGAGACGTATGGCGAAGCAAAAGCTTTGGTTCTCCTCGCAGACGATAGGGGTCATTCTCGAGCCGGAGACGAGATCGGGGTGTTCTCGTGCCGTTTCAACGGAGAATTTCGCGAGTGCCCGATACCAGACCACACGATAAATCTAGCTGCTTCCTACGAGAGTTTCTGTGGCGAAGGGAGGGGTAGTCGCGCGAGGATCCTGGCTGTACCGTATCTCTCGAGGCAGTTGCATCGAATCGAGCTGATGGTAACAGATTTTTACTTAGTGAAAAAGTTCTCTGATTGGTCGGTGTTTTTCGTTAATATCTCCTTAACAAAGCCTCGGGTAACATTTTCACTAAGGAAAAAGTTGTTTCAAATCTACCCAGGAACCCCTCATTTCCGAGAGTCGATGCTATTTTGGGACACCCTGTATCCCAAAGGATTGATTGCCTGTTAATTAAATACATAAATAAACAAATATATCTACGGTTTACGAGCAGCCACCAGATTATCGAGAGGCGGCGCTCTTCGACGTTCTTCCAACCATCCATCGCGCGAGAAACATCGAAATCGACGTACACCGCGGTAAGACAGGCTGTTGCTCGTGGTTGCTGACGTGTGGATACGACGGTTCGATCGTCGTCCGAGACGAGGCTAATCCAAGGCATGTTTCCATGGTGTTCGTGGGCCATCACGGAAGCGATGGAGGCACTCGAAACGTAGTACTCGTTGGCGACACGATCATTTACCTTGGCCGAAACGGGGATTTGGCGGCCACTAGGTTACCCCAATTTCCTCTTTGACTATAATAGAATGAATCGTTTACGTTCACTCTTCCTATTAAGTTTCTTATCAACTAATATTGCCGAATCTCGCCGTAGGCTGGTCGAATTGAACGCGAAACGCATTCCCACTGAAACCATAGATCTTCCAGACACGTCGAGCAGTTTTCCTTGTTGGATCGTGGATCAAGTGTCTATTCAAGGACTCGTTGGGAACGAGGAACAGGTAGATCGGTCGAGTGAAACGTGGATAGAGAGCATAATTCGCGAACGGAACGACGCGGAAGAGAAGCGAATCCTTTCGACGCGGCTCGCGATCATCGATGATTTCAACGGACTGAGACGTCGGGTGAGTAACGATCAGGGCCGTTCCTGGGTATTAATTTAATTATTATTTAATTAAAAATTTGATATGCAGTCTTTACTTTTATATCTACAAGTATATATACATAGTTTTTTAACAATTGTCATTCGAAAACAATGCTTCTCCATTTTTATTTTCATAAAATGAAACAACGTCCTGGAAAAATAAATGGTATTGTTGCGTGGACGCGGCATAACTCCCATCGTACTTATCTTGACACGTCTTTTCTGTTCTACCTTCTGTTTACGAAGTCTCTCGCTTTAACATTATACAATACGTGCTACCTATCGGGTAACACGTAACAGTATTATTTAAAATTAATCTTTTATTCCACATATAAGTACAAAACTTAACGCATAATGTTTCTAATAAACATGTTATCGGGAATCGCGTATTCACGGGCACAGGTAAAGGCGCTGCTCGATTCAAACGAAACCGAATCACCGATCGCCAAGCTACCGATCCACGCGTTCGATCTCGATCAGGCGGCTCGAGAACGCAAGTTGGCAGCCGGCAGATCGGCGGAGGAACAGTTACGGGAGATCGCCGACCAGCGGATCACTAGTAACAATCGGGCGATTTGTTATTTGCGTGAACGATTCCTCAAACCACTGATCAGTCCACCGAGAAACATCGTGTCCGTTTGCAGCGGCGAAACAAAGGTTACCAACTACCCTCTGGTCGGGGTAACACAGCGGGACGCAGATCTACGATCTTGGTGTCGATTCACCGAGCAAACGAGAGACATGGTATCTAGGTAAATTGAACACGGAGAAGGAAATGACCGAGGCTTGGGCTTCGTGCAAAAAATGAATTTACGAGGGTGTGAAGCATTTCTCCTTACAAGATTATTGTTCTGGCGAGGACAATAATCGAGCGGATTCTGTATCGGTTTTCAGGTTGGAAGCGATGCATTTTGAACCATTCGACGCGAAGACACCGCGAAATCCATTCTACTCCTGTCTCGGATACGTAGAAGTACTCGAAGCTAATATCCTCGCGGACGGCCGGGAACGCGTTGCCAAGGTGAATCGAGATGATCGCGCGAAATCGTCGACTTCGATCCAGACCTGACCAAGACTAACCGGACCAACCGGATCTAACCCGTTGATTATGTTCCCGCAGATGCGATTCAACGAACGATTCGAGGAGCTACGAGCCGCGAAAGAGAGTGAGACGAAGACGGCAATCGAGCACGCTAACCAGACACGACGTTGCGCTGGGGAACTGATGAAAATGTACGGCGTGGACGCGAGCACGGAGCTATTGGACGCTTCACTGTGGCGTAGAAAAGATACAATGATCACCGACGAGAGCTTTGAGGAGGACCTGCCAGATTCTCTGCACGAGGAGGAAGAAGAGGCTGTCGAGAACGATCACTCGTTTCGTCGGAGGGCACTCGAACAGATGATGGACGGTGTCCTCGAAGTTGGGTAATTTTCAGCGAATGGTACAGCCTTGGATATGTAGCTGACAGAACCGTGAGAGGAAATTTTTTATTTCAAACAAAAGAAAACTTTCCTCTGCTAAAATCGAGGGTTTCGAGTGACCGTGTCCTTAGACAAAAGGGCAATAAAACATCTGCGTTGCAGACCTACAAGTCTGCTTAATTAATTTTTACTTGCCGAGGAAAAAGTTTTTCCTGGGGAATCTGGCCACCATCTTCAGTCACTATCAAACCTTCCAGGTTGAAGGAGAAGGCGATGAGAAGCGTCCCGTTGCCGCCGGTCTGTCTGGCCCATAAAGATCCGTCACGTTATTCGCGAGAGGACATCGAGACGATCGAAGCGTACGAGAGAAGACTACGGGCGTCGCGGGACGACGATCGACTCGCGTACAGATCCACGCTGGAAGCAACGATCGAGCGTGCAAAAGGTTCGCCATTATTTCTCCTAGTCGATAAAAACGCAAAAAAGAAAAGTAATCTCAATCCCATTTTCGGTTCCAGAGGAATTTTGGTGTCGCGCAAAAACGTTCGACGACCAGTTGGACGATCTCGCCGCAGAAAAGATTTGTGTCGAACGATCGGTATTGCTGGAACGATTGTCCGAGTCGCGAACGATCCTCCAGCATCGGCAAATCGCTCGGAATAGACGCAAAATCCGGCGAATAATCGAGCTGGAACTGACACCAGCGGTGACAAGGTCGCGGAATCTCGTTGCGGAGTGTGAACTCTTCGAGGCAGGTGTGATCGAGCTTCGAAATCGGTACGAAGCTTTACGAAAGCGGGACAAATTACTCGAGGAAAAGTATCGAGCGGATTTACGCGACTCGAAGCAGCAGCCGATAGCGGAACAGCTGTTGCGGCACTATCGCAAGAGGCCGAGGACGGTAACGGCTTGCTGCGGCACGTCGCTCGCCTTTCTCGGCGAACTCGCCGACTGTGTACTCGAGCAACGGGGTTCCGAGCTTTTGCCACGCGATTGGGTCGATTATTTGAGGGCCATGAACAATCTGGACGCGATCCCAGACAGTTTACCCTCTCGTATGGAGGCTGAGGATTGGCGTTCGGTGTGCGTGCAAAGACGACTGAAAATCGAGGCGGAGATCAAGGTAGGATAGATGTCCCAATTACTGCCACCTTAAAGTTATAACGTAACTTTATACAATAATTTTAGGTGTTTTTTAACCTAAAAATCGTGCCAGTTTGAAGCATCATATTATTTAACATCTCCTTCGCTTAAAAAAATAGTTTTATATACTAAATATAAAGAATTAATACTGAATCAACACATATTTTCATTTTTTTCTCTTGTATTCTAATAGAAGTAACCCGTAAATAAATAAATAAATAATTTAACGCTATTCGACGTGTGGGTTCGAGGAGCCCCCTCCCCCTTGGGTATCGTAGGGTAAATTGTCCAGTGACCATTTCTCCAAAGGAAGTAAGGAATTCTGCGCAGGCGAGAATCTGCGCAATCGAACTGGCCGAAGCGGAACAGAGTCTAGCGTTCCATCGGAAGATGTGCTCGATCGGTCGAGCGTCGGTGAACCGTTCCAAGGAGACGATGCAACAACTCGACGAGTCTCTGACCGATCTGATCGCCGATCAGGAAGTTCATTTGCTCCTCAAGACGGAACAGTTACGGGAACAGCCCCGTGGCAACGTCACTTCCGACTGGGCTGAAACTGTTTTGATTCCGCGGCGTGAATTAATTGATACAGCCGAGGCGATCGCTGCGGCTGGTCGACGAAAAATGTTCGAGCTTCGCCGTTCAATAAACCTCGAAAGGACCGTGTCTCGAGAAGAATATCGACGGGCGTGTCTCGAACGCACTATGGAAGATCTGCAGACGCGTTTGAAGGATCTAATGGCCGCCAAGGTTGCACGATATTTTGTCAAGCTTGTCCGCAAGGCCGTTCCTGGCGGGGTACAGAAGGTGCCCTCGCACCTGGGCGGCCGCATATAGTTTATTACATGTAAAACTTCGACTAGTAAGAATAATAATCATAAGTTTTCTAATGATTATGCAAATTTTAGTCGAACAGAATTTAATCAAATTAATTATACATGTAATGTTTGTAACAGTACTCGTATACGAGAAGGAACTATCTTTATGGACAGCCCAAAATAGCATATGATAGTACTATATTTAGTGGATTAAATTCATGGATGGCCAACAACTCAGGAACGGCCCTGCTTATCGGAATACGGTTCTCCAAATAATTATCGTTTCTTCTTGTTTCGATTCGTTTGTGCAGGCAACGAAAATTGCGCGAGAGTGTGGGTATCGTTGCGCGCAGGGAACAGCGTCCAATGAGATGATCGAAATCGTGGAAAGGAACTTCCGGTTGCGACAAACGGTAAGCGAATCGGTAAAGGGCACAACGGCGATCTGGCGAGAAACGTAGAAACGGAATCGTGATTTTGACTATTTTTTATTATTATTATTAGTATTATTATTATTTTCGATTTTGGAACTCGAGGAAACTGTGAAGAAGGAAAGAGTAAAATCAATGCAGATCGCGAACGAGGCACGGGCCTGGCGAAGGAAGAATTCGCATTTGAGTCGAAGAATCGAGGAGACAAAGACTGAAAAGGCTCGATTGATTGCCGCGATTCGTGAACCTTTTCGCGTGAAGGCCGTAGCGTTTCGCAGGAACAAGATGCGAGCGATCACGAGGAAAGCGAATCTCGCGCGAGCGGTCCGCGAGAATTTTAACGAACTGATGACTCTCGAGAGTCGACTGGAGATTTCCAAGCTCCGAACGTACCCTACTTTGAGGCTGAAAGTTTAACCCTTGTGTAGGCAACCGGGTACCCAGGTACCCATTTCTAAATTTGGTTTCAGAATTTTTTATTTTCTTGTCTAAAACAGCACTTGATATATTAGAGGAAGGGAAAACTGAGAGTTTTGAAAAAAAATTAACGTTCGATTTAACATTTATTTTAGTACGTGAAATCAATTTACCAAGTGTTAGGAGGCCCTTCTACGCCACTTTTTTCCCTTGTGGAAGCCGAGTTTCCTCATGTGTGTACATGGAAAAACCATCGAGGTAATGAAGGGTTCGTAGGTGACAACCGCGACAATAATCGTTGTTGTTCGATTACGACGCGCCTATCAATGGGGGAATTTCCCCTTATCATCTCACCGCGCAATCTAGTATGTACGTTGGATTTCCCGTGACACGAACACTCGCGATGATATCGGTAGGCGTCCCGAGGGTAGAGGTCAGTCATCAGTGCCGTTATCGAAGCTTGTTTTCGTCGACTCGTAAAAGATTCTGCCAGGCGCATCACTTCGCCTCTTCTCTCGACCTTGACACACGGGGAATCACAGACGAAATCGTTTGTAGTCATGTCGCATACCCGCGTCTTCTCGGCTCGACCAATCGTAAAACGATCTGCATTCCCCGATCCACGGGCTTGTAAAACGAAAGTTAAAAATAGGCGTTTCGCAAAAAAAAAAACAAGGAAAAGGAGGAATAAGCACGCAGCGACGTGTGACGCAGTCCGAAGGTGCCATCTGAAGGAACGGTGCGCAGCGAAAGAAGGAAAAGAGACGATAATCGTGCGATAAGGTCAATTCAATCTTCTCCTTGAGAAACATTTCGCTCTTTCTCTCTCTTTATGTCTCTCGTTTCTCCCTCCAGGTGGGCGAGGCGAGATGCGACGGAAACGAGTCGCGGCTAGATGTATATAAAGAGAACGCAGCTGGTAACCGGCGTTAATGTTTATATTCGCAAGGCAACACGCACCTAGCGAGTCTCGTTCACGATCGATTTTCTGTTTGGTACACGTACTCGGATCAATTTGACGCGTAGTTTCGTGTTGTTCCGGGATCTCCGAACTTGAAGCCATGAGGTCCGCGATCAGCGGCTCGTTCGCCGCTCTGTTGGCCATATTCCTCTTGGTTGAGTCCGTCGTCGCCGGGGTGGAGGTCCACGATCCTCCATCCAACAAAGTTTGTAAGTATAGGCACCAACGAGGTATAAGAATAGACCCTTCATCCAATGTATTTCTTCCAGAGTTGGGTAGAATTTTATTCAAATAATACATAGCGAAAAACAGTCTGAGATCGTTATATCGATTATTAAATAGTGAATAAGATTAAGAAATTGTTTGTCAATGGTCTACTGATTCAAGGAGATACATCATTTTATTGTAAAAACTGGAATTTTCACATTTGATCAATGAGAAACGACGAATACTTTGCTGCATCTTTTATTTGTTATTCGAAATTTTTTATCTAGATAAGGAATTTGCCTCTCTCTGATTTCTTCGACCCACTTCCCGGAGGAAAAAAATTACATTGTATATTAATATAATTTCTTTTCCACGATCAGTCACGATTTGCGTTCCGGACGTTTATTGGCAAGAATGCGCGGATATGATAAAGGATTCGGCTCTCAAGGGTATACCGGTGACGTGCGTTTCCGGTCGCGATCGTTTCGAGTGTATCGAAAAGGTCGGAAAGAAGGAAGCTGATGTGGTAGCCGTCGATCCAGAGGATATGTATCTGGCGACGAAGAACAAAGAGCTGGCCGCGAAGGCCGGTTACAGCATCGTCGAACAGGTGTGAGAATCTCGTCGCGTCTCTGTCGTACTCATCAGTGATGGTGTATAAAATCACTACTAACAATGATTTATCACAGTGATCGCAGAATCACGATCATGGTCGTGATTTAATTTAATTTACATTCGTGTTCGTGATTGCCCAGATAGCACATGACGCCTTGAAGAAGTCGATTTTACGACTATTTTAGGTCTAAGCCGTCTTCAAGGCGTCATGTGCTATCACGGTGTTTTATCTTCAGTGAATTTTCTCACTTTGATTTTAATTCTGGATCTTTAAAGAAACACATATTTAATATGATTTGAAAATGAATTACCGGTAAAATACCGGTATTTTTTCGGTTCCTATAAGGGTAGGGCTTATACATATAGGGTTATATAGGGTGAAGGTACAACCGAAAACACCAGATTTTAAGTTTCGGTAGATGTCCCTGCTTACAAGTACAGTAAATCCTCGATGAGTGTTCGAAGGCTCCTCAGTACTGAACATTGAATATTTCATAAACTAATAGCCGTATGTAGCTGAAACAAATATTATTCAACATTATTATTTCAAAATTCCAAGCTCTATCATTGTGTCAAACCTCATTAAAAAGGTCAACGTTACACCTAGGGACCTCTCCTTCTCAGTGAGGAGCCTTCAAACACTTGTCGAGGATTTACTGTAGCAGTTTACGTCATCTCTACTCACCATTAACGATTCTTTATGTACGAATCAGGTGAGGACGAAGGAGGAACCGGATGCCACCTATCGATACGAAGCTGTGGCAGTGATCCACAAGGACCTGGACATAAACAACGTGCAGGGATTGCGTGGTCTCAAGTCCTGCCACACTGGTGTCGGTCGGAATGTCGGCTACAAAATACCGATCACCAAGCTCACAGCAATGGGAATACTGAGCAATCTTCACGATCCCCAATACTCGGCGCGCGAGAACGAGCTGCGCGCGTTGAGCTCCCTATTCTCGAAAGGCTGCCTGGTCGGCACCTGGTCACCGGATCCGGCGATCAACCGACGTCTTAGTAAGCACTCGACTCTAACAAGGGAACATATCGAATTGACAATCACCGAATTTGATGCAACTGTGAAATTGTAGTTGCCATAAAAATATTTGACACTTTTTTTTTAGCTGTTCTTATCATTATAAACGTATTGTTTAAAAAAATTGACTATTCTGGAAATTTAATCATATAGCTAGATTCCTTATGAAAAAACACACAATATTGCAATTTATACCGTTTTTCTATCTAATTGTTTCCGAGATATTCGACAGAATATAGTTCACACATTTTTAAGAGAACTATAATCTGACAGAGTTGCATCAAAATTAGCGATTGTCAATTTGGTATGTTACCTTGTAAATCTTTGCTATCTGTATAGACCGATGAAGATTAAGAGGATAACAGATCTATATTTATCTTTTGGTACACATATACCTCTAAGGCCCCAACAACCACCACGCGTAAAATATAATACACTAACCATCCCTGGGCGTTTGACCTGCCACTAAAATATTTAACACTAGAACTACCAAAGCAATCAAACCGACTGGTTAGTATATTCTTATATTAACGATTCAAATGTTACAACAACATCATTCTCAAACTTTTCACAACTTTGATTGTAATGTGAAACTGAAGAAATAGTTAATTTATCGTAGATATACGTTTATCATCGGTAGTTCTAGTGTTAAAGGCATAAAGGACCCAAACTGTTTTTACGAAGTCACTACAACTCGGGAAGGCACTATAAACATACGATGGAATTGTTTTCCATTTCTCAAAATTTTACTCAACTTCCCCTCTTTCCACGTATCCCCTCCAGAGGAAACGTACTCGAACATGTGCGCCCTTTGCGAGAAACCGGATGTCTGCGACTATCCGGATATATACTCGGGCTACGAGGGCGCGCTGAGGTGTCTCGCCCATAATGGCGGCCAGGTCGCCTGGACCAAGGTGATTTACGTGAAACGATTCTTCGGGCTGCCGGTCGGCGTGACACCTGCTGTTCCCACCGCGGAGAATCCCGCCGATTTCCGATACTTCTGCCCGGACGGCAGCAAAGTGCCGATCGACGCTACCACGAAACCGTGCACCTGGGCGGCTAGACCTTGGCAAGGTTACATGACCAACAACATCGCGACCAACACCGGCGACGTTCAAGCGTTACAAAAGGTATATATAATCACTAGGATTCTCGTCTTTTCGCTCCTTCACTCACAATTACGCGAACACGCGACTGTAGGAATTGACCGATCTTGGTAAACTCGGGGAAGAGGAGATGGCGGATTGGTGGAAAGACATCATGTTGTTGGACAAGAAAACATTGGCCGTTCCGGCACCGGTCGTATCACCGAAGGACCATCTGAAGAACGCAAAGTACTTGGACGTGATCGAGAGAAATTCCGGAGCGGTTGGCAAGCTGGCACGATGGTGCGTCTGGAGCGAACCCGCGCTCGACAAGTGCCGTGCTCTCTGTCGTGCCGCGTTCTCGAGGTAATAACCAACATCACGTATCTCGGTTCATTTGTCTTGACTCCATCGACCGACAAAAACGGCAACTTTATCTACATTGTATCTTGTTTCTCCGCTCAGGGACGTTCGGCCAAAGTTGGAGTGCGGGCTCGAAAAGACACAGGACGCGTGCTTGAATGCTCTCAAAGAGGATAGGACCGATCTGGTTGTGCTCGAAGGTGGCTCGGTGCTGCGAGCGATCAGAGAATTCAACGCGTCGCCGATTATCGCAGAAACATACGGGCCTGGTGCGACGAAGCTCGGCGAGAGACCAGCGGTCGCAGTGATCAAGAAATCCTCTTCGATCAATGGACTTGGTGAGTGGCCAGACCAGTCGGATTCGTTCTTGGATCAGTCCTGTTCACGATTAATTCCATGTGAGGGTGTCCGTTTTAGCCGGTTTGCGGGGCAAACGGTCCTGTCACAGCGGATACAAGGGGGACTTCGCCGGCTGGACGGCACCAGTGCACGTGTTGAAGGAGAAGGGCTTGATAAGCTCCGAGGACGAGATGGCCGAGTTCTTCGGAGGATCTTGCGCACCAGGCGCGCCAGTTGACTCCAAACTATGCCAGCAATGCGTCGGTAGCGCCGCGGCGAACGACGATCGTATTCGGGAGGCTACCAAGTGTAAACCTACCGAGGCGGAAGCTTTCCGAGGCGGAGCAGGAGCTCTTGCGTGAGTCGAAAAACTCGTGTTCGCAACGATTCGATCGAAATTTGAAAATATTGATCGCGATTCTTTTCAGATGCTTGACGGCTGACAAAGGAGACGTGGCATTCTTGCCATTGACCGCGCTGTCGAGCCTCGGTGAGTACGATGCGTTCGCGATTCGCCGAAAATTGTCCTGAGACACTCCGTGACGCGGTGCCCGCTTTCTTCCAGACGAAAAAGAGAAAGAATCTTCGACGAACGTCCGTCGAGCCGGGGAAGCCAAGAGCACGGACTATGTGCTTCTCTGCCCGGACGGCGGTCAGGCGCCCGTCGAGGAATGGCAACGATGCAATTTGGGAGTGGAACCACCCCGCGTGGTCGTCAGTTCCGCTAGTAAAAGTGTTAACGCTCTGGAAGAACTGACCCACGGCACGCTCGCAGCCAGCTCGTTGTACTCGAAACGACCGGATCTGCTGCATCTGTTCGGCACTTGGGGCGGCCTGTCGAACTCTCTCTTCAGGGTATGTACACATACCTATAAAGTCGAGATCTTGTTCGAACGAAACGTGAATCGTCCTCTGAAATGTATCCAATTTCAGGACGACGCGAAGGGACTGACGTCGGTGGACAAGTCCTGGGATAAGTGGAACGAATGGCAGGAAACGCAGCGAAACTACGCGGCGGTTTAAAGTTAAATGACGGACACAGCGATGCGCGAAACGTCGAAAGAGCGCAACCTCGAGCTTTGTTTGTGCATAGGTAAAATAAAACTGCACCGCAAACGTAACGTAACCAGTTGCCTTTATTTCTACAGTATCGCTACCCACTAAGCACCGTGAGCAATATCTTGAATATTATAGAATGAAACATACCCGACGGATCACGACGCGCGATTCTTTAGGGATCGAAGGTTTCGATCTGCGATAACTCGGTGGCCCGCTTGAAAAATTGTTCCGATATCCGACCGTATCTACTGCGACTGTACTTTTTATACACCGCGTCGAAACCGTTGTACTTTTTGCCGGATTTCAAAATGGAACGGAGCATCCTGACCCGACACCGGTCGATTTCTTCATCCTGGAACCTGTTGCGCCGTGCAACGCCGTCAACGGGGATAAACATGTTATATTCACCTCGGAAGGTAAAAGCGATTACGACACGGAAAACGAAACGAAACACTGACCTGTCGTTCGAGGAATTCCCGGCGGCGTAAAGCAGACCTCTCCAAAAAAGCCACCGTGGAATATCGTCCAAAACGAGACCAAGAACCAGCTCGGCCGCCGTTACGGCGATCAATGCCGGCGACATGTGACAAAACTGTTTGTCCAGCAGCGTGATGTCGATCTGGAAAACGTGTTCGAGATTAGGTAACGCTTCGAATTCCCGTTCCGGTAATGGCGAAACGATTGGGTAGAGTGTAAAGAGAAGAGAGAGCCGTGTTTACCACGTAACCGCCCGCATGGCAGAGAAACGCGAACGTTTTCTCGGGAACATCGACGCGATAGTAGTTGATCAGATGGTACCTATACAAAGAGTACGCATCGGGGAAAACGACGTTAAAGTTCAGAGCTCGTAGAATTTTACTCTCGTAATCTATCAGTAGATCCTCCCGTCCAGCGTAGAGATCCTTGGCGAGCGCTATCATCTTCGTGGCCTGCAAATGAGAATAAAACGGAGTGAACCACGCGATGTGTAATCCGAAAAACGACAGTTGCGCGATCGTTATAACTAGAATGCGGATTTTTATGCAAAATGACATTTTTTGAAGTAATTTTTTAAGACAACAGCAAAGGTAAGAATTTCTTTCTTTGAAATATCTTATTGTGTTCAGAATAAAGTAGAAAACACTTTTTTCCCTATTGCATTACACAAAGCCCTATTGGATATAAATGCATAAAATCCGCAGTCTAGTTATAACTGCTCGCTTGCTCACCGTAGGTATTTTGTTCAGTGTTTCTTGCCTTTTCAGCGCAATCCACAGGCTCGCCAGCGCCGTCAGCTGAATATACTTTGTCTCCGCTCGGATTTTGTCCATCGCAGCGTCGAACAACTTCACTGCTTGATAAATGATGCAAGAAGGATAGCAGCAGTGCGTCTACGGGCAATCGCGTCGATTAACGATTCATCGTCATTAGTCATTAATGGGCTGCGGATTTTTATGCAAAATAACATTTTCTAAAATAATTTATGAAGACAGGCGCAAATATAGAAATTTATTTTTTCTCTTAAGTATCTTATTGGGTTCAGACTAAAATAGAAAACTCATTGAATCCGATGAAAGTTTTGTCTTTTATTCTATTTCACAGAGTTCTATAGGCTACAAATGCATAAAATCCGCAGTCTAGTCATTAACAATCGATCTGACCAACGAATTCTTGTGTCTAGCTTACCCCCATACTGATCAGGAACATTACGACGAGCTTTCTCTGTTCGGTGTTCATGTACACCCTCAGAAAGTTCGCCGACAGCCGAGGGGCTCGTTCCTCCCTTTCCCGCTCGACGCCAGGCATTTCGTTGTGATACTCCGCATGGCAGAGCAACTCGCTGGGAAACGCGTGTACCTTATTCGATGATCTGACAGCTGGTTCCTTGTTGACTAAGTAGGTATTCGCGGTCACGCACTCCGGTCGGGGAACTATCGACTTGAATAGTCCGTCGTTCAAACGGTGACATGATTTCGCAAAACACTTACTAAGCTTACCTTCAAAGGAACGACTGGCGATTCCGTTAAATCCGGTAACACGGCATTGTTCAGCGTGAGCCTCGTGCTGTTGGCTCGCGATTGGGTCTCTCTGTCCACCGGTGATCCCAACTGGATCGAATCATGCTTGTTCACGTTATCCCTTGCATCCCTAACCGCAACAGAGCAAACAGACGATTCGAGGATACCTAAACTCGTTCTATTCTCGCAAAACTCACCTATTTCTTCTGATATTGGCATCACTGAATTTCGTTCGCGCTTGAGGGAGCGGTGTTCCAGACCTTAACAGGCAATTCGCTCGCGCAACGGTCGGCACAGGTTTAAACGACACTCGCGTGTTCTGTGGTTTCTGCTGTGACACGATTCTAACGTCGGTCGTGCTCGACGATCGGAACTTTGACTTGTCCACGGTACAGGAAGTTGATCTGCAAACAACAATTGTTTACCAACGACAAACACATATTTCAAAAATAACAGAGATGGCACGCGCTTACCTGACTCGACGAGGAATCTTCGATGCCAAATGCCTTCCATCTTTCTGGATGTCGTCGTTCAACGCCCGTTTATTCAGTAATCTGTGTGTCCCCGGAACATCCAAGATGGGCTGAAGGCCAACGACCGTATTACGCGTCGAGAAACATTCTCAGCGCTCGAATGTATACCTAATGCCTCGACGAGCTATAGGGACTTCGTAAAAATAGCAGGGGTTCGGATCTTTCACGCCTTTAAGGGTTTCGGTGGCAAGTTCAGCGACCAGGGACGGCCAACTTTTTTAAAGAAGTAGCAAATGACACACTTATCCGCTTGTAGACTGACGTGCAAATTCAGCTTCCACTAGGGGAAGAAAGTATCGTAAGATAAAGATCTCCTACCACTTCGTAAATTTATTTCAAGTACTGAAATAAATATTAAATCGAATGTTAATTTGGCATAAATTTCAGTAATTCCCGATACCAAGTGGTAGGACGCCCTTCGCTAAATAAATTCATCAAGCAGTAGGAGGTCCTTATCCTTACACGGCTTTTTCCCCTAGCGGAAGTCGAGTTTGCTCGCGAGGGTATGTCATTTCCGGTTTCGCCAGAAATGGCAGCTATTGTTCCGATCACTCGCCGCAGGATCAATAGTACGGAAGAAAAGTCGTCGCGCGTACCTGTTTACGTCCGATTTCAATTCTGGAAGTTTTCGAGGGGACGACGAGATTCTCAGAATTCACCGGATCCAAGCTCGAACCGCAGCACAGTCGCCGTTGCAATCGTGGCCTCGATTCTTCCTGTGATGCTGCACCATGTCTCGGCGGGTCGTTGTTCTCGTCGCAGTGAACGTGAAACAGCGTCTTCTTCGCGATGCTCTCGCATGCTCGCGCGTTCGCCTCTCCGAGCGGTCTTTTTCGATCGTCGCCCGTGAACAAAGCAGCGCGTTTTCGTGGAACGGTTTTATTCGGCTTTTCACCGGTCGCGGACGCGGTCGTTCGCACGAAAATACGCTCGTTTTCCTTCCCGCTCGGCAACGGAAGGTTCTTCGACGATGCCGGGGCTTTCGCGGAGGCTAATTTCCGCCGCACGATCGACATCGTGCACGCAAGTAACCACCAACAATCCGAATTACTGTTCGTTCGTTCGATCGACTTGTGTTTTTAGTTCCCGTTCGGGACGAGGCAATCTGCAGCTTCGTTGCGACGATTGCCTCGTCCGGACACACGCGAAACACTGTTTCGTTTGTTTACGTTCGAACGGTTCGAACGACGGAACGTCGACCGTTAAAGTTCGGGCCGAAAGATCGTCGAAAGGCGACGGATCGCTTGCGGTTCGCCGTCGCTCCGACAGAGGCGCGACGGATATCTTCCGAGATCGTCGGGGGGGCTTCGTTGCCGCGCTTTCGATGGATTAGCCTCTCGACGAAGAGTCCCAGACAGGCTAGGAAGAACGTGAAAAGCAGGAACACCAGCAACGGCGCCGCGTCCTCGAGCTCGACTGATGACCAGCCGGATTTCGACTGAAATAGAAATTGTCGACGGTTCCGATCATACGTTGAACAAAATTAAAACAACGATTACCTTCTTTGAGTTTGTCGCCCACTCCGTCTTGAGCAACCTCTGGAGGATCCCGCTGTCACGCAGCAACAGGATACTGAAACAGCGATATAAGAGCGAAATGAGGTAAGGGGAATGATTGAGCACGACTTTCGACTCACTTGGTGTCGATGATGCCTCGGTAAGGACTCTGGGCCGGTACCGCCATTGCTATGGTTGCCTGGACCATCGGATCGAGGGGCTCCAACGCGCAGTCGACCCTACCTTGCAGCACCGACGCCATATTGTCCAGCGTCATGAACGCGTACTTGCTCTTTCGACAAACGCTTCGCAATCCGTCAAGATAATTGAACGGAAGCTCGGTCTCGCCAGTCAACAACTCGTCGAACATAACGGTGAGCACACGGTCACTGGTATTCTGCCGAGAAACGAATCGTAATGCAATGGTGTTTTATTTTTAGTTTAATTTATATACGGGTATTCACCCATGTTTACGAGGCGATAAAATGCCGAATGTTACATATATATATATAGTGTTTCGAAGGCTAAAAATGGCGTCGGGGAAGGGCCTCCTACAACTTGGTATCGGGAATTACTGAAACTTACGCCAAATTAACATTCGTTTTAACATTTATTTCATTACTTGAAATAAATTTATCAAGTGGTACAAGGCCACCGCCTTTTCCCCCAGTGGAAGCTGAGTTTACACGTTGATATACATTGAAATTTGGCATTTCAAGTAACAGGAAGCTATTCAGTTTTACTATTTACGATTTTATACAAAAAGGTCAAATCATTTATAGTTCGGTGTTCTTCAAGGGTCCTAATGTTAAATCTGAACGAAGCGGATCTGAAAATCGTTCACCTACCTGAAAGAAGCTATAGTCGGCCGAATCTTTAACCACGGCGAACCGATAGCTACCGTCCGCCAGCATACCCTCCATCGTGGTGAACGGCATCGCGAACGTTTTAACGGCGAGGTAGCTGATCAGGGCGGCCGAGTATGCCGCCAACACCACCACGGCTGTCATATGAACGCTCAGGTGCACCAGTCGTATCGGATCCAACGACGACAATTCCATGCCTGAGGGATTTCTCGACTCTCAGAGAATTCTCATTGCTCTTTCGACCGTTGAATAGGACGGAATCGGGAACTGTACGAACCTTGGCTGCAGAACGCCCCGAAAATGCCGAACACCACCTCAGAAAATGTGAATGACGGTGTCTGTGAGTCTCTCGAAGACGCTAACCATCCGGTTACGTTGAAGCACGCGTCGATCGACGCTATCGCGAGGCTCGCGATGACGATCGTTAACGCAATCGCGTTCCATGTGCTGGGGGCGAATGGTGCCAAATAGGCGTTCCACTTGACTGCCGTCGTGTCCGGCCTCTTGATGTACACGCGGCATCTGGGAGGAAAATTTTAGCTCGTCAATCAAAACTTTTCAAGCACGTACCCTCGCGAGCAAACTCAGGAAAAAAGTGACGTAGAGGAAGGACTTCCTGCGATTTGGTTTCGGGAATTATTGAAATGTATAACAAAATTAACATTCGATTTAACATTTATTTCTATATTTTTATATGTAAATGGGAGTCCCAATTTAGTACTAAAATTTGTTGTATCCTGAGGTCTTCCTACCGCTTGATAAAATTATTTCTAATACTGAAGTAAATGTTAAACCAAATGTTAATTTGGCATAAATTTCAGTAACTCCGGAATCATGTGGTAGGTACTGTAGTACTTTTTACGAATTCTTACTTGGTCGAGTAGACGGGTGTAGTGAATCTTACAGCGTCCAATCTATCGGACGTCATCATCAACTCGGTGGCCGCGAGATCCGCCTCGTTTTCCACCAGCATCCTCATGGAACCCGTCCACGTGCCATTCGATAGACGCACGCCCCATGATCTGACCTCGCTGTAGCTAAACCTAAAATCATCGTCATCGAACAGATCGTCGTGGTTCTTCACCTGTCGCGCAGCAAACAATTTCACGGCCGTGGGACAACATTTTGGTTATTATACTAATATAGTCGAGTAAAAAGATGCATCCGAATATGCATAATTAGTTACTATAGTAATTATTGAGTGGTGGGGGAATCCTACTCGACCAGAAAAATCCAACGGAATGGATTTGCTCGACTAAATTTTTTCATTAAACCAATCGAATAAATTTTAGTGTCCGCACACGGTAACTTACTAAATTACCGGACTTAAACCGGTATGATTTTGATATCGGTATTAGCCATCAAACCTATACCGAAACCGATATATTACCGAAAACTGAAATAAGGGTAGGGCTTATATAGGGCGAAGGTTCAACCGAAAATACCGGTATAATACCGGTATTTTACGTTTCGATAGAAGTCCGTGGTCTGAACCAGGCATTAGTGTTTTGCTCGATCCGACTACGATCGTCCATTTTTTTTTTTCAAGACGACACGACGGCCACGAAGAACGCGCGCAACGATTCACGGTGACGGATCTGCCGTCACCGTGATCTTGTCATCGAGATCCAAACGCAATATGCTACGCGGGTTAGGATCCAGAACTCGTTCGGCGTACATCCGGTGCAGAGACGACGCGACGCGTCGTAGTTTCTATTACGAGAGACGACGACGAAGCGGCGACGGGCGGAAAAGAGACGTTTTTGAGGAGAGATCGGCCGCCCGGGAGGACGAGTACTTCCGAAGGGAGACGGAGAAACAGCTGAAAGAAATTCGGCGACGTGGCGTCAAAAGGAGTGCCGAAACAGAACCGGAAATCGAAGACGGGAAGAGGACGAAAAACGGCCGGGATGGATAAACGTATGTACAGAATGTTAATTTAAAGTCGAGCACCTAAATTATTAATTTAATTACATGAAAACGGAAAAGCCGATCCCAAGTTGACGTACGCCCCTGACGATGGTTGAGCAGAGTTTTTACAACTTAAGGGTATCAAATGACAGGATTAGGCTACCGAAACACATAAACTTTAGGGTCGGTCAGGTTTCTGGCTAACGCTATATCTTTGATTGCGATCGCCTTTCGCTCACTTACGTGCAGTTCATTCCTTCTCGTAGCAGCTGAATAACTTCGCCGAAGAAGCCAGCGATACCGACCGCCGTACGATTCGTCTTGTCCCGAAGAATCCGCGAGACCGGAGGATCCTGCAAACAAATCGAGCTCCGAAGGAATCTGACATAGGTGTACCATATTTCTAAGCAAGTAATCTTAGTAGTGTACCTAGCCCACAGGAAAGTCATAGTGTAGGTATGCATAAGTGTGCACTTATTTATGATATATGTGTCTCACTTGAATAGAAACAACTCTGATGTTGCGCCCGTAAAGATCGTGCCTGCGTTGGTAGAGTCCCAGTCGTGGCCCCCTGAACCCTTGGTTCTCATCCCACTCGCCGAATTTCATCCACCTAAGATCCTCCTCTCTGCCTATTCGATAGACGTCCCTGATCACTTCGCCATTGCTCTCGTTGTTCTCCGGCTGAGCGACCATCAGAACGCAATCGAACGGTACGTGAACCTTCGACAGAAAGTCCTCGAATCTGGTGGTGTTTCGCAAAAACAGCAACCACGTGGGATATGCCATCGCGATCCACTCGGAGACCTGTTGGATTTCAACGGATCATCGGCTGTACTCTCGGATATTTACCCCTTGTGCAGGCAACCAGGTACACATTTCTAAATTTCCCTTCACTATTTTTTATGTTCTTGTATAAGACAGGACTTGGTATCTTATAGAAAGGGAAAAATAAGAGTTTCGGAAAAGTATGGAAAGTAAAATTATCTATGTTTATCTAATCTGTCAGACAGAGTTGGGCACAATTTTGGCACATTGGGCACACACAGACCCGGCACGCTCTACTTCGCCAACGGAATTTACCATACTGAATTGATCCTTGATGTCATCAAGATCGTTTAACAGAACGAACAATGGCCTCTTGATCGAATGGTAGCTTTTCCCGACCTGAAACGAGAATATTATCCCCGAGCAGTCGGTTAAACAGAAAAAATAACGCACCAACGAGCTCTACGAACGTACTCGGCTCTTGAACATTCGAAAATCCATGATTGCGGTTCGTATGCTAAGAGTTCCGCTGAAATACTTCTGCAGGGCCAACAGTCCGTCCATTTCCTGCAAACCTGAAAGCATTCTTGTTTGTGCAACACTATCGACGCTCATGGTTCCGTTTAGGTTCTCACAATCATGTCTCGAACTCGATCACTCTAAGGTAAATGTTCCAATTACTGCCAGTGTCCCTAATAGACTGCCACTTTATTTACTTTATTTAATAAAAATGTAACGTATGAAAAATTGCGCAAACTCGGTTCCTCTAGGGGAAAATGTGATGTAACGAAGAGACCTCCTTGGTCTGAGAGTTACTGACATTTATTGCCACATTAACATTCGGTTTAACATTTATTTCAGTATTTGAAATAATTTTATCAAGCGGTAGGAAGTCCTTAGGGTGCAACAAATTTTAGTACTAAATTGGTACTCCGATTTACATAACAAAACAGAATTTAAAGTATTTAAAAATTAATTTTGAACAATGAAAGTGCAATTTGAGCGTCAAATATTGTGACAGATGACATTCACTAGGGCTTCGTTAAAATTAAAATCTTTTATTTTCCGTAGATTTATGCTAGGCTTTAGGATATCCTTCGAAATATAAGTTTTAAAGTGGCAGTAATCGGGACATTACCCTGTAGCTGTTTCTCTCACCTTTCGTTTCAATCGGATTCGCCGAGTCGTGGAATAGTATGATGCAGGTGCTGTTGAAGTAGTCGTGCACTCCCCTGATCAGACTCTCGTAAACGTAGAGAGGCCTTATCAGAAAGGGTTCCCCGTCGGCCGTTTCTGATAACGTAACGCCTTTCGAGAAGCAAACTATCAGCAACAACCACGTTCGAAGTCTTCGTCGACACATATGAATTTGCGTCCGATCTATCCTTCGGCGGGGCATACGTCGTTTCAACGGGCGCGCGCCAGTTTGAAATCAAGGCTCGACTGATGATTCGGGGCCACAAAAGTAGCACATAAATCCGTTAATCGCGATTCGTGAAATCGCACGACAACGAAATTCAGATTAGATGAAATGGGCGGATAATGTATTTGTTTCGCAAATCCGATAGTTGCCTAGCCCGAATCGAAGCGTCAGAAGCACAACAAAACGTTGTACCGTGAACGTATCGATTTTCGGAGCGTTCGCGACCGAATCGTGACCACCGTCGTGATTTCCACGATACGGTTCCTCTTGCCATCCACCATTGACCGAGCGCCTCCTGATATTTGTCGTATCTCGACAAACATTGTTTCCCTCTGGCACGGTGTTTATCCTCTTTTTTTTTTTTTTCTACCGTGCTCGACTATCCCTGCTCACGATCACCGATCGATCGATCATTATCCCTTTTTGTTCGCAGATAATTCACGACATCGGCGCGCAACAACGTTTACTCTTCTCCGTTCGATAGAAGGCTCGTCGTTCGAATTCACCGAACAAACGAACCGGTGAATTTCTATTCTCCGTCGCGAGCTTCATGTCTACGTCGTTCAAGGACTATCGTTATCGTGTCGTCGTATCGGAAATTTTCCGGAAATTACGTGTCGCGTAATGTAAATTGCTACCTAAAACCTGAATCGAACGAAATGGAACGGAATAAAGCGAAATGAAACGAAACGGTGATGCAAACCACGACCTGAAACCTGAACCAAACGGAACAGAACGAAACGAAACGGTGATGTAAATCGCGACCTAAAACCTGAATCGAACGAAATGGAATGGAACGGAACAGAACGGTGAAGTAAATCGCAACCTAAAACCTGAATCGAACGAAATGGAACGGAACGGTGAAGTAAATCGCAACCTAAAACCGGAACCGAGCGAAATGGAACGGAACGGTGAAGTAAATCGCAACCTAAAACCTGAACCGAGCGAAATGGAACGGAACAGAACGTAACGAAATGAAACGAAACTGAACGGAATCGACGAGCCGACGAGTCGCGACGATTCCCAGTATCGTTCGACCGTAACGAGCATATCGCGAGACCCAACGATAAGGGCTAACGAGGATGCACGGTACCGGGAAAAATTTGGCACGAGATACGAGGGAAAACAACCGACGAGCAAGGTCTCGATCGATTCACGCGGCTATCTGGCGCTGAAATACGGTCGCGAATTAACATCGATAACAACCGCGGTGCGTTGTTTTTACCATTGTCGTGTTATGCGGTTCCACGACGCAAACCATTGTGGCCGACGTTCCTTCTTATCGGTTCACCGGGGAGGACGGGAAACGGTAAAATTGCCCCGATACCAATCTATCGGTCAAAGAAAACTAGGCGACCGTCGACGAAACTGCGTAAACGACGATCGGCGACTTGGAACGGGCGTTTGATCCCTTCGACACATCTCTATGAACCGCTGTTGGACGATCCTGGCGATCGCAGCAGTCCTTTACGGGCTCTGCGGATCGCCGACACGCTGCGACGCTGTTCCTACCGCATCCCCGACCGAAGGTACGTTATCCATATCAACCTCGAGCGGAAACTTCCTTCGTGGAGAAGCACATTTACCCAAATAGCTAATGGCATATACTCCGAATTCTTCGAACATATATCTTCATCAGCTGCGATATTTTCAGAGACTGGTACCACACTCGTGGTGTCAGACACCTCCAATGCCAATCACGTGAGCGAACAGCCAATCCAAAACAGGACACGCTCTGTCTCAAGGATCAAGAGAAACGACGCCCAAAACACGAATCTGACGACCCTCCCGCTAAATATCGCGTCTGGGATCCTTAAATTACCCAGAAAAGTGATCGGAGCGATGATTCAAGCGATTCGGCAACTTATTTCGAGAATCCAGGCAACATTCCGACGATGGAATCCGTTTTACTCATGGAGCGTGGACACGATCGACACCTCTGCAAGACTGCGGCGATCGGCGCCGGGACTGGTAGGGGAAATTCAGAGATTCGTGTTGGATCCCAGCGAAATCTCGATCGATCGGTTGCAAGAATGGTTCTCGACGATGAAGAACCAAATCGAGGGACACCCATCCGACAAGAAACGACGAAGCACGCTGACGTGGCTAGGGGGAGCGTTGTTGGGTGTGCCGAGAGCGATCGTGCATCCCGTGGAATTCTTACAGAAATCTGTGACCGATACGCAAAATTTAATTCTCGGGGGAATGGAAAACGTCGCGTCGGAAGGGTTGCGATTGTTATGGAGATTCTTATCGACCACGGGTATTCCGTGGTTGCACGATTTTCTCAACAGGCTCGAAAAAATGGACATTCTACCGCCTACGGCTGTCACCTTCATAGAACAATTTAACACCTTTTACGGGCTTCTACAGTTTCTCGGTTACGTCCAATAACACCGAGCACATTCTCTCCGATTGTCTTCAGAGTTTCGGATCTGAGCTTAACGTCAAGAACCCGTGGATGTATGTAATGTGGCCACGTCGTGCAAGCCTTTTCTATTCTGTTCTGACGATGACAAATCGCGAAACCTAGACGGTGTGCTTCCAATTCCAAATAAAAAAAAAAAAACTATCGTGCAACAACGAATCCGTGGTTCGTCTGAACTTCTTCTTTCGGTCGTTTGCCTCTTTTATCCAGCGAACGGAAATACGTCGAGTTTCGTTCAACGTGCGATAGTCATAATAATATAGATATTACAGACTCTTCTCAATTATCGTCTCATTGTTCTACACGATTATTGTCCAGGCGTTATCCCCACCATTACGGGAGGCTATAGAACTTACATTCAGACAATTTACAGGACAATAATCGAGAGGAGACTGTACTTTGTTGCCTCTCCGCTTTTGTTGCCGAGGCTCGGGTCGTCGAGCACAAGAAGAAGCGAAATGGAAAGTCGAAAGCAGAAAGATGTAAGAAACCGGAGAAATCGGGCCAGATTTTCGTGTCGTTCTCGGTTACGACTATGCGGGCTGCCTAGTCCGACGAGATTCCCCTCGGAGTTTGGTTGCAAAACAGATGTGGGCCGGTTCACTCGCAACCCTCGCGAGACTATCCACTTAATACCGATGTTCTCAAATTTCGAAACTAGGGTAAATGTCCCAATTACTGCCAGTGTCCCTAATACTGTCACGACATCTACCCTGCACCTTTCAAAACTAAGACTCTCCATGGAGCCCTCTCTGTCCATTGTGACTATTACTCCTCTTATAGGGTACAGAGAAAGAACCGAATTACGCGTAAAAAACTGCTCGCTTCGAGTCGCGGTTACGTAAACCGAAGGACGCTCGACGTTTGCGTCATCGAAGAGTTGTTCGCCTACTTAAGGCCCATGTATACACAACCGGGTCGTGTCACTTCAATGTCCGTTTCGGGTGATCGGACTTTGTCGGCGACGGACACCGTACGTAGATGTATAAAACTGTTACATATGAAAATTCGGGTCCAGGGCACGTATTGGACACGAAACAAACACAGTCCGATTGTGTATAAACGGACCTTTATTCGTCCTCCACTGAACGATCCTCTTGATTCGCGATTTCGCGGGTCGAATCGGCAGAATCGAAGAAGGATCGGTGCCAATCGAGGGGCGATCGATCGCGCGTCGTCTCTGAAATTCGTTACGCGGAACGGACGGAAATAGTCGACAAGGCGAGATAAGCATCGGTGCATCGCGAATACCATTCCGCGCGTCTGTGCTGTTCAGGACTGGTATCGCGCGTCACGCGTCACAGTTTTAGGAGCACCGGCCAAGCCTTCGTCGATGCCTGCAAATATATGTCGCGTGTACAACTGCGTACTCACCAAACGAGCCAGCACGAGCGAACAGGAGCGAGCGAGCAAATGCGTTCGCTGAATGATCCGATTTGTGTCCGTACATCAAACGAAAGACGTGCTCGCGCTCGTCTGGTGTAGACGGTTATTTGTTGCATTCGATTGCTCTGCCCGGAAACGTTCTATTCCGTGTGAAATAAAAATAGAATGGTGTAATGAAACCATTATTAAACTCATAGAGGCTTACTGTAACCAAGAATCGTAGAATATCTTTTCTAGATAGTTTGTGTCACTTTTCATTACTTTTGGTTCAACAAGTTGTAGACATTTTTCAAAATTCAAGGTCAACATTCTGCAGAAATTTCGGAACATTTCATATCCTTCTTCTTCCTGCAAGTTCCCTTATAACATCGAAGTCAGACTAGTGGTGACAATATCAAAATGGATTCAACAAACAGAAATATTATTCATTTTCTTTGTGTCAAAGTGAAGTAATAGTTTGCTGATATTAATATTTAACTTTTAGAGTAAATGTACAATTTCGATAAGTACACGAATTCTATTTGTTTCTGGGGAATTATTAATATTGATGATAAGTTCGATGGATTCGGGAATGGGCAAAGAACAATGGAGCCGAGACTTTTCGAACTTATCTTCGCGGGAATAGACAGGAGGAAAGTGAAAGGGAGGGGGAGTTAGATGGCTCGGCGGGCAACGCGAACCGGGCTCGAGATTACTGATTCGCGCGACATCCGTTTACGCGTTACACCATACCTCGATTATTCGCGCGCGCGACCGACTTTGTTCCCATCCGTTTCTATTTTTCGAGGATACCACCGAACGCGCGTATGTATGCAGGTACACTCCCGTTCATAAGTATTAGGACACTTATCGTACACAACGTATGTAAATGAATTACGGCATTGCAACATTGTTGAAGGTCTGAAATAAATATTCTTCAGGAAATTTTAAAACTTTATGAACAACTGTTACGCCCAGTCAGCCAAACTTGTCAAGCCAAATTTTGTTGAATGCCTGTTATGAAGTTATGGCTACAAGTTTGATGCAAGATTTGCTATGATTTGCAAACCTTGTACCGGTTTGGCCCTCAATTTGACATAGATCTTGTTGCAAGACTTTCTGCCAATTTGTTTTACTATTTTTATAAATTGCATTGCCTACAAAACCGTACTGAAATGCGGGAATAGATGGCCATGTTTTTTTAGACAACATTTGTACTTTATTGCTGGCAACTTGCTCGGAACTTGTACACAACTGGTTATTAGGGCGGTAATATGACCTAGTCAAAGTGGCTGAAAATGTGTAATATTTATGAAACATCGTATCTTCTTCGTACAGGCCAGGTGTCCTAATACTTCTGAACGACAATGTACGTATGTAAATATGTATGCGTGTATGTATGTACATACATAGTTCTGCCCACATCGGGCGACGCGTCAGTCGACGGTGCATTCGCAACCGGTGCGAATGTTGTTTCCCGTTCGTATGTCCGAAACTCACGTGCGTCGTTCCGTACAGTTTCGGGATCACGTTGTTCGTACTCGCGATCGGCCGATCTGCCTTCGATCGTAGCGCCCGCCGGTTGCTGCGCTCTCGAAAGTAGAGGGTCGTCGTTCGATCTTTATTATATATAAACAATACATTCGAACCGTGAATCGGAAGCGTCTACGCGGGGTACCGTCGAAAAACATTCGAATGGGAATCGTGTTTATGGCGTGGTTCGGCGAAGTATTTGTTACGTAATCTCTGTGCTCGTGCATGAACGGTCGCGAGAAGATAAACGACGCAGGCGATCGCGAATAATTATCCTTGACACAGTCTCGACGGCGGGACGAGCCACGCGAAACGAATTAATCAGATAACATGTCGATAGTCACGCGTTTCGTCGTCGTTGCGATCTCGTTCTGCGGCTTGGCCGCGACTAGCGGCGAGACCAACGACGGCGGTGGTAGGGTTGGCGAAGGTAGACCACCGACCAACCGAAAAACGATCGACGACAGAGGCTCGTTTCTAATCGAACAACCCCGTTTCGTTCGCGTGTCTGTCGTTACAGAAATGCCGACAGCTACGTGCTCGAGCACGGGTTGGGAGAAAATCGGTGGCGTGAAACCGGAAACCGTGAACTCCCAGGCGGTTCTGTTCAGCGCGGTAAACTCGAACGGAATCACGAGCAGCTGTTTCGAGAGGTAGGTTGTCGAAGACGTCGCACAATGATTGGAGTCCTAGCTACACTGGCCGTAATTTCTGTATTCACCATGTTTTTTTTTTTTTTTTTTAATTTTTTTAATTTTTAAATGTTTGGTAGCATTTTGCGGTGTGGTTCTTCCGCGTCGGGAAACCTCCGCTGAACCCCAAAGAAAGTCTCCGTTTGGTATATTGATCGTTGTCTCTTTGAGTTGCAGATGCGAACGCGTCAACTGCACAGCGTTCGTCGTAGATTTTGCTAGAAGCGTTTGCTACAGCGTCGAAACCGAGGACGACGAGCTCGTGCCGGAAGCCAATTCGACTTACTATCATCGAGTCTGCGTGAAGGGTAGACGCCTGAATAACCGTCGTGATACCCCCAGATAACACATGACGCCTTAAATACGTCCATTTTACGGCTATTTTAGGTCCAAGGCGTCATGTGCTATCTGGTTTTCGACCAGTAAATTAATTCCTCGTTCCGTTCAGTTCCAGCCAGTTGCAAACGGGAGAGACTCTGGCAGGTGGAGAGAACCGCGGGAGCAGTGTTCCTCGATCCCAACGCGTTCCACTTGCCCCGTTCGATTACCAGGAATCAATGTTACGAGATATGCATAGACACGGGTGAGGATAAAAAAAAAAGCGGACACTGTTATGGATAGGAGAATTTGAAATTTAATTTCATTTCATTCCTACGGGTATGAACCCTTTTTACAATATATTAAAATAAACAATGGATGTGTTCTTATCGATTTAGCATAGTAAAGTACGTGACAATAACAATAGAGAAACAAACACCGTGTCATTAGGTAAATGCACGGTAAATTTGTTTTTTAATGCCACTCTTAGTACTTCACACGCTGTCTACGCCTAGTTAAATAACTCCTAATCTAAATTAATAAGTTATCAGAGATTCCCATGTGATCCCCAAACTAAATCCTTTCCTCTCGATCGCAGGTAGAAGCTGCGAATCGGCGCAATTTCGTACCAGCGAGCCACTCTCGTCCAGGGACGCGATCGGCAGATGCTCGTTGTCGTTGCACGAACGTGGTACCAGACCACAAGCCTACAGGGCTTCGATGTACAGGGATGAGTATCTTCGGGACCAGTGTCGGCACGTGTGTGAGTAAAACAGGAGCCGAGGTGCCGTGGATCGATATCACTCGAGCGAACACACGTCGTCCTTTGTTCTATTTCCAGCGAAACGAGAATACTGCTCGTACGCGGAATTTCGAAACGCGTCGTTACCCTACTCGGACGTCGCTCTGATCAATTACGACGAGAAACAGGTATGATCGAATCGATTTTTTTTTTTCGCGAGCTGTTCGTAAGCGAGCGAACCGAAAGAAATCGGTATTTAAGAGGAAGGGGAATTGAATTCAGTGCGAGAGAAGCTGCGATTCCAGCGGCCACGGTTTCCTCTGCCGAGGATACACGCTGGACAACTCGACTGGCGAGTCGATCTGCCTGTTACACTCGGAGGACACGAACGGACTCGGCGTTAGCTCATTAATCCCCGCGGCGAACGCAATTTACAGAGAACGGGAACCCTGTTTGGATCGTAAGTATCGCGCACTCGTTAGAGAATGGGACATTTCATGCGAAATCGGACACTTTTTGGAGTAACATCTCAGATTTTGTTAACACTTGGATATGTTGTAGTAAATAATTTTTATTATGTACTTTTATGTCTCTACTATAAGCACCCGCAAAGCTCATTTCGATCGGTTTGTTAGTTCAACAGTTATGATTTATTAAAAAAAAAAAGGTTGACACTATATTTCAAACAGCTGTAAAATCAACAATATTTAGATAGAGATATGTTTATATATCACTAAAGACATATCCAAGTGTCAACAAAATCCAAAAAGTGTCCGATTTCGCATGGAATGCCCCGGATCGATTCACCGAGGTTGATCGCCGAAATCGTTTCCCTCGTGTTCCAGTGCAGGTACGATGCAACGAGACAACGATGACGATCGAGCTGAGAACGAACAGTCCGTTCTTTGGTCGAATTTACGCGACCGGCCACGCGGATAGTTGCGGCGCCGATGGACGAGGCATGAATCGCACAGTGTTAACGTTGCCGTTACCTCGGCCGGAACAGATTCGCGAAATCGAGCCGCGTTGCGGATTGAACCCCGCCTTTTCCGTTGACAATCGAAATCGGTAAGGGATACGACGCGACACGACACGACTCGATCGAGCCACCCAGGGATCCTAACCGCTGCCTAAACCGGTTACTAAAAGTGTTTTCTGCATGCATCAAATCATGGAAAAATCGCGTAGCCTATAACTAAGAACCGAAACCGATTCGGGTTACGGTTACGATCCCTGGAGCCAACACTCCAATCGATCCCCCACCCCCCTCATTCCAACCAAGCTAGAAAATGATCTATCCGCAGAACACGACCACTCGTTTGGACGACTATCGTGGTGCAGTTCAATCCTATTTTGCAACGTCTGGGCGATCAAGCGGTCCGAGTTGGTTGTTCGTTGAACGACCGTGAACCCCCGGAACCGAAAAACGTCACCATCCAATCGAGTTTCAGCTTTCTCGATCCAAAGTAGGAATAAGTTCTATTTATGTATGTACATATATACACGCCCAACTCCGCTGGTTACGCCCATGTCTATCACAATTCCCTTTACTTTCGCATTTGTCTCGATTTTGCATTACGATTCGATTTACGCGGATCCGCTAGCGTTTCGAATCTTGTGTGTTTAGCGCAGGAGTGCCGCCGATATCGTCGACCATAGTGAACGCTTCGTCGGAAGCGCCGACCGTCACGATGAGGATTCTCGACGAAAACTCGAAGGACGCGGTCGTTACCCACTTGGGTCAGAAACTTCTCTTAAAGATCGAACTGAAGCCGGCGAACGGTAAGAGCGACGCGAGACACGACGACTCGGAACAGGACCAATCTCTTTCGTTTCTTTTTTTTTTTCTTCTCTTTCTCTGCTCGAAGGTCCGTACGATATCGCTGCCGGAGATCTCGTGGCGAGTAGCGCTTCCGGAGACGCGTCATCCCCGCTCCTGGACAAAGTTGGTTGTCCGATAGATCCAACCACCTTTCCCCCGTTGTCCAAGGACCCCGCCGACGGTCGATCGTTGATCGCGACCTTTGCTGCATTTAAAATTCCCAACAGTCTGATAGTTCGCTTCAATGTGATCGTTCGATTCTGCGCGATGGAATGCGTCCCGGTGAGTTCTTCGTGTTTCGCTTGATCGACAACTCGGTATACAGACTCCTCTCGATTATTGTCTGGCTTCTACAAGATTATTGTCCAGGCCTTATCCCCACCACTTGGAGGGGGGGCGTGCACACTTTCAAGCGAATACCCTCTCTGCTTTTGTAACATTTCTCCCTATAAGATTATTGTCCGCGGATAGTCGAAAAGAGTCTGTATCTGGGTATGTACTCCCATGAGCAAACTCGACTTACGCTAGGGAAAAAAGTGGCGCAAGAAAAGGGCTTTCTACCACTTGATAAATTTATTTCGAATACAGAAATAAATGTTAAACCGAATGTTTATTTGGCATAAACTTCAGTAACTTCCTAAACTAATTGATAGAAGGCTCTTCGCCTACTTCACTTTTTCCCCTATCGAAAACCGAGTTTGCTCGCGAGGGTACATACATACACGTAACAAGGCTCGTCTCTTCCAGGCCAAGTGCAACGGCGATGTACTCTCTTACGGAAAAAGGAAACGCGAGACCGGACCACCGAACGTTCGAGCTTTCGAGGATGCCATTCCGGTAGGAGACGAGATCACTCCGGACCAATTACCGCTTCAAATCTCTATAATAGTACATAATCCTGTCGCATCATCGGCGGATCGATTGTCGTCGCGGGAGAAACACCCGTCTCCCGACACGGTGCTGATCACGGGTGCAAGTAAGCGCCCCTCCGTTCCTCGTGACGAACCCCCACGAATCCTCCTTTTATCGCCATTTCCCCTGCTCTGTTCCCAGACTCCGTGGACGGGCTCTTCTGCGTCAATGCCAGCCTCGCGCTAAGCCTACTGATCTTTTGGCTGATCATTCAAATTCTATTGATCGTCGGTTGCCTATTAACGATCAGCCAATACAGGCGGGCGGCCCTACGGGCGGAAGAGGAAAGGATCAACGTCCTCACCAGGCATCTGTACGGTATCCACGGTGGAAACTTCGAAATCGCGCGAAGAGTTCGATGGGCAGACCATAACGCGTCGACCTCGTCCCTCGGCTGACGCTCGATTCTCGCCCGGATCCGCGAACGTGGCATTCACTTCTGCCTTTTGTCGCACCGCTGCGACGCGCCAAACCCGATCGAATTCCATCACAGACGAGATACAAGGATAGACCTAACATGCAATGTAATTTTTTGTCCCATGCTTCGGGGGCGTCAAAAGCCCCCGTATCATTTCAGAATTGCATTCCTTGCTAGCGAAACCGTGGCAATAATGTATATATGTATCGCTATATGCACTCACGAGTGCTAAATGCTGATATCGGAAACTTTTATGTAGAGCTGCGCTCCAACCAGCGTGATTTTCGTGGAACACGAAGTCCCATAATATGTTAGGTATATTCTTATATCTTGTCTGTGATCCCATCCGTACACGTACCGTCGGTAAGCAACCGTCGAACGGGAGCTCTGCGCGAGAGCCAACGAACGTGCACGAAGGCCAGGACAAGAAATAAAATTCTAGCTCGATTTATTTCAAATATCTATTGTCGAATCGACAAGCGTCCTGTGTGACGCGACATCATACATATATGTACATATGTACAAGTATTGTGTATCCTTTCTGCAACCAACCGATCGATCACCAATTATCCACTCGTGTTTGCTGTCACACACGGCCCGTAGTAGTTCAACGTGACGACTGCAATCGCATAAACGTCGTGTCGGTTACCGTCTTGTTTTTTTTAAAATGGAACCACAGACGAGCTATAGGAGTAGACATTTCATCCAATGTATTTTTTCGGCCCACTTTTCTGGGGTAACGTTGCCCCATTTCCGTTTTAGTGTCACTAACTAATTCACCGTTCTCATAACGTAGATGTTGGTGAAATCACAGGCTTTTTAAGGTGTCCGTACTACAGTTTAGGTGGGCCACCAACTCCCATAAAATGAAATGTCTACTCCACCTTTTCTGTGATGAAACACAGAACAGTAGATGCTCGTTTATTGCAGCGTTCCAGACTTGTAGAGGGTTAAATTTTCAGGAGCAAAGGGCATGCCTATGCTGCAAGAAAATAGCCTACAATAAACGAGCTCCTACTACCTATCGACGTCTTACCTTCACCGCAAATCGCCGCGCAACTCAACAGTCCTGGATTATTATAAGCGACGTTGTTCGACCCACAAACCGGATTATATTCAGGAGTTACCTAAAAAATTGAACGTTCCTCGTTAACAAATATCATACCAAATTCACCCATACCACATCTGGACCCCAGAGTCAGAGTGTATTAAGTCCATTTTTTTTAAAAATGACATTTCACATATTTCAATTATTTATAACACCGACGAGGTATAACAATAGATCTTTCATCTTATGGGAGTTGTTGGCCTATTCTAAACTGTAGTACTGACACCTTGAAAAAGCCTGTGATTTTAGTGACTTCTACGTTATAAGAACGGTAAATCTACGGTGAGTAAATCCAAAATGGAAATGGAGTAACGTAACCCCAGAAAAGTGAGCCGCAAAAATACATCGAATGAAATGTCCACTCCTATACCTCGTATGTGATAATAGTCTAAAAATTATATTTAAATCCAATTTTTTTAAATCCATTCAATAGTTCGAAGTTGTCGTGCTGTCGCTCAGAATCTCGAGCCGTGCGAACTTTGAACCCGGTAATCACGATTGAACAGTGGACTCGACCTCGCCGCCTCGAGCGAAAACTCGAGTCCCAATCTATTCGACCGCCTCGCGTACATTTGCAACTTAAGTTTCATGATGAATTGGACAAGATTTCATCTCACCTGACATCTACTCATGCACGCGTCGCGTTCACGTGACGGCGCCGGAGTTGTGGTTGTACTTGTGCTCGTGCTCTCAGTCACAGTCGTAAATCGTTCGTTCCCTGAAATCGGTCTGGTCGCTGGTCCATCGAAAACAAAGCCATCCACTTGGAAAACATCTGAATCGCTCCTAGGCGAATCGTTCTGCGCGAAAATAGACCGCTATGAATCGTAAGAATCACTCAAAATCGACGATCGTTTATCGAATATTTCCCAAATTGCTCACCTGTGGAAACGCGAACAGACATCCACTCGATGCAACAACTACGATCAAACGATTATACGTTGATTCGGTGATGAAATATTTTATCGTAAATTTATAGATCGTGCATCGATTATTCGTGGAAAATATTTTGAATGCTACTCACCCAATGCTACGTAAAATATCCACATTCTGTCTGTCGACCTATCTTTACCTCTCTTTCTTTCTCTGTTCACTCTTTCTGTTTTATTCACTTTAGTCCGCCGGGATTGGAGATTCACTGGTCGGAAAGAATCATTCGTGTTTGCTTTTATAGTTAAGACCGAACCAGTCAGGGGAATTCACTGGGATACGAGCAAAGTGAATTTGCGTTTCTACCACATCTCGGGACTATCTTCATCCTCTTCTTACATTGACGACGAGAACGAGTACATACGAGGAATCGCGTGCAACAAGCATGACGAGAGAACGGGCTTGCATGCATACGCGTGTACACATGGAAAGACGCTCGCTCGCGTCCCGTTCACGTGGAAATCCCACTTTCCTTGAAATCGCAAGATCAAGGTCAGTACTGGTAAAAGCATCACGTCCGAGACCAGAACTCTTAATTAACTGCAGATATCAAAGATCCTCGATGAGTCACGCCGAGAAAAAAAAAGGCTTGTCCTTGAATCTCGAAAAAGAAGTACCACAAAAAAGGAGTTAATGATCAAATGGGAGTCGACTTCTCAAACGCACCTGTATTTCTATATTTCGGTAGTACATCTTTCTGTACGGGCAATCCCCGCACTGGGTATGGACAATACCGACTAAAAATAGACATATATATAATTATATATTACAAATTCGTGCAACGTAATTTTTTTTTACGTATATTCTGGCCTACGTTCCGCAAGTTCCCATGGTACTTGCGCAGCAACAACATATACTACAATATTCCGTTATGCTTGCACGCGTGAAACAAAATTCCCGCCAATTTTCTGCGAATGCATGTAAAATCAAAATTTCACAATTGTCGCTAAATAACGTGTCGTGGAACACCGAGATGAAAAATTTGAATAATAGAAATCAAACGGTTCTGTTAACGCGGGTCTTGTGTCCTGCAAATCACACACTTATGCCAACCGATGCCAATTACTCGTTTGACGAGAATCATCGTTTACTCAAGCGAATTGAATTCCTTCGAAATCCCCGGGAGAACTGTTTGTACAACTTTTCAATGTTTCACAGGCCAAACACCATTTTTCCATGCAATCGAGCAAATGCAAGCAATGAAACGGAGACTGGAATTCAAACCGCTTCCGAACACTACGATAAAACGTTTCCCTCCAAAAATGCGCCGTATCCTGTCGCGTCGTTGACATACCATCGTGGCACCACGTTCGAACTTTCATTGACACCGTAAAAAACATGATCTTACGCTTTAAAACACTTACTACAAAGTTACATTACACGACTCTTAATAATTAAAAATTGATTGGCAGTTAACAGGAATGATAGTGTAGCTATAGCACAATGTGTAGTGTTATCGTATAACAGAGCTGCTTGCGCGATAATTTTCCGCAACTACTGCTCTACGAAAAATAATAGGATAGGTGCTCGAACTTGAAGAAATAGCTTTTAAACGCGGACTATCCTTACCAATTACTTTACGTACGCCGCTGTATCGATTCAAAGCGATTCCTACGGCAACGAAACAATCGTTTTTGTTTTTTCACAAAGGTTCTACGTTCTATCACCAGTTTCCACGAGTTTCCAGTTTCTTATTCGATAACAAAATACTTTTTATCGTTTCCCACGCCCCGACACGACTTCCTTTACGACTGCTGCGGTTGATATGCAGCGTAAAGCGGTCCAGCCTTCTCCTTTGCTAAATCCGTTGCTTTCTTCGCAGCGTCTTTCACCTTCTCTGCCCTTCCCTGTAACGATTGCTGGAAGTCCTCCGCAAGACTAGATCTACCGGTGAGTCCTTCCTCGAGCTAAAGCAAATCAATTCATTGAAATGTCTCGAATTTTTTCAACCTGCCAAGTAGTTTAACCCTCTTACGTGAATGCAGTAATAAGTCAGACTTACTCGATGAACGAAACCCATTTGCGACAGCGTTGGATTCATATACTGCGCCGTATGCGGGAACATATGTGCCAGTACGTAATTGAAACCAGTATACATCAAAGTGCAGTTCTTTTTAAATCTATCCAATCCAAATGCCTGAATAGGTCTACTAAATCCGTACACTTGACTATCAATCCATGCCGATCTTTTTGCTACGGTCCAATTAGGATTCTCTTCGCTTACTTTATAGACAACTTTTTCTACAACGCTCTGAGAAATAAATACAGGAACCTTGAGTTTTGACAAAGTTCATCGAGTTTCATGTGTATGAAAACCAACAATAGATGGATAATTACCATTACTTTTGCATAACCCAAATTTCGTGTATACGTTGTTAAAGTCCTAGTCTTTGGATCCACCATGCTCTCTTCCACAATTTTCACAATGTTTTTACTAACAAATCTCTCTCCCCACCTAGGTACTCTGTTAGTTTTTGTTAGCAGCCTTTTGGTGTACAGAATTCCATTTTTAACTTCCCTCGACACAGTATCCTCTGACAAAACATGAGAACTGAAAACACAGTTTGAACTTTATATTCACAGATTTACCAAAAAGTCTGTAGCAATATGTTATCATGCATAAACAGCTGACAAAATGCTTTATACTTGCAACATGCCTATTAGGGTTTGGATATCTTTGCCAAAATCCTTGTGCAACTTGATTCCAATTAAACTGGAAGATTGAACTGTTCTCATAATGTTTAACCATCCTTGCTGCCTGTGCTATTCGATTTATCAAAAGTGCAAGGATACAGAGGTATATGGTCCTATTCGGCAAATGGTAGAATTAGCCAAATGTCCAGGATGTTTGTTCAATTTAATCTGTTTTGTTCAGCCTGAAAGCAAAAGGAAAGGTACATTTGTATTCCTGGTTTCTTGTTTGACCCTAGAAATCAACCGAAAGAATGTTACTCGGGAAACAATGTCAAAAGAATAAAGGATATGTACGGGAATGACTGCATCTATAAAAAGTGGCACAGTATGATATGTGCTTCTATACGGATCGATACAAGAGTGACGTGTAATAACGTAGCGATCTATAACAATTCCATGAAAGAAAAAGAATTCTTCATTGGTACCAATACGCCTATTGAATCGTATTAATTCATCAAATCGAGAAATTCTGCATAATCACGGGTTACAATTTGACCCATTCCATAAATTATATAACCCTCTTTCACGTTCGATGGATACAAATCACATTCTACATAAAATTACCAAAGTAGGACGCATAAATTACGCCAACTCGAATTCGTATAGATTTCAAGATATACTCAAATTGCGCAGAAATGATAACCGGCGAAAATTTATCAGACAAACTTATCAGAGAACACACCACATGATCACGTAAGAGTTACAGAAGTTAAAAAGCAACGACCCTATCAAATGAATTATTTCCACTTTGACTTCGATCTGAAATACGCGAGAACAGGATTTGTTTTCGGAATCATTGATACACACGGCATGAAATTACAATCACAATTTAATGCATCCTTCACTACAGAAATCGTACCTACAAAAATGTCAATCCAACGATGACTCGAGACACACAGAAATATATATAAACCATCTTCTTTCTCGAAACGAGTACGAAATGTACTGTATTGGATTGTCACACACGTTGGGAGTTGGGGGGAAAATATGGTAAAATAAATCAAAGGCGAACTGCTCGTTCGACTGTCGATATCGTCGATGTTATCAAGTCTTCTTTCTGCTTCTTTTCCCTTTTGTGGAAATACTTTTTAACCACACCTGCCACTACCACAAACGGACTGTATTTCTTGAAGAAAAGGAAGACCCTAGGCTTCTTCATGGAATGATAAAGGGAAGGAGGACGATCGAAACCTAGATTCCCCCACAGAAATATCCGTAAATCACTGTAAATCTGTGTGTATTTATTGAGGACCCTTGGCTTTATCAAGCCCATGGATGTATGTATTACAGGAGTAATCAAATATATACAGTAAAGCTTATTTTAAATGGTAATGTTACAAATAAGAAGAACTTTTTTAATTAATCACCATAAAGAATGGGAATTGTGAAAGAAAACATGTATAGCGTCATCTATAAGAAAATGACTAAGCTACTAGCAAATTAGTATTAAACTCATCCCGCTAGATAGTGCTATCATACCTATCGAATGTTTAAAGAAATACATAGGTATGTGTACTTTTCACATAAAATTTTGTCGCTAAGTGCGGTTTCGGTGAAATCATAATAAATAATGTATTTCACTGGATCATTTCTGTCTTAATTGTGGGATTCGTTAAATAATGTTTCCAGAATGGTGTAAGCGATATTTGTAACAGAGTGCAAAATAAGAACGTAAATTTCCCATAAAAGGATACCAGGGCCGTCTATACTAAAATATGGTTTTTCGTGTTTTCTATCTAACTCAATGTGGAAATGGTATAGCCAATGTTTAAAGCAGTATGATTAATTTTTTTTCTATTGAATGCATTACATCTAATAATTAATAGTTATTAATTTTCTTCGAAAAATCCGACTTTGGTATGTTTCATTATTATGAATAGAGTAGAAAGCTATTCTCATTCATCTGCAGTTTCGAAGAGTGTATATGTAATGGCATCAAAATAACATTTTACGATAGAGGTTTCACAAAATAATTTCATTTCTGGATGTGTATACTTACGCATTCATTATATGTACCGTTGAATCGTATGAAGACTGATTAACACATGGACTGCAAATAAATACTTTTATAAAGAATCGCCACGAAACATTGTCACAGTTTAGCGAAGATGACGTTCTGGCACCGCTGACATCGGATGCGATTTCTTCCTCTCCACTCAATCAAATAATACAGTAAATTACTACAAAGTGGTGATGGCTAATCATTACGAGGTGCCTAATTGGTACGTCTGTAACGTTTCCATTGTTACATCTGAACAAAAATTTAAACACTTCGGTGACGCGCAATAATATACGTCAAAGTAGATGTATGTCGAATGAAATAGTCTACGTAGGTTATGTTTTTCAGGGCAGGCAAACCACCAGTTGGATTACATTTAGATGTATTGAAAAATGACAAATTGATCCAGGTACGATGATATCATTGTATTGCATTCGATGATTAAAGAAGCAAACTATGAAGAATGAGATATAAGTGCATCGACTGTTTTGTTCCAGAAATTAATGGTTGATGAGAAAAAGTGCTATTTGTTTGGCCGTAACCAACAGTTAAATGATTTTTGTATAGATCATGCATCCTGTTCTCGTGTCCATGCAGCTCTTGTGTATCATAAACATCTGAATCGTGTGTTTCTTGTCGATTTGGGTAGCAGTAAGTGTTGTATTTCTTTTCCAAACACACAGTCCATTAGTATTATATAAGGTTTCTATTGACAGTAACTTTGTATAAAGTATGTATATACATTTTAATGTTGGAAACTTTATATATGCTTCAGCACATGGAACTTTTATTGGTAATCTAAGATTAGAAGCACACAAACCCACACAATTACCAATTGACAGTACATTTCATTTTGGAGCTTCCACCCGATATTATATTATCAGAGAAAGGCCTCAAACAGGCACAAGACCTATCATAGAGGAATTAGAAAAGTTGTCGGACGACATAGACGCCGGTGGCTTACTGGGTTTACCTGAAACAGAAACAGAACTCGATGTGCGTATCGTGCAGTCTGCATTTAAATTTGAATACTTGAATGTGCAGTACTAGTTGTATATTTTTTTTTTATAGAATTTGACAGAATTTAACACTGCACATAATAGACGCATATCAATGTTGGGTATAACAGACGACGACATTCATAAACCGACAAGAAAACGGAAAAAAAAGGGAATTACTTTTAACGACGACGAAGAAGTAATAAATCCCGAAGACGTTGACCCGTCCGTCGGAAGATTTCGAAATCTTGTCCAAACAACCGTCGTGCCCAGTAAAGTAGGAATTACAATTTTTCGTGAAACTTTTTAATTTCTTGCGATTTATACGATGTTGTTTAAAAACACTCGGTCGGTGATTATTACAGAGAATGCGTATGGAAGGAGGATTAATCTCTTTATCGGAAGATCACAATCCATTAAAGCATCTTCAACCTACGTCGACTGCGCCCCAGCTTTATCACGACTTGCCACCGGAACAGTTCACTCCTTCGTCGTTATGCCTTAATCCATTTTCAAGTGCTTTGTCATCGTTAACGTCTCGACTTGGTATTACCTTACCAAATCCGGCGCCCGAGGTAGAGATGACGCCAAATCAAATACAAACAGAAACACCGCACGTACCGGAAATATCGGGACCTACCGAAACACGAACTATGGAACCAAAAAAGAAAAAGTATGCCAAAGAGGCATGGCCAGGGAAAAAGCCCATACCAACGCTTCTGGTGTAACAGTCTCAAGAAACATATTTTTACTACATTTCTCTATGACACGGATTATAGAAATTACATATTTATAAGAGCTTGTGTATAAACGCGTCGGATGAAGTTTCAAGAAATACGTTTAGTTAATGTTACATAACTACATGTGTGTCTTGGAACCATGAACTAAATTCCGTTTTAAACATAATTGCATCACCATTGATTTCGTGGAAGTCATTCAACTCATCCTTTTGGTTTATTCTCGATCAGTCATGAAAGTCTGATTACGATTCGTATAAAATCGATTTGTAAAGATCAAAATTGTAAGTAAAAATTCCTGTAAGATAAACACACACGAATAAACAAAGAATTTTATCTAACTTTAGTATTAAGAAAATACGAATAAATATTAGGAAGGTAATGCAAAGAAGGACTTTCTTTTGTGATACAATACTTACGTTGTTGCTCCATACATATTATTTTATTTAATTTTACTGATCACGAAACACCGTCTAAGTCTGTAAACAGTGTCCTCGAAACGTGTATTTCTTACAATTAACGGTAATAATTACCGTTCGGTTACGTTAGGCGCTCGAAGAAAGTGGTCAATAATAATTGTAATCAAAGTATTTAGTGCAATCGTTACAAGTTTACTATTAATTTAAGTTTTAAGAGATTTCCGGAATTCTGAATAAACGCCGCCTGCGAAAAACAGTGTTACATACAGTTTCACGCGTTTCATTCTCTGCCAATTATAACGCAGAAGTGCTCAATTACTCAGAAACGTTGAAAACGTGTATACATTCAAATCGCATAGTTGGAAAAACACTGAAACCAGGCTGTATATTTTTTATTTCCACGATACAAAACAGTTGTATTAAAAATAAATAATTTTATTTAAAAAAAATAATAAACGAATCACAAAACATAAGCGAGGCATAGAAAAACAAAAAAAAAACAGATTTTTTACAGTACAATTTATCGTGACGGGTAGCGGGAAATTGCTGATATGCAGAGTTTCATTTAATACTCTAATGAAGCATCCGGGGTGGTTGATGATTCGAGAGCCACTTCCTCGTAATCCCGTTCGAGTGCGGCAAGATCATCGCGAGCTTCCGCAAACTCGCCCTCTTCCATACCTTCGCCGACGTACCAATGAACAAACGCCCGTTTGTGGTACATGAGATCGAACTTGTAATTCAACTTGGCCCATGCCTCTTCAATGGCAGTGGTGTTCGACAGCATCGAGACCGCTCGTTGCACCTAAACGCGTGTCAAAGGATATCGTGACGCGTTATTTCCGCGCGGATTCGAAGGAAGAACACGAGACACTTGGCTCCGTTCTTCGATCATTATATCCGTCATTAAATGTATTCACGCAATAATTGATACCTTTGCGAGGTCACCGCCGGGAACGACGGTAGGCGGGCGATAATTTATGCCGACTTTGAAGCCGGTCGGGCACCAGTCGACGAAACGTATGCAACTTTTGCCCTTCATCGCGGCGATCGCAGCATTCACGTCTTTCGGCACGACGTCGCCACGATACAAAAGACAACAGGCCATATACTTTCCTTCCCGTGGATCGCATTTCACCATTTGATTCGACGCTTCGAAGCATTCGGATGTGATTTCAGCGACCGACATACCCTCGTGGAAAGCCTTGTCGGCCGACACCACAGGGGCGTACGTAGCCAGCGGGAAATGGATTCGCGGGTACGGCACCAGATTCGTTTGAAATTCGGTCAGGTCCACGTTCAAGGCCCCGTCGAATCTCAACGAGGCTGTTATCGACGACACCACTTGACTGATAAGACGATTGAGGTTCGCGTACGAAGGCCTCTCGATGCCGAGTTTACGTCGGCAAATATCGTAGATTGCCTCATTGTCGACCATAAACGCGCAATCCGAATGCCCGATTGTGGTGTGCGTCGTCAATATTGCGTTGTATGGTTCCACAACCGCGGTGGACACCTAAACACGTTTATGCTCCGTTTAACGAATGGTCACGCGGCAATTTTGGGTGATGTAAGATACGTCTATAGAGGGTAAGTGACCCAATTACGGATGGTTTCCGTATTATAGAGGATTAGCTATATTTTTATGAATTAGAAACGTTGTATTTTCACAAGATGTCAAATAATTCTTTTTTAATGATGGTCAGTTCCTCTTTACTTCGGAGGAATTAAAACATTTTTGATTTAAACTCGTTTCTTTATTAAGTTACGTATTTTAATGTTGAATCTGACCAGTTGATAGTGATTCTTCAAACAGAAAGTCCCACATGTACAAAAGTAGATAAGTAATATGACTTTATTAAATAAAATAAGAAGAAACATATATATGAACTAAATATTATACTTTTAATAAGACACTCCATGGTAGATGCAAAGAAATATAGGTCCTTTTTGCAAGACTTTTCGCCAATTTGCTCGAAACGTGTACACAACTGGTTATCAGGGTAAATAGTTTCCTATTATTTCTTAACAAAAACAAGACCACGGAACCACTGATGTCCCCCAGATACCACATGACGCTTAAAGACGGCTTAAAGACACCTTAGACCTACAATGGGCGTCTTTAAAGCGTCATGTGCTATCTAGGCCGTAATTGTGTCACTAACCGTATACATATAGACATGTTTCGTACATCACCGCAAGCACATTAACCCCTTTAACACTAGAACTACCAAGCAAGTCAAAATGACTTGCTGATACACTCTTACAACGATAATTAGAATGTTACAACAATACATTTCCTCAGATCTTTTGTAACTTTTATTACGATACGACATTAAAAAAATTAGTTAATTTATAAATTTCTAAATTTTCAAAAGTTTGCCATATTTATCGATCGATCGAAAAAGATATGCGTTTATCGCTGGTAGTTCTAGTGTTAATATCCATTTTTATGTTCCCCACCACCGTTTAGCAATTCGAAACGGTACCGAACAACGTGTTAGTTTTCGTACTTGTGGCGCCGGATATACCGCGAACTCTAATTTGCTTTTCTTCCCGTAGTCGTCAGATAATTTTTGCATCAGCAACGAAGTGAATCCTGACCCGGTACCGCCACCGAACGAATGAAAGACGAAGAATCCCTGAAGACCGGTACACTGGTCTGTTAGCCTTCGTACTCTGTCCATCACAGAATCGATCACTTCCCTGCCGATGGAATAATGGCCGCGGGCGTAATTATTGGCGGCGTCTTCTTTTCCGGTGATCAATTGTTCCGGGTGATACAATTGCTTGTAGGGACCTATCCGTACCTCGTCTAAGGGGAAGACATGGTTCACACTTTCTTTAATATTTTTGTCCCCTTAACCTTTTCGGTTCGGACGACGAGTATACAAGTGGTCCATAGAATGCTCGCTATGGCCGAAGAACCGAGTGTATGTATAGCTTCTTCAAAAATATAGCGATGGCCATAAACGTGGCCGACCTTTAAACCATTACACTGATTCCTGGACGAGTGTTCGAAAGCTCCTCGGCACTGAACATTAAATATTTTATAAACTAATGGTCGTATACGACTGAAACAAATATCATTGGTTTCAGAATTCCAAGCTCTATCAGTGTGCTAAACCTCGTTAAAAAGTCAACGTTACTATGGGGTACCAAAGAATAACCATTCGTCAAGAATAAAAGGGCCAGAAGTGTTTCAAATCTGAAATTAGTACGCTATAAGAACTTGTTTAATTACATTAAAACGGAAAACCCGATCAGAAATTGACATCGTACGCCCCTGAACGACGGTCAAGCACTGTTTCTACAACTCAAGGGTATCGAATGACTGGATTAGGCTACCCGAAACATGTAAACTTTAGGGTTGGTCAGGTTTATGGCTATATCTTTGAAGCAGCTATACAAGTGGTCTTCGAAATGCTATTCGTATGACTTCTCTCTGGCCGTCAGGAACAACGTCGCGCTTTGATGTCGCCGTACCGAAAAGGTTAAATAATCTTCGATCTTCTTCCGGTTTAAAATCATTCACGACGGCAATTAAACTAACCGACGACCGTGGGCTCGAGGTCGACCATTACCGCGCGCGGCACCATTTTGCCGGAGCTCGTTTCATTGAAGAACGTGTTGAAACAATCGTTGGTTCCGGACACCTTGTCCGATGGCATCGTCCCATCCGGTTGTATTCCATGCTCCAGGCAGTACAGTTCCCAACACGCGTTGCCCATCTGCACGCCAGCCTGGCCCACGTGCATTGAAATACATTCACGCTGCAATGTAATACAAGAAACTCTTATCGGAGACTTGTATTTTTCAATAATTGTGTTTGAATTCTTCGTATTGTTCGATACTCAAGGATAATTCCAAGATAGTTAATAATCGTCGTTATTAGACGAATGCCATTCTAACGGTGTTTCCATGGTCAACTTAAAGGTATCTTACCATTTTGATAATATTTAGAAACGGGGTCTTGTAATACAAAGATTATTCCGAAATTTTCTTGACTCGTTAAGCCGAAAGGAAGAATTAAAAATATATTTTTTTAAGTACAAGAAATTTTGACCGGCCGTCCGCTACCCAGAGAAAAATTTATTGTCTCAATTTATAAACTGTTGCCTGGACAACACGAATCGTGTAATGAAGTTAATCGAAAGACTTGAAAACAAAAAATTGAAAATACTTGTAATCATTTTGGGAACACTTTTACATATAGCCTGCGCACACGTTAAAACTTATCGTTATAATATTAATTTGTGTAGATGCATAGATATAAATATGCCTATAATAGTACACGCAATTTCTTCTATTTCTGTTCCTGGTTTTCTAATCTACATAGTGTTATCAGTTATATCGTATACAATATTGGCAAGCTGTAATCTTACGTTACAACATGTTCTGTAATAACAATTACAGACTGTAGGCATACTGTGCAGAAATCTGCAAAAATATTCATTGAATAGGATAGGTAGATGAACAAGGTGGACAATTAAATTTAAAAATATTGTATTCGTGTTTCGATCGAAATACAATAAAACGAAACACAACGAACAAATTGTTATTTTCATCGATTCCAACGTAAGCATACATTCGTGTGCGTTTTCTTTACATAAATAAAAAAATGATTGATCTCCGAAGGTCAACGACCTTGACATTTTCGGTACATCCTATTCCATTGAGGACATATCGTGACGTATTTTGGATCTCGGAAGCCTTATGTAATTATATCGAATCGATCATGCGCGTTGTCGTGCACGTGTCGCTTTTCGTAAAGTAATTTGATAAGTTCTTTGTAATCTGTTACTGTAAGAAGTAATATCTTCACGGTCAGTCGAACGAGTCCGATCTACTCGTGACTCTTCGATGATGACTCGAAGAATTTCAACTTATTAAGGCGAGCTAGACGCTTCAGTCGGACTCGCCGACTGTTACGAATTCCTTTCGAACGGCACTTTTTGTTCTAGTACGTTTAGTTACGCTTAGTATGCCTAATAGAATCAATAATGGATGCTAGTAAGAAGTATGAGAATCCTAATCCCAAACTGTCGGCGAATTTTTTGAGTAAACTAATATTTTGGTAAGTTGCGAACAGCATTCGGAATTGTCACTGAATCCGATCGTGATTATCTAATATTTTTATTCATTCAAGGTGGTTGAAACCGTTGTTTTGGCACGGAAGAAAACATGATCTTCAAGTCAAAGATATATATAATGCCATGCCAGAGGATGTTAGTCACCATCTGGGAGATAAACTTGAAGGGTAAATATTAAACAATAGTATGTACATACATACATGATATCAGAAAAGTTGTACAAACAAAAGTCACATCTTGAGCTTTATTGATATTATCCGTGCATTTAGGAATTGGCTTAATGAAATTGGAACGGCTGAAGAAACTGGCAGAAAGCCTAAACTTTTTAATGCTTTGCAAAAAACATTTGCATGGTCATTCTGTTATTATGGAGGATGGCAGTTCTTCTTGGCAGTTGTTGTGAAGTAAACATTTCATGCTGTTGCATTACAACAGTAGTACAACATACTAGTTTCAACGATAAACAATATTACTTTCGTATTGTAGGGTTTTACAACCGTACGTGTTAGGTCTACTTATCTGGCATTTTGATCCGAGAGCAACATCCACTGCCTCAGAAGCATACAGTTATGCTTCAGTCGTTATGATTTTAGCTTTAATCGGTGCTTTAATTGTTCATCATTCAAATTTTGGTTTAATGCAAGTTGGTATGAGAATGAGAATAGCTTGCTCCTCTTTGATGTACAGAAAGGTACCAAATTATAATTTTACTTAAGCACTGTTTATCACTTTATATACATTGTTTTCATTTATAGATACTACGCTTATCAAAGTCTTCTACTAATGTCACAACCCCTGGACAGATTATAAATTTAATGTCAAACGATGTGTCTAGATTTGAACAGTTGTTTGTTATGTTACATTATATTTGGATTCTACCGATTCAAGGTGCTCTAATAACTTTCATGATTTGGGAAAGTGTGGGAATTGCTTGTCTAGCTGGTGTCTTCCTCATAAGTGTGCAAACTATACCGTTGCAAGGTATGTTAACTGTTTAATATTGTGACGTTTGGTACAGTACAACGATACAGATACTTCACTTGCCCTTTAGGATACATGGGAAAATGGATATCAAAGTTGCGATTAAAAATCGCAATTAGAACAGATGAAAGAGTGCGCTTAATGACAGAAATTATCAGTGGTATTCAAGTAATTAAAATGTATACTTGGGAAAAACCATTTGAAAAACTTGTTAGCATTGTCAGAAGGTTTGTTCCAATACTTTATAGCACCAACGACAGAATTTTCCTGTTATTAAGTATACATATATATGTATTTGTTATACTTTGCTAGTCATGAAGTGGATGTTCTTACCATTTCATCATACCTAAGAGGTTTCACATTAGCTACTTTTGTGTTCACCGAGCGATCAACATTGTATTTTACTGTTATGGCGTATGTACTTCTTGGAAACAATATATCCGCGGATAAAGTGTTTTCAATTGCCCAGTACTTTAATGTTCTTCAACTTACAATGGCCATATTATATCCAATGGCTGTATCATCCGCCGCAGAGGCTAGTGTGTCCATTAAGAGACTCGAGGTAAACATTTTATCAGCACGATCAATTAATTTTAGAACCTGAAACATATTACTTTCAGAATTTCTTGTTGTTAAAAGAGAACCGTAAGGTGAACAACTCCAAAGAAGTCACTGGAGATGGCAGTATTTTACTTAAAAGTATTACAGCATCTTGGACGGAGAATGCAATTGTAAATACGTTACACGATATTAATATTCAAATAGAATCAGGAAAACTTTATGCTGTTGTCGGTCTGGTTGGTGCTGGAAAGGTATTGCGAAAATAATTAATATCACACAGAAGTTAGTATGTAGTACCCAGTTCATGCTTCTCACGCGTTTCGTTTCAGAGTTCTTTTTTGCAGTTGATTTTAAGAGAACTGCAACAATCGGACGGAGATATTCGAGTAAACGGTAGTGTATCATATGCCAGCCAGGAGTCCTGGTTATTCTCTGGCACTGTACGCAACAATGTACTTTTTGGACAGCCTTATGATCAAAAGAAATACAATGAAGTTGTTAGAGTGTGTGCTCTCAACAAAGATTTTCAACAATTCAATTACGGCGACAAAACTTTGGTTGGAGATAGAGGCGCGTCACTCAGCGGTGGACAACGCGCAAGAATTAATTTGGCGAGGTAAGACTGAAGCTAATTAAGAGAATGTATTTCACGTCAGTATGAGTACTCTAAAAGATACATAAACAATTGTTGTAACAGGGCTGTATACAGGGACAGTGACATTTATTTGCTAGACGATCCATTATCCGCAGTAGACACCCACGTTGGAAAACACTTATTCAATGAATGTATTAAGAACTACCTTCACGATAAAACAAGGATTCTTGTCACGCATCAAGTACAATATCTGAAAAATTGTGACTATATTATTGTATTAAATAACGTAAGTACTAAAATGGTTGGTAATTCTTAGTCAACCATTAAGGTTGTACCATTATGATTTTGATTTTAGGGTAAAATTGAATTTGACGGTACGTTTGCAGAACTTAAAAATATGAAACTAGACTTCTTAAGTATGCTTTCGACGGAAGAGGAGAAACCAGACACAGTAACCGTACAAACCGGTGAAAATCATACGTCGCCCGATATATCTCTTAATTCCGGCAATTCTAAAGACGATGATGAAGCAGAGCCACAAGAAACGGAAGAATTAATGGGCAAAGGGAACATTTCAAAATCGCTTTATTGGCAATATTTCCGAGCCGGTGGATCGATTCTAATGATCTTAGGTTTTCTTGTCGCTTTAATTTTAGGACAGTTAGGAAGTAGTGGTAGCGATTATTTCGTTGCATATTGGTTAGCGTTTGAATATACATTTTCTACTTACAACCGGAATTATGTTTGTACATTTTAATCTTATCTTCTTTATGTTTCGTTTTCTTAGGACAAAGCAAGAAGAAATGCACGTCAAAAATAATATTAATCACACGTTACAAATATTTACACAAAATACTACCTCACCTCGTACGCTTATGGAAGATGCAAATGCACTGATTAACGGAACGCTTAATTCAGGCATAGATAACTTCAACGAAACGGTCTCGGAATTATTAATAAGCTCAGACAACAGTAGTTTTGATAACAGTGTGGGTAACTTCAGTCACTTATTCCACAGTTTACTAATCAGCAATTACTGTCATTGTTATCGTCGTGTGTTTAAATTTTCAGTCATGGATTATTAACACGGGACCGCGTAACCAGTATTTCCTCGATTATGCCACTGCCTTATGGATTTACGGAGGTTTAATTCTTGCGAGTATAATCATGACCTCGGTTAGAAATATCATATTTTACAAAATATGTATGAATTCCAGTAGAAATCTTCATAATCTTATGTTCTCATCTTTACTGAAAGCACCGATGCTGTTTTTTGATACGCATCCCTCTGGTAGATGTCAAATAATACTGTGTAGTACACTGATAATTTGCTTAACAGCTAAACAATGTTAGTAGTATACGATAATATAATGCTGAATTTCAGGTCGTATTCTAAATCGTTTTTCAAAAGACGTTGGAGCAGTTGATGAAATTTTACCGAGAACAATGATCGAGTCCATTCAGATATTCGCTGTAATGGTTGGGATTCTAGCTCAAGTACTTATCATTAATTGGTGGACTGTATTCCCGATGCTTATCATGGGTTTCTTATATTGGCAAATACGAAATATTTATCTTAACACTGCACAAGATATGAAACGTTTCGAAGGAACGAGTAAGAACGTCACATTGTTTCAATAATGTTTAATTTTATTCTTTCACGCAGCATCATTAATAATAATTTAAATTTTCAGCGAAAAGTCCTGTGTTCTCGCACGTTAGCTCTTCGTTATTAGGTTTAAGTACAATTCGTTCATCCTCGGCCCAAGATATGGTCCGTAAGGAATTTGATATTCATCAAGATCTTCATACCAGCGCCTATTACTTGACTATCGCTACAAGTACCGCTTTCGGAGTCGCACTGGATATTGTTTCCCTTTGTTTCATTGCCTTCATTATATACAGCTTCATTGTAATTGACGATGGTAATTTATTATTGGATAATTTTCTTGGTATTTTCGGTCGGTATGCGATGAAACTTACGTTTCTTTTATCCAGGAAATATATTCGCGGGAAACGTTGGTTTGGCCATATCGCAAGTGTTGATTTTATGCGGAATGCTTCAACATGGAATGCGACAAACTGCGGAGACAATAGCACAGATGACCAGCGTAGAACGAATTTTACAATTTACACAACTCGATAAAGAGGGACCATTTGAAAGCGAGCCTAACAAAAAGCCATCGGTGCAGTGGCCTTCGAAAGGAGAAATTCGTTTCGATCAGTTGTCTTTGTGCTACGACGATTTAGCGCCTTCTGTCCTTAAAAACTTAACTTTCCTTATCAAAGCCGGTGAAAAGGTGATTTCTCAATGCTTGCAAGTATTCGAGACATCGTGTAACTGAAATTATCTATAAAATTCTCATCTCTCAGGTAGGAATAGTTGGTCGTACTGGCGCAGGCAAAACTTCGCTGATATCAGCTCTATTCAGATTAGCTAAATTGGAAGGCAAAATTTGTATAGATGATTTGGATACGAAACAAATAGGTCTACATGACTTGAGAAAAAAAATCTCTATTATCCCGCAAGAACCAATATTGTTCTCGGCGACGCTTCGTGATAATTTGGATCCGTTTCATAATTACGACGACGCTACACTTTGGGCCGCCCTTGAAGATGTGGAATTGAAATCGAGCGTATCGACCCTCGATTATTTCGTTGAACAAGGAGGAAGTAATTTCAGCGTGGGCCAACGACAGTTACTTTGTCTAGCAAGAGCAATCATAAGGAACAACAAGATTCTTCTTCTTGACGAGGCTACCGCTAACGTAGACCCTACGACTGATGCCTTGATACAAAAAACTATCAGACAAAACTTCAAGGACTGCACAGTATTAACTATAGCACACAGATTAAACACAATAATGGATAGCGATAAAGTCCTAGTAATGGATCGTGGGCAAGTGGTTGAGTTTGATCATCCGTACATTCTGCTTCAAAATGAACAGGGACATTTCACCAGCATGTTGAAAGAAACTGGAAAAGTGATGTTTGAGCAACTGAGGAAAGTCGCAGAAGAGGTACGACGAACATATTTCTACCATTTAGTGATTTATTTCTTAAAACTTTTGAATTGGAATTTCGAAAGGTTCTAATTCTATTTTCAGGCGTACAACGATACTTTTACACAAACAGAATACCAATTGCATCCATTGGGGCTCAATGGAAATACTATTGTAAACGGCAAATAAGTGAACATTGATGTACTTATTATAGGAAAGTACTTACTATCCGTTGCAACTACTTTTACGATTAATCTATTTGTCCAGAGATTTGTAGTTATTGCAACGACAAGCATATTATTTCCGCGTAGGTTATACAAACATACGCGGCGTACAGTACTTAATGCAACAGATGATCTTATCTTTTGTATTATTTTGACAATTGCCAAAGTTGTTCCTACTCATGAAACAATACGGGTTCATACTACATTGTGATACAGTAACATTTTGAGAAAGAAGGCACAGGTAAAAAGTATATTATTCTATATATGCTGTACACAGCACAAAGCACATTATTACAGTACTTTGTACATTTATACTTAATATTTTTTGAGCGATTTTCATTACAAAATATATTCCACATATTCTGCTTTGGAAAAATAATTCTATGCATGTATTTTTATGAACATTATATAATGTTACAAAGAAATTTTTAAATATTATGTACACTATAGTGTGAGTGCCTCAAACATTTTAATAAATTATATACACAAGTACCTAAATTGTTTACCAGCATCCTTTGCATACCATATAGATGCCATATACAATTGAATAATAAAATTACAATTATATTTGGAAAAATTCTAACAAAAGTATTTTCTCCTGTGCATGATCATTCGCAAAACTTTATTATAAAATGTCTATAAAAAACTCTTTTACCCTTTTATGTATATCATTCGATTAATTATAGAACTTTGTGTCCCAAATGTTAAATTAATTGTACTGCACCGCTTTTAACTAAATCCGCGACAGCACTGTATTGTATAATGTGTTGTGAACCTGACACAAAATCTATTTCTTCGTCCATTAATCCAGGCAACACAATCCCATCGATTCTCTGGTTGGCCCTTAAAAATACATATGCCTGCATGTTAGGCTTGACGGTCAGTCTGTTAACTTCAAATGTTTGGAAATTGCCAGGCATATGTTGCAAAGCAAGCGTTCTGAAGAGAGTCTCAATACTGGCAAGAAACTCCTTAGCGAAATGCAATTCTGCAGTTGTTAGATAACATTCTTCCGGTGATCTGTTAGCCTCCTGGGAAAGAATATGAATAGCGTGCTTTTCAATCTTTTCTAATCGAGCCCTAAGATAACTGGATATCACGAACTTGATCCTGTCCAGTTCCATTCTATGAATCATCAGTCTTAGGTCCCCCTTGTCTAACCTCTTCATGTTCTCCTCCATATGTGTAATCTGTTGCAGCATACAATCGACAAGATCGGCCTGATGGGGTAAAATTTCAGGAGCGAATTTCTCGTTTAGCCAAGCTTCTTCTATCGCCAACAAAGCACTCTGAGCCGTTAATTCTTCTACTTCTTGCTCCCCGTCCGTAGCCCCTAATCGCGCTTCCGGATCGTCTTCCATGTTTAACGGTTTTCTTCGACAAAATACTGATCTATTTGTGACGCACTTTATAAAATAATTTCAAACTGTTGCGTATCGTCACGTAAATCCGTAGGTGAACGCAACAAATTTTCGCATCGATAGAATCATTCAACAGCAGTTCACGGAAAATCGTTGTGACGGCTTGTCAGCTTGTCACGTGACTGGAGTCGGTATTTCTTGCCATTTAAATTTCACCCGCGAATGAAACGTATTTTAAACACATTTTCCTTTCACATGGCCTGTACAGTTTTTGTTGCAAACTTCCTAATACTCTGTGTGTTTTAAACGACAAAGTTGAAACGATTAAAATGTATTTTCTATAAATTCAAGGACAGTTCTATCAGAGCCGGAAGCGTGCGTTGTTCTTGAAAGAACTATATTGTCCCGTAATGTACTATAATTTTTAATGCATCTTATTAATGGTGCTACTGTGATAATAGTTAATGGTATATCATAGTCGTGACGTAAATAGACCTATAGAGAATTTTTTAGTTGTTTCCAGAGAATCATGAAATTCTATTGAAGTGTCTTGGAGAGCTAAATTGCAAAAGTATACGCACACGTTATTATAATAATAGCTCCCTAAAACCATATAAAAGTTTAAACCTGAATAAAATTTACAGATACGCTGAAATTACAAAAACAAGTTAAATCCTCGAATCAGTAAGTACTTGTTTTTCTTTCGACCACGATAGACAAGACAAGAAAGTCACAATGGATGCGGCCATGTTTGTCAGAGTGCGTGAAAGCGGATAAGTAAAGATGAAGGTGGTTGAAGGTGGTTGAAGGTGGTTGGGAGGTGGTTACGGACGATCGAGCAGAATACAACGAAGAAAGATGTAAGAGATTCAAAGGATAGGGTGATCCGGCGTGTTCTATTCCTATTTTAGCCTAATAAGGCTTCTGTGTGCGGGACTGAAGATACACCAAGGTATTCTTAAATCCTCGTTAACTTAATAAAGACCATCTTAAGACTGTTTGTCGACTTAGATCGTGACAACATATAGAAAACGAGTGGCAAGGGTACATATGGCAGGGTCGAGCTAAGACCTCGATGCATATATAAACGGAGGTCGAACGACGTAGAGACGAGTCGCATCCAACAGTGGTCCTAACAACAGCAAACCTTCCGTAAAATTTCAAGAATCGCGTGCCTAAACGAAAACAAAGCCCGAAACGTGTACTTGGATTAGTTTGTGTTAGCACGATTTTCTCCAAGTAGCCAAAAGGTGAGGAACCGAGAGGACCGGTGATCGGTGTTTCGTTCGTTTCCAGTGCTCCCCGGCAATGTACTACATATTTTAACGACTAATTGGACTCGAGTTGTTCGCGCAAGAGTGTAACTACGTACGGTTCTCTATCGATGAAGTTCACCGTTCGATTTCATAGTAGCCGAATACCGTAGAGAAGTGAAAAGGGGGGAAATGTGATATCAAAGTGGTACCGCTTGTATGTTCACAGATTTCGGAATGTCGATCGTCTCGGGGCCCAAATACGAAGCCTATTGGTCAGGCCAGGCTTCAAAGTATGGAAATCAGACAGTGGCGGACAAGGTTCCAACGGATATGATGCATCTAATCGACGCTCACTGGTATCAGTTCCCGCCGTTAAATCCTTTATGGCACGGGATTCTTGGCATGGTCATCGGAATACTTGGTTTGATCTCCGTAAGCGGGAACGGCATGGTCGTATACATATTTCTTTCGACGAAAAGTCTTCGCACGCCGAGCAATATGTTTGTCATCAACCTCGCCATCAGTGACTTCCTCATGATGTTTTGCATGTCTCCGCCCATGGTGCGTGAACAACAATATATCCGGTTTATTATCGGATGCTCGCTAAAGGGGGGATTAAATATATCAGTTCCATCTGACAGTTACGAAATGTGCAACGTTCCTTTGTCCGATAGATAATCAATTGCTATTACGAGACATGGGTGCTCGGACCTCTCTTTTGTGAAATCTACGCGATGTTGGGCTCCTTGTACGGATGTACCTCCATATGGACAATGACATTGATCGCATTCGACAGATACAACGTGATCGTCAAAGGTTTAGCTGGTAAGCCGCTGACCATTAACGGAGCTCTTCTCCGTATACTGGGTGCATGGCTCTTCTCTTTGATATGGACGGTCGCGCCTGTGTTAGGCTGGAATCGGTAATTGTGCATTAATTTCGTCCAACGATCGCGTACACCCACGAGCAAACTCGGGAAAAAGTGACGTAGGGGAAGGGCCTCCTATCACTCGGTATCGGGAATTACTAAAATTTATGTGAAATTAACATTCGATTTAACATTTATTTCAGTACTCGAAATAACTTTAACAAGTGGTAGGACATTTTTCTTCTACGCCACTTTTTCCCCTAGCGGAAGCCGAGTTTGCTCGCGAGGGTACCTATTGCCGTATATGTGTACTTTTCATCCCCTTGAATCACGCGTATACATTTCTCGTCAGATACGTACCAGAGGGTAACATGACCGCATGTGGCACCGATTACTTCAGCAGAGACATAGTATCCGTCTCTTATCTGGTTCTCTACAGCCTTTGGGTATATTTCGTCCCGTTGTTCCTCATAATTTACAGTTACTGGTTCATCATCCAAGCGGTCGCTGCTCACGAGAAGAATATGCGCGAGCAAGCCAAGAAAATGAACGTAGCTTCTCTACGAACGACCGACGGTCAAAACACCAGCGCCGAATGCAAACTCGCAAAGGTAGCATATACTATCCCAGATAGCACGTGACGCCTTGAAGACGACTTAAAGATGCCTTAGACGTAAAATAGGCGTCTTTAAGGCGTCATGTGCTTTCTGGGTATACGTCCGAACCATCGGAAATTAAATCATCTATATCGATATCTTGATGATTCCAGGTTGCTCTCATGACGATCTCCTTGTGGTTCATGGCTTGGACTCCGTATCTAGTCATCAATTTCGCCGGTATATTCAATCTCCTTAAAATTAGTCCGCTCTTCACCATCTGGGGCTCTCTCTTCGCTAAAGCCAACGCTGTTTACAATCCGATTGTCTATGGAATTAGGTACGTGCGTACTGATCTTGGACAGGAATGTATACCTGAAATCGAATTATTACGTCTTCTATATCTTTCCAGCCATCCGAAATATCGAGCGGCCCTGTTTCAAAAGTTCCCATCGCTGGCGTGCGCCGCCGCGCCAGCAGCAACGGATGCGACATCTACTGTTTCCGGTACCACCACTGTTGCCGATTCTGAGAAAGCGAATGCGTAAAACAGCCACGTTTCTGCGTGAAATATCTTATGCAACACGCATGTTTTCACTTACCGAGCCGTGACAGAAAAGGTCATAATCGATCCCAGATTAATCAACACTAGGATTAATGATGATGCTGAGTTTAATTACAGACACGAATTGTAAATATTAACGCCGGTTGTCGTGTTAAGAAATCTTTTTGTACGAGTTACGGAAACACCGGATGTTCGGGTTGGAAAGAAAATGAATAGAATCGAATGGGTTCGGAAGAGAGAAACCGTCATCAAACAGGCGCGCATCCATCTCGATGTTAACACTCCGAGTATATACGCGGTATATGGAATTGTTCCAACATGCGGCAACAAATGAGCAATCTTTTAATTCTCCATGATCGATGAACGTGTGATTCCCATTAGCACCACAATGGCGAATCATTTAGCATCGAGACATGGGTAACGATTGAAATTTTGTACATTTCACGCCGCGGCAATATACATGGTCACTTTGGTATAGCAGGTACTAGAGCTCTATATGTTTACCAGTTTAGTAAGCATGTATCATACTATCGCGAAATATGATGAGAGCGTCGAGAACTCCCAGTTCTCAATGTCCTAAGAGTTTCCGGTAGCCTCCGATGCTTTCTCCCCTCCACCAGCACCCGGTTCCTCTGTCGAACCACACACAAGAAACGGTAGTTTCTCCTTCAACGCGGCTCTGTACTTTGGATGGCTGCACAGTAAATTTTGTTATTAACACTGGTAATATTGATACAAGGTTATCCTATTTAGACGGTGCTTACCTGATCCCGTAAACGATCGGATTGTATATTGCGTTCGCTTTCGCGAACAACGATCCCCAAATAGTGAACAGAGGAGTGATCAGAGTACGATTGAATATTCCGATATAATTGATCACAAGGTAAGGCGTCCAGGCCATAAACCATAACGAAATTGTTGTTAATGCTACCTATGAGAAGTTAGCATCGAGTTAGAATTGATTTTTATATCGATTACTTACAATCGAGTCCCAAATAGCACATGACGCCTCGAAGACGTCCAGTTTACGGCTACTTTAGGTCTAAGGCGCCTTTAAGCCGTCTTTAAAGCGTCATTAGGCGTCATGTGCTATCTGAATACGGAGTAAAAGTAACACCTTTGCTAATTTTGCTTCAGCACTGGCACCCTGATTCTCTCCGGATCTTAAAGATGCAACGTTCATTTTCTTTGCTTGCTCTCTCATTGCTTTCTCATGTGCCGCAACAGTCTGTTCGAACAAAGGTATATTGTATAGACACAAGAATGACTAAAAGTGCACAATTAACGTGTATTTACCGAGACAATAAAGTAATAGCTGTATATAATCGTGAACAATGGTGTGTAATACACAAAGACAGAGTAGATTAAAATGTACGACTTGGAGGACCAATCTAACGTGAGATAATCTGTCCCGCATGCAGTCATGTTACCTTCTGGAACATACCTAACCAGCACGTGTCATGTGTTATAATTACGTGTTTACCATTAATTTCATGTGGAAAAGGTAAATTTCCTAATTCGTGTATTACCTATTCCATCCTACCATGGGTGCAATCGTCCATAATAGACCAAACATCCATATACCCAGTATTTGAAGTATAGCTCTTTTTATAGTAAGAGGCGTTCCAGACATACCCTAAGAATAATTCTATCTATAATAGCATTATTTCCATTTGTAACTGTGAATTATCTACAGATATTTTATATTTATACCTTCACTATAACGTTGTATCTATCTAGAGCAATGGCTGTCATTGTCCAAATAGAGGCACAGCCACACAATGAACCGACCATCGCGTAAATATCGCACATTAAAGTTCCTGAATGAAAAAGTATTTTTTTTAAATTAAGAACGTTGTCTATTACGTTTGTTGATAAGATTTTGGTTCTTACCCAGCACCCATGTTTCATAGAAACAACAAATTACCATAGGGGGACACATGAAACCCATCATCACGAAATCAGAAAATGCCAAATTTACTACAAGCAGATTGCTTGGTGTCCTTAGCGAAGGCGTCATTATAAACACATAAACTACTACACCATTACCACACCAACCTATAATGCCCAATATAATCATAACGAAGCCCAAAATTTTATGCCACAGTGGATGTAACGGAGGAAATTGGTACCTATTTTTAAAAGAAAATATTAAAATATCCTGAATGAACATAAGATAAATTGAGACACGGAAGCACTTTAAATAACAATTGAAGTATTTACCAATACGGATCAACTAAGTGTAACATTTCTTCAGGTACTTTACTGACAACTGTTTGATTGCCAAAATGCATCCACTGTCTCGCAAACTGTGGTCCCATAGCAGTTGTTAAGGTAAAATTTGGTGAAGTTAAAGCTTCAACTGATAAAGAGGTAGTCATATTGTAAGTATCCATTAAGGCAACTACCACCAGTTCTTGAGGATACACATATATAATTTTAAACAGTATATTTGAAAAATATAATAAGAAGATTAATGCTGTCCACATAATAATACATACTCTTAAATTAATATAACAAAATTTTGTAAAAGGAAAGTTCACAAAGAATAATACTTAAATTTACACATTGACACAATTTTATAAAGAACATTCCTTATGTACATCTGAGCGCAGCAACTGCAGGTGTGCAAGCACCATCCTTCTTTTATATCTATTCTATGAGGTGAGATCCAATAAAGTCATCCAATAAAATATTCAAATGAATCCACCGACTGTTCTATTAAATGCACTTATATCACTTTTGTAAGTGTTAATATGGCATAACGTATAAAAAGTACTGTCAGCTAGAATCTACAGTAATCTAATCAATGTGAATCATTGCCTATGCCCATATGAATCGAACTTACATGATCAATTTAAATAAAAATAGTGCACTAATGTAAAACTAGAACTAAACTAAGCTTGTCTGATAGCATTTTATATAATTTATTGTGTGAAATGTAATTATACAATGCAACCACTATAAACATCATTTGATCATTCTTGTAAGTCTACGAATATGTTGACTATGACCCTCTTGGAGTGCCTCTTCTAATTCCTGTGTAATGTGTAGCAAATTGTTAGGGTCTGTTTGAAGCAACACATGTTCAATACTGTCGTCTTTGTCTGTATTTTTTATGGACAAATCCAAAGTAATTAGGGGAGCAACTTGTCTTAATAATGATCTTGATGCAAGCTGTAAAAAATATAGATTCCATTAAATATTTAAACCTGATTCTGTAATTATAACAGTAAAAAATGTAATAACACTGCACCTGTATTTCAAATCTCCATTCCATATCATGATATTCTGGTAATTTAAATCCAATATTTGTAAGTGTATCTAATATTTCATCTTTTTTAACATCATATAATTTACTTAAGATTGTTTCTTGATCTTCTGAAAACCCCAAAGCTATTACAGAATCTCTAAAGTCTTCAGAACTCAACTGTAAAGTATTAGAACATTATTAAAAATTTTAACATCAGATTAAATGCTACTTTACGCTTATAAGATACATTTAATCTTTTAATCATAGTATTACTTTGTATCTGCAACTCTCCAATAACAAATTAACAAGTCCTTCCACTGAATTCTTAATTATGTTTGCTTCCACCTCCAATTTTTCTAGAACGAAAGTAAAAGATAAGTTGAAAGAAATATTCGTTTGAACGTCAAAATCTATTTTTCTGTTTACTAACGGGCGGCTGCATTATATAATTTAATGTTTGGTCCTTTTTGTAAGTAATCTAGGGCCAATTTGCAAAAATCCTGCAAAACTAGAAAAATAAATAAATTAATTAATATTACCCTTGCATATAGATAAAAGTAACGAAAGACTATAGTAATTGCACATACCTTGGGGCGTGTGTTCTGTAAGAAGCAAGACATGTTTCTTGTGATCTGGTTTTAATGTTAAAAGCATTTTTATTTCGTTTTATTAAAAATATATATACGGACAATAGTTAATTGTTTCGCATTTTTTTGTTGAAAACCAGTTCAAAACAAGATATTTCTCGTTTCTATCAGTAGAAAGCGGCAGATCTGCCGCCATATTTATTATCACGCATTATCACGTTACGAAATATGAAAGATTTGTTCATTGATAAATAGACCATGTCTTTGAGCACATCATGCAAAAAATATTGCAAAGCCTGTATTTTATTATACATGACATCTTTCATTTATCTAATTATACAGACTTTGTATTCATTGATTTATTTCCCAATATTGATAGGTTATATAGATGATTATTAAATCTTTTTTGCGACTTTATTTCCCTATACTTTAATTGTTAGAGTTCTCTGCGAGTTTCGGTGTACAGTGTAGGATAAAAATACATAGCAATAACATTTATTAATGAAGAGGGTAGGTTTCAATATTATAACTATCAATTTATTCCTTACATTTTAAATGCAAAAAGACATAAAATACATACAGTGCAATTTTCCAGTAATAATAATAATTTATTTTGCAATCAAGTGATTTTTCTTGATTGAACCTATCCAGAAACAAGAATGACAGTCACTTTCCAATGACTTCATTCTTATATGATATTGTTACAACAGGTGATGACACTGTTATTGCTTAGGAGTTCATGTACAAAATTAAGCTTTTGGTTGATTAAGTGATGCTTTTATCTGTGCCTGTTGAAACATCTGTTGATATTTCTCTAAGGTTTCTTGATGCATGTCTTGTTTTTTGTCTAATGAAGCGATTAATTCCTCCACTCGTTTTCTACATTTTTAAAAAACCTATTATTAGTGGTTGAACCTCATATATATACATATATGTTTCTTAAAAGTAGATTAACATACAATTCAGAGGAAATATATTCCATACGCTTGGAAACATTTTGCTTTGCCTCTTCTAAATCCTGTTTTATAAGAACTGGTCCTATCAACTTAAAAACATCGTCTTGTGATTTCAGAAGATCCAATTCCTTCTTAACTGCAATATTTTCATTTAACTGCCCATCTAACTGCTGCCTTTGACTCAGAGCTTTGTGGTAATCTGATAAAAACAGAATCTACATGTAACAGGACAGTCAATTAATTATAATTGTATAATATATTACAAAGAATATATGTTATACGTAAAAGAAACTGTAAGCTACCTCTTTCAACTTGTTTGTATTTGTCCATTTCAGTCTTTAAATTCATTTGAATTTCTTCCGTCATATTAGTCTATAAAAAGGAAATTATAAATTAAATAATGGTATTCGAATAAAGGTTATACGATTAAAATTGTGACCGCATTTTAAATATAAATATTTGCGATACGTATTAAAATCATTGGACGAATATACGGAATTTTCTGAAGGAAAACACACAGATATAATAACTTCTGGAAACCTGATCATTTCATTTTAACACTATCGTACCATGTTAAAAGATCAATGTCCCTTATAACAAGCTCTTAAACCAACTGCATTCAAATATCTTTTACTGAGCTACGAAGTGTTGAGAAATCTTACACACGGATACTCGGTCTAATTAAATTTTACTATTTCTCTTCTTCAATCAGCTTTGCTACGAACTCTTTCGAACTTTGACTCACTTTGACTAACTTTAAATATTATACCGCTACAAAGGGACCATGTAAATTTAAATATATATATGTATATGAGTCAGAATGAAGATGTACAAATTAGGAGTGAGAAGTAAGCGTGTACAAATGTTGCAATGTCCATCTAGTGGTCAAGTATGCCACTAAAGTACTCCCCATCATCCATATACAACCTGACAATGTTACTTGTTTTAACTGTTTCTATACGCATTTTTGAGGAGCTAGTTTTCAGGTCTCTAAAAGGAGCCTCTGAAGATTACATAAATCTTTGTTGCAAAAAAAACTATTTTTTTTAGAGCAATAGCTGGTGTAGCTGCTACCACCGACTAGGTATAGAATAGAACTATCATCCAATGCCTTTTTCTGTTCTACGTTTATCGGGCTACGTAACCCTGTTACTATTTTAGTGTCAATACCCGACGTTACTGATAAAGCATGAATTCTGAGTATTATTCGCACAAATGTATCTATATGAGCCATCTCGTAGTCGCAGATTACGGGAATCGGGTGACGTCACGGCGTGCGAGCGAGACCGGTAGAGCGAGCCGCGGTATTGATGCTCTCTGTCGGTGCGACGCGTTCCCAGGAATGTCAGTGGTCTATGGGGGGAGTATTTTTCAAAGTCATTTTCACACAACGAAGTATCATGGTACAAGAAAAACCGTACCACTTCGGCTGTTTCTCGAATTGTGGTGGGGGGCGGACAACTATTTTGATCGTCGGTATTTACGTTTGTTTGTAACGGCTTGAATTAGTACGCGAACACGGGCGCGGGCGTGCGCATCGATGTTTCTACGGGCGTGTAACTAGTGAAGGCTATATGGCATGTGATTCGTGCATAAAGCAAAAGTGACAAGTAGTGACGCGTATCAGCTAAGAAAAACAATAATGGAGGCGTGTAATGCGGTTGAACGTGAAGTTGACAAAGTTTTATTAAAATTTGGTGCGATAAACGAACATGCAGAGACAGTGTTGCGAGATTTAATAAATCATATTGAGTCTCTGAAGAAAGAATTTGAAGAAGGTAAAATACTAGTCGTCAAAGTACAACGTCGCGATGACATTTCTATGATAGAAAAATAAAATCACGTTGAGATGTTCGTGTCGATCGGAATTATTACGATCACGGGAAAATATATATCGTGACGTTTGTACGGATATATAAAGATATTTTAATATACAAAATTGATCCACTTTAATCGGTAATACACGTGAATGTTCTGCTTTCATGGTTTACTGTTTCGTTCTTTTCTAACCTCTTGTAACGAAGCCCTGGAGCAAAGTTCTTCGTTCAGTATTTAATTAAAACAAACCCATCGCTATAGGGATTTCTGAATTACAGAGGAATCCAATTAATGGTTTTCTTTGAGTTGTCGAATTCTAATTTAATAGAACTGGGATTTCTCTTTTGTTAGCGCCACCCGATCATGAGTTAACGCCAGGTCAAGCTCAAGTGTTGAAGGATACCATGAAAAAGGTTCGAGAAACCGCGCATCATTTGGCTACCGAACATCGCGAATTGCATAGTACAGTGTCGAAAGTGGGAAAAGCGATCGATCGTAATTTTAACGCTGATTTTGGAAGTACCAGTAGAGAGGATGTATTTTCTGGTGCAGAAAAATCGCATATATTGAATCAAGTAATATGTCAGCATTTCTATCGTCACGGGATGCTAGACATCGCGGCCGAATTAGCGGCAGTAAGTACACAACTTTTTGGACAAACTGCACATCCTGGAAATATTACGGTTCTGATGACTATCTGTTATGTTATGTTATGTATATGTGTTATTTACCATTAGAGACTGATGTATTGTTAAAGTCTTTCCATACTTATGGACATTGTTGGCAGACATCTGTCCACATGCAATGTTTGAGGATGTCAGCATATTATCTCTCGACATCCAGAGGCTGTGTATGCGCATAGATGTCTGTCAACAATGTCCAGAATTGTGGACAGGCTTTTACAATAGTATTCCCAACAGCTGGGAATGTGTAAGTACCATCTGTGTGTGACCCACATGCCGAGTCATGAAGCACAGAAACGCATTAAATTTCTATTCCAGGAGGCTGGGATGAAAACAGAGGAGGGAACAAAAGAACCGTTCACAGAACTGAATTACATACTTGATTGTTTGAAACAAAGAAATCTTGAACCAGCGCTCGCATGGGCTAAAAACCATAGGGAAGCTCTTTTAGCACAGGTACATACAGCTTGGTATAACCGCATTGAGATACGTGTAATTAACCCGCCATAAATTGGTTTTAATCTTGTAGAATTCCTCCCTTGAATTTAAACTGCATAGATTACATTTCATAAGGCTAGTCCAACAAGGACCTAGTAAGCAAACAGAAGCGATAATGTACGCCCGGCAGAATCTTACGCAATACGTCGGACGCCATGGGAAAGAGGTGCAAGCTTTAATGGGTACGCTACTTTACTTGCCAAACGGAATACAGTCTTCTCCTTACAGTCATTTATTAGATCCGACTTTATGGCTCGATATTCACGACGTATTCACGCGAGAGGCGTGTACGTTATTGGGCTTAAGCGTCGACAGTCCTCTTTCAGTGTGGTACGTGTTTGTGTTTTAATAAGTCGGAGATGCGTGGATCGTTAGAAACAGCATGTTCTATTATAGCATTAACGCGGGGTGTACTGCGTTGCCTACCCTTTTGAATATTAAACAAGTGATGCAACAGAGGCAAGTAACTGGTGTTTGGAACGGAAAAGACGAACTACCGGTAAGCAATCGTTGGTATCTAGATGATCAGAGATCGATTACCCGTTGTCACCTGGACGAATCTGTTTTTCTTGGTGCAGATTGAAATAGACTTGGGTAAACAAAGTCGTTATCACTCTGTGTTCGCGTGTCCGATCCTAAGGCAGCAAAGTACAGAAAATAATCCACCGATGAAACTGGTTTGCGGTCACGTAATTTCGAGAGACGCGTTGAATAAACTCACCAACGCGAACAAGTACGTAATGTATATTAAAAAAACACTATGATACTATTTAACACTTAATCGGGGGTTGATTTTGCTGAAAAGAAATGACCGTGGAACATGAAAATGGTGCTTCGTTTCAGATTGAAATGCCCGTACTGTCCAGTGGAACAGAATCCGGAAGATGCTAGGCTGATATATTTCTAGAATACTGTGATACAGTTATGAAAAGGATACGTTCGATTTCTTTGCGATGTCACACCTAAACCGATTCATTACATGTATACAGATTTTTGACGATACATCGTATTCCGTGAAATTTCGTGGTATATATACGTAACCGTTTAATTTGCTCGTTAGACTGATTTCGGGCCATGCGATTGGTACGCGAACTATTTGACTGTTTGCAAATTTTTCCCGAGAATAGGAAGGACAACTGTCATTTCAGTTAATTAGTTTCATTTTCGGTGTTGATCGATCTGTAAGCGTTTCGAGACCAATCACGTATGAATTGAAATATGTTAGTTGAGTTGTGATTCAGAACGAAATATATATATATTTATATTCACGTATGGCGTGTGTGATAATGTAATTGGAATTAATTGATATTACATGTCGTGAATCAGCATTAAAGTTAAACGCAAAGGTAAGCATCGACGATAAGGCGTGACTCTTCGTTTCACCGTTTGTATTGTAGCGTTTAATTTTCTTATCCAGCTGGGAGTGTCGTGCTGTAGTTACCGACAAGTCGACCCTTAACGAAATATTTTTCTAACTTGACTATTTAGAGTATAAATAAAAGAAATTGTATATCTATAAAATGTACGTCTATTGTAATACTATTTGGGACTGTAATTAAAATAATATATGTAGTATTGTACATTGATAGAGAAAGAATGACCCGACGAGCATGATAAAAAAAAAGGAAAATGCTGGGTGACATGCATAAAGTGGATACGAATATTGTCCTATGTCGTATATTGGTCGTATATGATCTCCCTTCGAATTAAATACATCTGTTTATTTGGTACACGATATATCGAACAATACACACATCAATGCATTATGCTTTGAAATAACTGGTAACGTCGCTTGATTCGTCGGAATAAAGATGCTCGTTGGGGCCCAACTATCGGGTCAAAAATTTCAATATATATTTGGAGTATCATTCAAACACTGGTTGAAACCTACCAGTAGAAGTTCGCGGTTTTCAGACCCGACATGCGCGTTTCCGTTTTCTTCGGAAGCGTTTAATCTCCATGGTGTTGGACAAATAAACGCACTCATACATCCCACCCGTTCATTACTATTCAATCGCTTGGCTTACCTAGTATAAGGAATACCGTTATTTTATTCCGGAATCTTGTTTTTTTCAACAATTACACAGGCATTAAGTATCGGACCCATACACCAGCTGATTAAATATTTACGTTAGAACCACAGAATCGAAGAAAATGTATTCGTCAAGTAGCTGCAAATCAATATCACGCGAATGGATAAATACGATTAATAGAGATGATGTTTGTTTGCCCCGTGTTTCGCGAAGCTACATATATGTATGTACATAGTTGTGTACTCATTCATCGATGCGAATGGTAACTTATTGGTAATGAGAAAACGATCGTTTGTCTCCGTCATCGTCCGTCATTGCTTATTGTCTGTTCACAATAGCAGCTGTCGACGAATTATTCGCTAATATTCTGTTTCCTTTGTTTCGCACGACACGAAGAGACAAGTATTATAAGTATGTACAATGAGAAGCGTAGAATCGGATCGAGTGTACGGCATCGCGATCGAGATTCGATGTCGAGCGAGTATCGTATGATAAATTCTTCCTTATCGTTCGATCGTATTCGTTCGTGAACTCGTATGTCCGTCGAACAATATTAGAATGATAGAATCGCTTCTGTGATCGTAGTGGTTGTGTGTTATTGGTTGTTGTTGAACGACAATGAACCGACACGACACGAGCCACCGTTTAGGTGTCAGCTGCGTGAATTTTTCTTTTCATAAATTCTGTCATCGACAAGTACATAGATTGCATCCACCACTTTGAAAAATGGTACATTACGATATGGCATACGGGTAAATTGGTTAAGGTTAAACGACCGTTATGGTCGCACGATCGATTATCTATTTAGTTTGATTTTTTCATTGAAGTCGAATCGATGGAACGAGAATAGCAAAATGGGGACGAAACAAAGGCAGTTTCGATTCGAACGTGGACGTAAAGAAAGAGAAAACGCTAATGAGATTACTTTTCACTATAATTACGTACTCGGATACACATATGTATGTATACATGTTACTATGTCCTGAATATTTACACAAATCTGAACGATTTTTATCGCGAATACAACGCACGATAGACATATATTATACATAATGGGACAGTATAATATTTTGACGATACAACGATGGCGACTTGTTTTTTTTTTGCTACGATTCTTTACCCCCTATATGATACGGCGGCATTGGTTTTCAAACGTTTGCACGGTTTCTGAAAATCGCATTAAATTTCGTGCCACTTTTTGCGTATACGATGCCCTGCGTTCTCTTAATTACACTCGCACAGATTAGTGGTTCGTAACGAATTTGCAAATCGAATTGACTCGCTCATTTTACCGGGAGTAGGTGCGCGTCCATGAACGCCACCCCGTGGATTTTTCGAATTCGCGGTGGAACACTGTACGTATACATACATACACACACACGTAAGTATGTATACCTTTACCAGATCGATTTCCAATCCAGCAAATTCTCTGCAATTGCCTCGTTGCCTGCCTGTTCCCTTCTTCCACTCCAGTTTCCATTCGAATTTTTGTGTTTCGGAGGAAAGTCTGTTGCGATGGATCCCTGAATTCTCCTAATGTACCTTCACGAGCAAACTGGGCTTCCACTAGGGGGAAAAGTGGCGTAAAGGAAGGACGTCTTACCACTTGATATTGGGAATTACTGAAATTTATGCCAAATTAATATTCGATTTAACATTTATTTCAGTACCGGAAATATATTTACGAAGTGATAGGAGGTCCTTCTCTTACGCCACTTTCTCTCCTAGCGGAAGCCGAGTTTGCACTTCACTGTACTTTTTTCATATACATACACCGGTACGCCGGTGCCGGAATTCTCTAACTTTCACGACGTTACCACAAATATAATTTCACTTCGCTACAGTACGCGCGTCTAACAATTTCTTCGAAGAAGCATTGAAAGCGATTGTGCCTTATTAAAAGACTATTTCTATGTACTTTATGACACGTTGTATTCACAGTAGCTTAGGTCCAGTATAATCAGACGACACGATCTTTCTCCTGATGATAACGACCCATCATAAATAGATTTATGGTTATAATAGTTTCCGGCTATGTGAACGATTCTACTCTACATCTTCTAGATTAAACACGTGTACATATCTGTATATCGTTCTAGCTGGGGTGCTCGTGGCACTATTATCGGAACAAGAAAATGGACACCTAAACGCTTATGTTCGCATTTTATGCATTAATAGATATATATGTGTGTGTATTCCAGACAGCACGTGACGACTTGAAGACGCCCGTTTTACGGCTATTTTACGTCTAAGGCGTCATCGGGCGTCATGTGCTATTTAGGATATCTCTACGAATAATTTAACCTATCAGAGATCCAACGCAATCGGGAACACAACGTTTGTTGTTTCTTCGTTCGAGTATCCGACTCGAATTCAAATCGTGTTTCTATATATAATTTGCAAATTCGACGAACATCTGACGCTACCATATTCATGAACAATAACATCGCATTCATTGCTACAGTCGTGTGGATCGTTGTCAAGGGGATCAATAACGAGCGGTGGTTCGTCGTCGGTAATTTGAATCACCGAAAAACTATCCAAGTCGACGTTCCCATTATTTGTAAAACACTAGGACCGCGAAACGTTCCGCCGGGGAAACCCGATACATATTAGATACGCGAAAGTTCGCTATTTTCAATTTTGTAACTTTTTTCCTGATTGTGAATTTTCACATTTCTTCGGAGAACACTTCATAACTCCTAATCGCTGTTTTCGCGGCTGGTTTCCTTGCAGCCATTCAAAGAATCCAAATTAGGCGGTTCTCCTCGCAGTAAATACATATTTTAATAATTTTAGCAAAAGTTTCCCATCACGAGCGGCCGAAGATGTCGCGACGTTTTACGGTTTACCACACCATCGAACACGATCCAACGAACGAATATCGATCGAACACGGTCTGATCTCTATACACGTCCATGTATGCGACATTTGTATCGCGGTTGCATTAGTTAAATGCATCTATCAACGCACACATAAATACATATACAATATTTCTTAATATCTCGTCGACGCGTAGATTTTTCTTTTTTTCTTTTTTTTCGAACGCACACACTTATTACGATCTACTGGCACACGTATCTATTATATATACAGTTTGCATCGAACAAAGATATACATGCTTGGATCGTTACGCTTTTTTTCAAACTACTAAATATTTTTATCATCGAGGTTGAACAGAAAACAAAAATTGTATTCGCATTTGCAACGAAATCGACTCGATTTTACCTGTTCGTTTGGAAAACGTATGTATAAACGAACATTGAACTTTTACAGCGAGGACAAAGCGTAATTATAGGTCATGCCAATTCATCCCGGTGGACGAAGCGTTTATATGTATGCAGACAATTGATGATCAACGCTAAAATGGCGTACTATATCCATTTATTAGTTTCTTCGTACGAAGAATACGGAAAACGAAAAACGGTACGTAAAGAAGCATCCGTGGATTTATTGCTCCTCTTCCTCGTTCTGGTACGTTACGTAGCGCACAGACGATTTCTCGCCAATTATCAGAGACTAAAACGTAACGAATAACAATCTACTGCGTTAAACAACGTTCATTTCGGGCTTAGATCGATAGTTTGAAAGATCTTTTTGTTTTTACCTTTTTCTCTTCTTTCGTCGGTGGTGCCCTCAAGAAGTACATCAACGGAGCGTAAAGAAAGTTTAGAATAGCGATTCCGAATAACATCCATTCGAATCCGATACTGTTGACCAATGTACCACTCAATGCAGGACCTGTAAAATATTTTAGCGATCGATAATACGGTTGAAAAAACTGTAAATAATATTATAAATGTACAAGTTGTTCGGTTTTGATTTATCTGTGATAGGAATTTCTGGATATTCGTGAACCGTCATTCTCAAGAGCATCGGTGGTTCAGTGGTAGAATGCTCGCCTGCCACGCGGGCGGCCCGGGTTCGATTCCCGGCCGATGCAAATATTTTTTGATTATTCTATACATATTTTTATCCCATTTTCTGTCTATAGGTATCTCCGTCTCGTTTCATAAGTTTTCTATTGGCGATAATTCTTATTGGGTGTCGTTAGGAATCCCTTTCTTTAAATAGGATTTTTTTGAATACCTACCGATTGCGAAACCCAAACAGAACGCAACGTCACCGATTGCATAAACACTTCCATAAACGGCGCTGTGCCGTATATCCACCAAGTATCCTAGTTCAGGCATTATCGAACTGTCTACCATTCCGATAGCGAATCCCAAACCGGCATTGGGCACGATCAGGTGATCGATACTCGTAGCCAACGGAATCTGGGAACACAAAAGTAATCGTGTGGGTCGTAAGGGACGAGAAGGGACGAAGAAACCGTGGCAGGTAGCGTTTAAAAGCGCCGAGATAAACATGTAAATAAGTGAACTGCGAATACTCACGCACATCAAGCAAATCCCAATGACTACAAGGCCGATCAAGGATGCTAACCACCTACAACATAAATAGTAAGTAATTCGTATAGCCCAATAACGGCACTACTTTAAATAAATAATAAAGAAAAAGAAAAAAAAATTCCGCCCGAACAGGGACTCGAACCCTGGACCCTCAGATTAAAAGTCTGATGCTCTACCGACTGAGCTATCCAGGCGATAAAATTATGTGTTGCACTGGCTCATCAGTAGTTACTGATCGAGAAACACTAAGAATAGTGTAGAATACATTATAAAAGTTTTTATTCATGATTTAGGAATGTGAAAAATTATGTTCGGACATTTACCGACCTGCCCATTTTGTGTCCGAGCGGTCCGAAAAGATTCGTACCGATCAAATAACTGATACTCGCTGGTAAAAACGCGGCACCTTGTTCCCATCTACTGGCACCCATCGTATCCATCATCCAAATCGGTAGACTAGGTTCGAGCATAGCGATACCCATATTGGCAAAAGTAATAGCACCTGAGGGATGTAGTTTAATTATTCGTTGAAATGGTAATATTTTGAATGTGAATCCTGCTACCGAAGTGTTTTATACATATGATATTTGCGTCGATAGGCAAAGGATCAGTGATTACGCACCTGCGGCCAATACGATGTACGGATCGGTGACCAACGCCTTCAATGAGGGTGGATCCGCTTCGGTGTAAACGACGGACGGTTGAAGCACCAGAAGCTGAAGAACTGAAACGTTACGGTAAAAACGTTTTTCCGTCGAAAAGGGGAAGTCTTGTACGTATGAATATCGTAGATACATGTGTATATCATTACATGTATTAAAGATGTATGTATACAGGGTCCTCTGCTTAAAACAGGCGACCTAAATATCATCTCTATCTGTGATTATACAAAAATATTTTTTACGTAATTTAAATATAATGTAAATTTACGTAATGTAATTTTAACATTTTTAATTCAAGATAGAGAAGACATTTAGGTGGCCTTGTTTCAAATGGAACATCTTGTATCCCAAATAGCACATGACACCTTGAAGAGTGCTTAAAGACGCCTTAGACCTAAAATAGTTGTACAATAAGGGTCTTTAAGGCGTCATGTGCTATCTAGGTATAGGTACGTCTTGCATAAATCGTTTACTTCGTTTCATACTTACTTCCATCGCCAAGGGCCAATGCCGAAAGTACCAGAAACGGTGCGGATTTTCCAACGAATTCGTACATGACACCGCCAAACGGTGGACCAATGAGGACGCCAAGTGCTAAGCCACCGAGTGCGATACCCATCGCGTTTCCACGTTCTTTGTCGTCTTGATATCTTTCAGCCAACATCCCCATGCCTGCGGATACATCGATCGAAATGGAAATGCACACATTTCAGCCGACGGATTCGAAACAACCAGTGGTCACGTGTATAAAGGAAATCGGTGTGTATACATGTACCTATGTACATTTAGGAACGTTTGTCCAAGTTTAAGAACGTTTGTTCAAGTTACCTGAGACGCTCGAGCACGAGGATCCGATACCTTGCAACGCCCTCGCCAAGAAAAGAATACCGTAACTTCGCCCGAACGCAAATATCAACGTGGATAGGAACATGATGATAAATCCAGTGAACATAGGTATACTGTAGCCGATTCTGAAAGAAACACCAGGATCGGTTCGGACGGTCGTGTGACGAGATATATCGGCAACGTATCGACGTATGTCGTACACCAAGATCATCGTAAGTACTACATAGGAAATCATAGTTTTGAACGTGTATTAACCCTTTCCACTCGGAATTTCTAATTGTTCCCGTGCATTTTATTACCCCTATACCCGTGTATTAAAAGCTACACGGACTGAAACACGTATATTTAAATACAGTGTACTTAACGTATTTAGATACACATGTAATCGAAATCTTTATTAAGCGCCATCTGTGCGCAGCAACATTTGTACATATTTACTCACTTGTGGGTAAGCGGGCCAACGATCGGATTGGCGAGCAACTGTACGAAAGCTTTCGACGCGAACATTATGCCGACGGCGACCGTCTCTTCCAGCAGTTCGCGGTGTCGTTGCTCCTTTTCTTGCGCCTCCGATAAGCCCTCGCTGTTGACGGCTGTGTTGTCTATGTATGCAAATCACGATCGAGAGAATATCAATTGTCGAGGAACAGCTGTTACCGGCTGGAAAGTGCTGGCACCATGTTCTTCTTACCAGGGAAATCGGTGGTGGGAAGATTCGTCGCGTAAAGAAATTCCAATTGGGAGTCGTTCGATCGATTGACGGCGCAAGGACATTTCGGCGTAGTTGAACTCGTGATCGCACTCGGCGACGTAGCTTTGATTCCATTCGGTATACGATAATTGGAGGCGATCGCAGCCCGAGCATGGCCACTCCCTTCGAATTGTTGACTCAAAGTCGCGTTAGGATGCTTGATATCGTACAGGAATTCTGGTATAATGGGAACTGCAACGAGAATGATTGACACCACGTGTCGATGAGTCGTTTCACCATTGCACGATTTTTCGAAAAATACAAACGGAGAACGATTCGAAACTTGCGTTTGCGCTGATCATCGACGCTCAACTTGGATGTTCAATGAGAAATACGTTTTGCGAATTCTAACTTCAACCCGGGGGTGTAACTCAGTGGTAGAGTGTCTGCTTCGCATGCTGAAAGTCCTGGGTTCAAATCCCAGCACCTCCAATTTAAGACCGTAATACTTTTTTTTTTCTCCATTGAGACACGATATTTAGGACGTAGGGTGGATGTCACAATTACTGCCACCTTAAGATTGTACCGTAACTTCATATAATCATTTTACGTGTTGTTCAACCTAAAAATCGTCTCAGTTTGAAACATAGTATCATTTAACATCTCTTCCATTAAAAAAAGTAATTTTACGGATTAAATATGAAAAATTAATTTATAATTAAATTCTCCGAGCAATCCCAGTGTCCCTATAACTGTTACCTTCAAAATTAAACTAATTCTTATGAACTGTAACAATTCATGCAATTCTTTAAGTGAAATAAATACAGTGAATTAGGGACACTGGCAGTAATTGGGACACACATCCTAGTCAGTGAAAGCATAGACCGGCAGAAGGCTAGAACGTGGGTTTATAAACCGTGAAAGATTACCATTCGAAAGATTCGCATAAAGGGGAAAAACGAGAATGGTCGGAAGAATCATGGTTCGAAAGATGAACGGTTTATGGACTCGTTTAAAATACACGAAGTAACTGAAGGCTGATACACTGGGGTCACGGTTCAGCCAACGAAAGCGCATCTCATGATTTGTTAGCGGGCCCGTGGAAAAGTTCTTTCGTATACGCTCCATAAATGTATGACCACTTATCTGGATTGGTGGAACGCGTCGGGCGTCCCCTCGCGTACATTGCATTTTCGACGACTCTGAGGAAGGACCTACGAACGTGTGCCTCGTGAATTAAACATCTTACCGTTGTGATAAAAGAAATCAAGGCACGCCGGGGTACTCAGAAGCAGCAGCAACAAACGGCATCAACAGCAACAGCGCGAGGGAAAAATCAAAATGGTGGAAAATAACCGAAACAAGACTTTGCACAATGCCCCCTTTCCACGCACGTTTCTTCTGCACGGCGACAAAAATTAAACAGCGCAATGCACCGGTCATACAATAAATTAATAATTACAAATTCTAATCAACAATATATGTTGTATTATTATAGCAAATCATTATTTTGTAATTTAATTTTTTCTACTGATTTTTCAAAATCAAGAATTAAGGTCACAGTGAAAAAATTCACTGAAGATAACAAAATCACGATCATAGACGTAAATGACGTTAAATCACGACCATGGTCAACATGGTCTGCAAAATCACCAAATTATTATTAGTAGAATTATATAGATATAGTGTCTATACTTACCGACCGCAGTTAGTAGCATATTGTCCAAAAGCAGCGCGATCGCGACGATCACGAGGATCAACCTGCGCGATTCTCGGCACCTTTGCAACCAGCCACCCCATTCTGCACCGCCCATTCTCACCCTATATTATCCCTCCGTTTGTCTTCCGTTGTATCCCCTAAAACAGAAATGTGAACGAAAAAAGTCATGAACGATCGAATCGAGATCACACGCCTGATACAATGATTTCGCATTTGTTTTGATTCGTTCTCCGATCCTTTCAGATAGATACGGTTCTTCGTTGAAGGAAGCGTACAACAATTCAGCTTGTCGAAGAAAAATTCTGCTCGGCAGTAAGGAACTTTTCTCGGTGTCTAAAATGGATAACAAATTGGATGTATTGTTCGCGCACCAGAACCTCACAAACTACGGTACTTGGGCTCCAGTCGTTCAGGTTCGACAATTCCGAAGGAGCAGTTTTAATTAAAGCGACTACGATTTGCCGACTCTCTTATCCGTGTCGTCTCGATTACGTTCGAGGCGATTGACAGAAACACTGGTTGCTTAGAGGGGATTACGTTGGTAGTTACACGAACGTTATTGCCATCTGACAGGTGTTGGTATATTACATATAAATACATTATAGTCGTACAGTAAATAAGCACGCGTTGACGGTCACGAGAGGATAGCGGCGCACATGGGCCAAATGGCAATTCTAGCAAGGAATAATTAAAATTAATTAAAGTAATAAGGGTAAGCTTTTTATATCTTCTATTTTTAATAATGAACAAACAAGTCGATGTTTATAAGCATGGAAACTACGAAGTTCTGTATGGTAAATAATTTTTTCCTGTTGGATAGGGATATACGTGTATTTGAATAAACTTCTTCGAGATATTTCAAAAAATATTGCATTCGATTCTGCGACTCGAAATCCAACAACGTTACAGAAATTCCAGCATTTGGGCAGGTCGCGGTCGACAGCGAAGTTCGCTGAGTGAATGCCGCGGCTCCTTATTCTTCGAGATGGAACGATTTTTCCATTCCGCGAACTGGAAGAAGAGGAGGCTCGAGGGCCGATGTCGATTACGCGCGAGGCGTGTCTTTCGATCGATCGCCGTTCCATGCTTTCGTCGGTAAAATTACCAAAGTGCCTGGAAAATTACGAAACGCCTTCGCACGTAAAAATCGAATCGATTCGGTTTCGATAGGATCTGTCTTGAGAAACGAGCGTAGCCACTCGATGAACAATCGTCGACGTTTTGATCGCTGGGGGCACAGCCGTATAGTATACAGGGTGATTCATAAATACATGTCGATACTTGTAGGGTAAAAAGTGGCATTAATTCAAGTACTGAAATAAATGTTAAAATGAATGTTAATTTAGCATAAATTTTAGAAACTTCTAAAACCAACTGGTAGTTTTTCCCCTAGTGGAAGTCGAGTTTGCTCATCAGTGTATGTCCAGTAAAAGCGTGAAGTTTAGTAAATGGATACACTTATTAGTCAATGTACGCATTTACGTACGATTTTAGAAGAAGTATGAACTGAATATAAGAATGTACACTATTTCTAGTAAATATATTCATTTATTAGATGGATTCAGACTCCTCTCGATTATCGTCCCGAATTCGGGTCCCCGCCAGGACAATAATCTTGTAGGAAGAAATGCTTCGTGGGAGTTCATATGACGTTTTTACTTATATTATGTAGATTTACCCCCAGAAGTATCGACATACATTTATGAATCGCCCTCTATAGAGAATAGAGAGCCTTAACGGTATTAATTAGACGCTTTTAATGGTATCTCCGATGGTCTCTCCCTGTCGCCCGCCCGCGACCATTCCACCGCCCATGCTCTCACCGCTTCTCTTTTATTCGTAATAACTCGATTACCCGATGCTTTTAGCCCAGCTAATTTTCACACGCTCCCCGTGAATAGCAAACCATTAAGACCGTTGAAAGCGACGCCCGACAACGCGATTCGTACCGACCGCGCCACCCCCCACCCCCTTCTGGCCGTTATATTCAGAAGTGGTTTCACGATTTTTCACAAAAGTCACGAACGAAGCCACGTTAGTCGTGGATGTGAAATTGCGACCGACCGAGGCGAGAAACAGGTATTTTTGACATATACGCGAGAGAAAAGTGTTTGCTCGGATAACGTTCCGGAGGAAGGTTGGTCCCGTGAGATAAGTCAGCTTTGATCTCACTCTACCTAACCGACTGTATATACCTTTACGTAGGCTCTCCATCACTCCATCCGTCTATCCGATCGTTCGTTTGTTCGTCCGTTTATTCGCCCCATTCGCCCTTCTGTCATCCGTGTACTTACCGCCTCTTCCCTATTCTGGATAATGAATAATGCATAATACATAATACATAATACATGATAGGTTAGGTAGAGGTATGCGGATGGGGAAGGAGGACGAGTCAAAGATTGATAAAGGTGACGGACGGGGGAATCGAACGATATAAGAACAAGAGAATCGGTCGACGAGGAAAAACCGCGGGCAAGGAGGGGAGTTAGAAGCAATCAGCATTTCCCTGAAAGCCGAGTCCCTTGGGTGCGTGTGCATTATTCTCGGGGTAAAGCCGGAGAAGATTTTTCTCTTTCCACTCGTCGACAGTCCGATATCTTTGCTTTCTCTTCCGTTCGTCGTGTTTCATTCTTTTATCTGTTCGGTAATTACAACGAAGAATGACCGCGAGCAATTCCGTTGCTAGGTACCGGGAATACTCTTTGTCGGCTGGTTCCTTTCCTCCCTCGTCGAACGAACTTCGTTCGGTACCCACGCTTTCGTCGACTCTACCTCCGGCGAACAATTCAATTCACGCGATTCGTCGTTTCGAGTCACGTGTCTGGTCGAAAGATTCCACCGAAACAGCCAGGGATGGAGAGAGAAACGTTCAATTCGTTGATCATCGAACCAGACCAGATTGAAATATTCGGGAAATCGTGCGAGGCCGGTTATGGAAGCCTGGAATCGATGCTTCGAGTGCGTTATCGAGTGATCTGGCCGGTGTCGAAAGGGTTTGACACGGTAGTGGTTTTGCGATTGACAGCTTAGTTGGCTTCGCCGTTGATGAAGTGACATTGCGGATCCTGGAACTCGTACGACCTCGTTATCCCGAACTCGATGGACGTGTACGCGTTTTCGCTCTCCTCCGTTTCCCCTCTTTTTCTTTCTTCTTTTTCTTTTTTTTTTTGTTGTAATTGTCGATCCCCTTATGAACTCTCCACCTTTGTACCCACGCCCATTTACTGTACGCAGTTCCACTGTACGCGATTATATTCCAGAGACGAGTATTGTCACGAAGGGAAGTGGCGAGAGCTAATAGAGAAATCGTGTCCACCGTCAGCTCGCTCGATTTATCTTGGACTCGCGCTACCCGCCCTAACCTCGAAACGCCTCGTTGCCGCTCGATCTCTACAAGTAACGGCACCATACGCGACAAGTAACCTGCCTGAGTATCGGAACAGATTGTAATAGGATTACGGGGGACGCGCGAACATCCCCCCAACCCCATGTTTCAGATGAAATTCCCAACAAGCGGGCCCCGCGATTCTACTAAAGTTAGTTTCAACTTGGGAAGCAATTAGTACCGTTCACAGACCGAACAGTCCGTGCTGCTGGGATGGTACGGTTCCGTCGAGTGAATAGCTTGATCGTATCTTTGAGACAACTTTAACGCGGCGCACGATCGAGACTTGCCTCGTGGATTGACGACGCGATTAAACGGTACAGATCTCTTACGAACGTAGCTGACTTTGCTTGATATATATGTACCCTTGCGAGCAGACTCGGGTTGCGCAAGGGAAAAAAGGACCTCCTATCGCTTGATAAATTTATTTCAAATACTGAAATAAATGTTAAATCGAATATTAATTTGGCATAAATGTCAGTAACTCATTATTTTTACATCACTTTTTCCCCTAGCGGAAGCCGAGTTTGCTCGCGAGTGTACCCTTACGATTTTTTATTCTCACTGATATAACACTCGAGTTTCTGTCGCGGTGACACATTAGATGACGAGATAGCCATTCATATTTGCCAATATTGTAATACAATAGTTTTAAAGGGAGTTAGTCAATTAACCCCGATCTCCCCTACGTATATCGATGTGTAGAACTACCGTAAACTGTATTAACATTTTTCTTTCTCTCTAGCAACCGACAAATCCGACGGGGAAACACGAGACACAATTTACACAATGCGCATTTGGAGGGGAGAGCAGAAGCAGGAAAAGGGAAGTGGATAGATATATAAATATATAGATAGATAGATAGAGAGACAGTGTGCCGTAGTTGGGATCGACGAGGAGAGAAGAACCGCGTTTAAAAGACAAACTGTTGCTTCGCGCCTCAACAAGTTGGCCGACAAAAGGTAAGATTAAGCGAGGAATCAATTCCGCCGACGATTCTCGCGTTCCCTCAACCGAACAAATAAGTGGTTTTTTTTTCTTCACAGAACTGAGATTTACGTGACTCGTTTCACACAGTCACGCAAGTGTGTTATGAACCCGTAAGCACGTAAGTAACGTCGCGTCGCGTATCATCTCGCTCTGTATCTTTAACACAGGCGATGTTTACGCGTAAGAAAATGTGAGCGGGGGAATGGAAGTCGTTGAATCGCTAAGCCAGAATAGATTGCTCGCTATTAAACCAAGACACTAAACATGCAGGGGACGAGTCCAACGTCGTGACTACGATAACGGGAACGGTATGAAAATCGTACCGAGACAAATGGTCCACCGAGGGAGAGACGTTGGGCGTCCGTGGAACTGTACCGTCTGGAGGAAATCCATGGGGATTGCAGCGATATTGAGTCAGGGCCACCGACGCCCTTCCCCTTAATTTCGACGCTACGTATCCGAGATTCGTCGAAGGGGAGGAAATAAGGAAAATGGAAGAGGATGCAAGCAGAAGTGAAACTAGCCGTGAAAGAAGAAGGATTGAATAGAAACATGAACGCGAAATAAAGTTACGTCTTCGATATCGTTTAAACGAATTCACGGGGTTGGTCGTCGTCGAGTTTCGTATGTTGAGCTGCGATATGTAATTCACGAGAAATTCGAGCAATCGTCTCCCTGCGTGCGTCGTTCGGTGAGTGAAAAGAAATCCTTAATCATTAACGCTACGAACGCGCGAGGGAAACATATAGTAACGGACAAATGTTTTCGGCGAAAAATCGTTTCCTGTGCCTCTTACCATCCAGGAATGAATAAAATAAAAGATATAATATAATGTTCTCGGAAAGTTTTTGTTTTAGATTACAATTTATGATTCTGAATGAAACGTTCGAATACTTTTGTACTAGCTAAATACAGATACAACTTATTTTCTATTTTGTAGGTAGCTCCGTGTAACTCTTATGAAAGCTTGCGTCGGAATAATAGTAAACACTCCGGAGATCGGAACTTCAGTAACATCAGTATGACAATAAATACAACGGAAAATGTCTTTGTCTGATTTCATTTGTCCGGTACTGTAGCAAGAGTAATCGATGGGGATTTCGGAATACGATGAGATCGGGAGAG